CAAACATTCAATTGCACGGAAGACCTTTGGTTTGAAACAACAGACTGGAGACAAATAAAGTGGCTTGTTATATTTGATACTTGATAACATGCTGATAACATGCTGTAGCTTAACATTATGTGCCTGATCAAAATTTATTCTGGCCTGACCCTAGACATTCATTTGGAACTAATTTCTGTTGGCTTCCCATAAATGTGCTAGCATGCAGCCTTAATATATTAATACAGCAGATCACAGTGCCAGCAACCATGGAAAGGCTTGTCAGTACAAGGTCCACAACTTCATGACTACATAGTTATGATTCAGTGTTTGCTTGAATTGCAAATAAAAGTAGTTTTGAATATACTTCTTTCCCCACTGGAACCTCTGGGGTTAGGGTTGTGATTTAGCACAGAATTCTGTGCTCTATGTATGAACCAATCAGCCAAATTTTGTTGAATTATCCAAGCTATATAATTTATTCATCATCACTTATTTGAATGTCGGGAGGGGCATACATTCAAGGGACCTTGAAGCTGCCTATATATTGTTAAGTACACGGGCAGCAAACTGAGCAGGAAGACATGACACCTGATCACAATTTCCCCCCATTAGAGTGCATTGTATTTCTACTTAAATTATGGCACTGTTTTTTTCCACATATGTAGAAATCAGCAGATGCATTTTTATGCAAATCTACGTCACATTGGGTCTTCATATTTTCTGGAGAAGCATAAAGAACCATCTTAACCAAAAGCTGCTTTGAGGATATTTTTCTTTCTTTCTTGCTTTCCCACCCTAGCTATGATATCTTTTTATCTTGTGATATTAGAGTCAGGACCTGGGACCTTCTATGAAGCAGGTCCTCTAGTACTGATGCTGATTATTCTTCTCCTAACTGTGGGGATGGGAAAGGTAGAAGCATCAAAACCTGGACTGATCCCAAAACAGCATTAAGGCAGTTCGCCATCCCAGGAGAAAACCAAAACCTAAAAAAATCCTGGCCGTCCTGAAGTTGCCAGAACCCACCTATCAGCTCCATGTCCACCACCAGAAGTGATGCTGGACTCAGGTTCTAGGCAGCTAACAGCACTTGCTAGCACATGCTCCTATGTTCTCCCAAGGAGAAGAGGGTTTGGAACTGGGTAGAAAGGGTGAAATGAATCTGGAATCTTTCTCAGCAGAGCCAACCCAGGCTGTAACCATATTATGGCCTGTGCTAATTAATTGGGCAATTTTTCATCGCTCAGAAAGGCTTTGCTCGATACGTGGTACAGGTGACTTGGTGAAAGGTGGTCATCCTAATACTAGTGATGATTTGAAATTACTTGTGTATTAGATAGCGTTATTGATGCTCTTTGGAAAGTTTCCAGTCCCAAATCAGTTGATGTGGTTTGTACAAGGAATGCATGGGGCAACCCAGCCAAATGGGTAGGGTATTATTATTATTATTATTATTATTATTATCCACTAGCCTCACTCCCAACTTCCTGTGGTCATTAGAACTTCTGAGCAGAGCATGCAAATTGTATGGGTATAGGCTTATCCTGCTATACTCTAGTTCACCAGATGCCAATCATATGTCTCAATATGAAAACAAGCTCTACTTTCCTGGCAAAGGCTGCATCATTTGTAAAATAATCTGTCTGTTTAATAATGCATTCTATTGAAAAGGAATGGGAGGATTTGCTTAGGCATGATTCATCACCGTCTGTTACAATAATTATAAGGGTTTTTTTTCTTGCTTCCCCGGTCAAAATGACCTTATTTTTATAGGTTTTTTTCAGTGCTTGTATGCTTTGCTTTAGGGTTTTGAAAATAAGTTTAGCAACAGAGACACACCTAATTCATTTGCAAGAGGCACTAATAGCCTGTCTTGTTTTCTTCCACATTTCTGTTTGCCATGGTGCCAGAACAGAAACTTTTGTACAACTAAGTTTGATAGGTGACGCAACTGCAAGTCCAACTCACATTTTGATTGCTCACTGAAATTTCCCATCATTTATGAGTGGGGTGCAAAGTGGGGGCTGTGATTCATAATAATAATTATTAGCATTTATGTCACTCTTAGAGCAGGAGGCAGGAACCTGTGGCCCTGCAGATGTTCCTGGATTCCAACTCACACCAACTCCAGTGAAATCCTGTACATGTCTACTAAGAAACAAACACCTGGGACTTAAAGTAAAGGGTAAAGGGACCCCTGACCATTAGGTCCAGTCGTGATCGACTCTGGGGTTGCGGCGCTCATCTTGCTTTATTGGCCGAGGGAGCCAGCGTACAGCTTCCGGGTCATGTGGCCAGCATGACTAAGCCGCTTCTGGCAAACCAGAGCAGCGCACAGAAACGCCGTTTACCTTCCCGCCGGAGCGGTACCTATTTATCTACTTGCACTTTGACGTGCTTTCGAACTGCTAGGTGGGCAGGAGCTGGGGCCGAACAACGGGAGCTCACCCTGTCGTGGGGATTGTTGTAAAATTTGCCTAGTTAATGTATGCATTTTTAATCCCTAACCATTGGACAAGCTTATGACTAGCAATGAATGGATGCCAATTGCATATACAATATTAGGCAAACCTGACAGTCTCAAAGTTGAAATTTGTGTATTTTGTGTGTTTTTTATCTTTTGATTTTTGTGTTGTGAACTGCCCTGAGATCTACGGATGGAGGGTGGTATACAAATTTAAATAACAACAACAGCAGCAGCAGCAGCAACAACAACATCATCTTTAATTTTCTACAAGTATCCCAGTAAAAATGTCTAAATAACACAACATTTCAATCCTGTTAGGGCTGCAAAGTACTGTAATTTGCATAAGAATATTTTCTGGAAAACCTACATAACTAGAAACAGCACGAAGAAACTTGCATATATATTTTTAGACAATAGACTACCCCAAGCCAAATTCCAATGTATGTCAGAGTAGTAAAATATCCCAAAGCAAATTCATGCATGTGATGTCAGAAGGACTTTAAAAACTGTCTCTTTGGATTAGTTTTTGTTTGAAAAACTCCAACAGACTTTTTTTTTTACCTCAATACTTTCTATTGGTTGTGACAAAAAAGCACTTCAGTAGCAAAAATATTGGGATATTTTGTGTCCAAGCAGTTTCGCTTATATGATAGAAAGAAAACGATAAATAAAAAGTGGCTGAAATTGGAGGACATTGTTTATTATTGCACAGGTGGCAGTGTCCCAGAAGGACTATGTTAATAGGTCAACTTGTGTGTAAATTCTGCAATGAAAGGTGCACCTGGAGTTGAATTTTGTCCCAAGCTACCTGCCACATCTGTTACAGGGGGGGTACACTATTTTTAAAAACAATTCATTAGTACTACTACTACCATTATGAAAACTGCCTATAATTACCAATCAAAATTCCAAATTAGTAACTACATTTATTTTGTTTATTTAAGCAACACATTGATATACAGCCTTCATAACTGCTTATCCCAGGTGGCTTACAAAAGCAACAAAGAATGCAAATAATAATTAAAACAATAAAATTGGTAGCAAAAATAAAATCCATTGGAACAGCAGAGCGACAAAGTCCCTTCGTAGTGTTTAAAATATACTTTTCCTTACAGTGCTTAATATCCAGTTCATTAAAATCCCCGTAATTACGAACAGAAGGTGTAGCCGCCTCTAGGAACATTGTCGTGTGTGGGTTGGCTGCTTCACTCAGACTGTGAGCTCAGCATAGTTCAGGAAGAGAGCAGTTACAGAAGGCATTTGTGGTATGAAAAGTGATGGCATTTCTACAGGAAGTAACGGTTTCCTTGGTAACCTCTAGGTTAGATTACTGCAAAATGTTATATGTGGGGCTGCCTCTGAAGATGATTTGAAAACTTTAGCTGGTGCAGAATTCAGCAGCCTGCTTGTTCAATGGGACAAGAAGTTTTGAGCATATAACACCAAAACTGGCCCAGCTGCACTGGCTGCTAATTAGTTTCCGGGCCCAATTCAAAGTCCTGGTTTTGATCTGTAAAGCCATAAATGGCTCAGGACCGCAATCCCTCAAGGAGCACCTCTCCCCATATGAACCGACCTGGAGCCTGCTATAATCATCTGAGGCCCTTCTTTGTGTTCCCCCTCCACAAGAGGCCGGGAGGGTGGCAACATAAGAACGAGCCTTTTCTGTGGTGGCTCCCTGTGTGTGGAATGCTTTCCCCAGGGAGGCTCGCCTGGCGCCTTCATTGCATACCTTTGGGTGCCAGGTAAAAACACCCCTCTTCTCCCAGGCCTTTGGAAAATCAAACTGGCCTTTTAAACTGGGGTGTGTGTCTGTGTGTTTTTGTTTTACTATTTTGTTTGTTTTGCACGCTGTGCATTTTTGTGCTTTTTATACTGGAAACCGCCCTATGATCCTCGGATGAAGGGTGGTACATAAATTTAATAAAGCAAATTAGGTTTGTCTTTTATGTGAGTGTCAGGTCTGGTTCTTCCATGTGCACATCCCCAGGTAAGGCTGAGAAACCATAGAGGTCTAAGAAAGCTTCCTAGGTTCTCTCACACCAGATACCTTGGGTTCATATATCAGATCCACACGTCAGCTGGCGCGGGAGCCCTTTCCTTCCATGTTATAAGAAGAGAGCACTTTAAACAAACACTCGCATCAATGAAGTTTTAGTTTTTTGAAACCGTACAGTGCAAAGTCCAGCCCTCTGCCTTCCAAAAGGGAACAGCGGCTGTGTTGGGGAGGGGGGTGGGGGGGGAGAGCTGTTGACGTTAATAGTACCTCAGACTGACAGACTGGTAAGTACTTGACTGGGAACAACATGACCTAGCAAAACACTTCAGTGTTAATAAGACATTAGGGGGGGTGGATGCTTCCATTTATCATCTAGCCCATCGGACCCACAAGATTCTGGAACAGCTTGCTGGGTTATGGTGTAGCCCTTAGTTTGTTTCCGTCGTGGCCACAGAACATAACAGAGATAGCTTTGAATCCTTCCTCTGTTCTGCTGTCACAGAAGAATGTTCGTGTCATGATGACCTGACCAAGTGTTCAGTTGCACACACACTGCACTGTTTCCAGAGGGTTACTCAGTCAGGCTGACAGGCTCCCTCTTCTGAATCAAAGGGAGGCAAACTCCAGCAGAGCTGGAGTTGGCAGCTATCAGCCACCTTTGCAAGTGCTCTGGCAGTGCTCAGTTCACGATGATTCAAATCACGAGGCTGACTTAGGGACATAATTTTGGGAGCCTGAACACCTCAGCTGTGTAAGGTATAGTGTGTGGTTTTTTTTGTTTTGTTTTGTTATGTTGGGAACATTTGCTTATCTCTTCCTCTTGTGTCACTGAGATTCCCCCCCCCCCCAGGTGAGATTTATTGTGAAGAGCTACGTTATCTAGCCCTGGTGTGGGCTGACTCCCAATTTTCTGTGGCCTCTCTTTTTTCCTTTACTCGGATCCCTGTGGTCCAACAGTGTGTTCTAAAATCACAAAGTAAGAGAGTGCCTAATTGGTATTTCTCAGTGGTTGTACATAACTGCTTTATTTTAAGTGGTCCTGAATGGGCACTCTTGACTTGAGAATATAAGTGCTTGTCACTTAAACCAAGGACTATGTAGTTCTACATTATTTTCAGGAATCCCAGCTACCAGCAAGCTTTAGGTAGTCTACTGAGGAAATGTCCTATAGTCTACCTGCGGATACCTCTGCCCATCCTTAACTTAATTACAAGGGCTATTGAAGTTCATAATTCCATCATCTTTTTTTTCAGAATTACGATTATACTCACGCTTCTGCCTTGTTATAATGGCACATTGTTTCAAATATTCTTTCCTATAACATCTCTTTAACCGTTGCTCGCAGAAGTATTACTTGCTTTCTAGCTCTGCTTCATGTCATAGGAAAGAAACACAGACTTTTCAAAGGACAGAATGCTTGAGGGGAATTTTCATTTCATGATACACATGTTCAGAAAGTAATGCCTTTACTGGATTTTATTTACTTTTTATAAGCTCCTTCCTTTTGCAACAATTTTCTGGAGTTAGATTTGTATGAGACGAGATGAAAGCTGACATAGAGGAAATTGTTTCTAAACCCCAACTTTGTCCTTGTACAATTTTGGTTTCAGGTTTCCAAAAGCAGTTGGCTCTATAAAAGGAATGTTTTCCCAGTTTCGAAAACCTGGGTATTTTTTGCTACTTTAAAAACTTTATTTTTAGGGAAGGTGTGACCATCTGCTTCTTGGTCCTGATGCTTTGAAAAGATGGCCCTGGTGGTCCCTCCCAATTCTACAATTCTGTGATTCTATAATTCTATGATTCTGTCTAAACTGCAGAAGCAAACTACTTCAGTTGCTGTTTCCCATCCCTGCCAATGGGAGTCTTGTCAGGGGGTTGGGGACCTCTTAGCCTAGAAATCTCAACACTCCCTCAGTGAAACAGTTCCCAGGATTATTGGAGGTGTGTGTAGGGGTGGAGTTTGAAATGGCTAAATCAGTTTCAAATAGGAATGCTTACAGTATCAATGTACCTTGTGGATGCAGAAGGCGCTTGTCGGAGGAACTAATACCTCAAGGTCACCTTTGCTTTGCTTAGAAGTAGGATTACTTGGATTTCAGTACACCGGCTGCCGCTAAAAGCATACGCAGTCATAAGGTAAGTGCTAGAAATTATGGGAGTGATGTGTTTAAATCGAGCTAGTATCAGCATGGTCCTCATCTTGAATTTGTATGCAAGTTATTAATAGAAAACTAAGAACAGAAGGAAGGCAGGAAGGCAGACAATTCAGTGCTCCTTAAGGAAGATGTATTTGTTTTTAACAGGTGTAGATTATGCTCTGTTTTCCCCCCACCCCATAAAGACCTGCCTGCCACAATGCTAATTTGCAGAGTCTCCCTCTCCTCCTGGCTCCAGACCTTTATTAAAAGTCTAGTCTACACTGCTAGAGGAAAGGTCTAAAGTTATTATTATGTGCCTTAAGAGCTTATAAAGTAAAACACGTGATTAATATTTCAGGTTCCCCCCCCCCCAAACTCATGCTATCCCAGTTGCTACCTTGTAGTTGACTGAGAATGCAACCCTGTATAGCTTTCTACTCAGAAGTAAGCCCTGCTGAGTTCAATGGGACTTCCCAGCTCACTTTCCCACTGCCTCTTGAGCCTGTGTTTTATCCCAGTGTGGATCACATCTCTGTGGGGCTTCGTGCTCTGAGGCAGGTCATCCTTATTCCCTCATGCTTTTTTAAAGGCTTCTAGACCGAGGGCGACTTTCCAGAAGCCACTGTTAAAGCCTAGATGAGATTTGACCTTATGTTTTAAGCCTACATAAGCAAACACTCTGCACTGAAGTTGCCATACCAACTGCCCAGTGAAGAAGCGTAACAGTTCAGCAGGACCTGGGAATCTGGGATGCTGTTTCCAGAGGCAGAGGAACTGTGCCTTTGTGTGGGTTGGAAAAAGAACAGGCTCCTTGGATTGGTAACACTGGAGTTACAGATCCTCAGCATCACAATATCAAGACGTAGCTTGATCCAAAGTATGTTTAATTAGTAGTAAGTCCTACCGTATTGAGTCCAGGCTTACTAGTCCATTTTAGCATTATATAGTCTTAAGGGCATGAAGAGGCACCGTGACATTGAAAATTAAATATAAAGAACTAGTGGGCACCATTCGCCCAAAGCCAAGCACACTTAAATCCAGTTGGGTTCAATGCACGGTTAAAACCCGTGGGATGTGAAAATGTCACCCTACCCACGGAGTGTGACCCATGTTCTCCAGTGCCGATGGGGCATTTTTGCAAGTGATGTAATAAAACCCACACCTTGCAGTCAAGCTTGATAGTGTGCAACTGGAGGTTATAAATGGGGGGGGGGGGAGAGAGATATTAACATGAGCACACATTTTCCAGCTAATGCTCATTTTACATTCACCTCGCAGATGCGGGGAATGCCAAAACCAATTTAGGAAAACTGCCTCGGATCCAAGCTCTGGGAAAGTGGAGTCCCAAAGCTAGTATACACAGGAGATTACTGAGGAAGTGAGTCCTCCTCTTCTCCTCGGGACTATAACTGCAGTGATTCCCTCCTTATTTTTATTTGCTAACACCGCCTCCTTCGCTTTCCCCTCCTGCCTAACAAACTCCACTTATTTAAAGTTTGCCATTCTTTCAAACGCAGCTTGATTGCGGTCTGTTAACTCAGAGGCACTAAGTTCTTCCAAAATATGCAGACGAAGCAAGGGGATGGGGGGGGGGCAGAAACAAGCTCCAGGATGGCAGCCAAAAACTCTGGGATCTGAGCTAGGCATTAAAAGACACTGCCTGGAGAACTGCGAGCTACAGACACTTAACGGAGTTATTTTATTTCCAAAGTAACACCTGCAGCGTTTATGAGATCCTGTTAAGAAGCAGAAGAAATCTGCATTAGAATACAGTGTTTCCTGTAGGAGAGGAAGAAAAAGACACTTACAGGATGCAGCTCGGCTGCCTAATGTATTTATTGCCATATCATATATTAGGCGTTAGCCTGCAGTGTTGTTTCTGTTCCAGACTTGCAGCCAATTGATTAGGGAGCTGTTCTCCACGACTCAAGGGACAAAATAAAGAGTAAACACAATGGCTGGGTGTCTGGGAACTGACAGTCCTCACTTCAAGGCAAAAGATGGCTCACGCTGCATTAGTAACGCTTTGAAACTTCACAATGTCTGATGCTGGGTGCTTTTGAAGCATTGCTGCTATTTTGGTGTGTGTTTGTGTGCATAAGAGGAGGTATTTTCTGTTATTTAGGCTTCCTGGTATAATTTGACAAAACATACTTTGTATTTCAAGGGACATTTACCAGAAACGCAAGGAGACGAGTCCCCTAATTCAAGGACATTACATATGACCAGAATGTTCCTTCAGTCTGAGATTCTAATCTGTGAACTCTGGTTTTTAGCATTACGTATGTTACAGCCGCATATATGCCATACACTGAAAGGATGTGACTTCTACCAAAGAATCCAGGGAACTGTAGTTAATCCACCACAGACCTACAGTTCACAGCGCCCTTAATAAACTACAGTTCCCAGGGTTATTCGGGGAAAGTCATTGCTTGAGGAGGTGGCCCAAAACGGCAATCCAATTTGCCTTTAAAAATGTGGATGAGGGTGTGACCAAACTTTGTGATGAATGAACTTGAATTTGGCTCCCATGCCTGCTAGGAACAGCATAGAGACTTCGGTTCAAAATCTGATTTGAACTTCAGTTCAAAACCCCTTTCTTCGCCTTGCAAAATCTTGTTCTTCACTTACTCTGCCAGTTACTTTCATGCCTGCAAAATAATATTGTGTGATCTCTGGTGTATTATCCTAAACTGCTTTTTTGAAGGGTAGATTTATTCTTTGAGTTGCTGATGAGCTCCAGTGCCGTTTTTGTTTCCTATCCCCTTCTCTAAGTCATAGAATTGTAGAACTGGAAGGGAACCCAAGGGTCATCTAGCCCAACCCCCTGCAATGCAGGGATCAATTTAAATTGCTCTTCAAGCTCTCTCTTACTTCCCTTTGTAAAATTCTTTTTAAAAAATTATGCAGTGAATAGCATCATGATAGGGTTCTGTCATCAGACGTTAGGTTGCAGAGCTGACCACCCTCCCTTCTCCACTTCCTGTTAACATGGAGCCTCTTGAACAGAGCCTGCCAGTATTTTTTCTGATCATTGTTTGGAATTTCACAGACATTTGAAACCTGTGCCACCCCCTTGTGTTTGAGAGCGACCGAAAGGCATCAGTCTGCGCAGCAGCAGATCTAGAAGAGTTCAATAGCACAAGAAAACGAGGCCCAGCACGCCAAGCTTCCTGTTGCCCATTTTATTACTCACTTAGCACATTCAGGGTCACCAGCTTGTAGCTGTCACCCAATACTGGTGACAAGAGATTTGCAAGGGCTTTCGAGACCTTAGCTTCCACAGTATAAATGCAAGCAACCATCTCATATGGTTAGAAATAGGGATTTTTTTGTTTTTTATTTGCTCCGCTCTGCCAGTGCCCTGCTCATTTTTCTAAACAGCAAAATAATATGTCAGATAATCAGATGCTTGGGTGTACTATATTTTGTTTTTATTGTTAGGAACCCACTAAGCCTGAAGAAAGTGCAGCAGGAAATTAAAGCCAGCAGGCATTAATCTGTGTCTCAGGTGCTCTGCACAAACATATGTGCATGCCAGCCAATTGCTCATCGCTCAATCATTCATCACCTGTGAACTCTGTGTATGGATGGGTGGGCCAGCTTCATTGGCAAGCCTTATGTTTTGAGCTGATGTGAGGCAGCATGACAAGTCTTGCCTGTGGGGTTCAATATTGGAATGGCTCCTTCAGAGATGTGAGTCATCCCTTGATATATGGCTGTCATCAGACGATGCCTTGAGAGAGGTGGGATATATATTCCACAAAGAAACTGGACACAATTAAATGATGCCTCTGCACATGGGAACTCCGCTGAAGTCTGACTTTAAGCCATTGTTTCCCAAACTTGGGTCTTCAGCTGTTTCCGAACTGCAGTTCCCATCATCTCTGACCGCTGGTCCTGCTAGCTAGGGATGATGTCGTCCAAAAGCAGCTGGAGACCCAAGTTTGGGAAACACTGCTTTAAGCAACGGGAGGTTAAATCTGGCATCTTGATTCACCCAGAAGTAAATCCCCACTGAATTCAGTGGAATTGACTCCGACATCAGCCTGCATTTTTTCCTGAGATACTTCTATGAGTACTCTCACCCTCTGAGGTAAGGCAAGAGGTGATCAGAGAGAGGGCATTATTTGCGGTAGCCTCCTTTCTTTGGCATTGCTTTCCTAGGGAAGTTCACCTGGTCCGGTGCATGCGTTGTATCTTTTTGGCACCAGACAAAAGTCCTTTTACAAATCTGTTTCAGTTTAAATGTTTTGATTGCTGCTGCTATGCCCTTTTGAGCCTGTCAGAGTAATTACATTTACATCTTCCATTAGTATTTTTTTTTAATGATGTTGTGCTTCTTATTTTTATGTAAGCTATAAGTTATGTAACTTCCTGTCATTTACCTGCAGGATCTGCTCAGTGAGTGCTGTCAACTGCCCATCATCTTTGCCCTATCAAGAACAATGTCAAACTCATGGAGAGATGCCTCTTTGGCATTCTAAGTGGTTTCTTTAGTTTGTGAGGACAAAACTTGATTTTCCTCTCTTCTCTTTCTCTTTCTTGTTTCATGTGGAATAGTAAATAAATAAAACAAGCCTTCCTCAAACTGCAAAGAAGATGGGGAATTCTTATGCTGGGCAGCTCAAGACCACACGCTTTGAAGAAGTGCTGCATAATTCTATCGAGGCTTCTCTCCGGTCCAATAATTTAGTTCCTAGGCCGGTTTTTTCACAGCTGTATTTAGAAGCCGAACAGCACCTTTCCTCTCTAGAAGGTAAGAAACGTTGATTTGACATTTTTATTCAAGTAGAAATTGAGCCTGTTTTGTTTTTAATGATTGAGAGATCATCCTGAATATTCAGTCCACAATCAACACAAAGTTGGCAGAGCCGCCACTGGGTGCTGCCTGGTTGGTGTTGATCTGCAACAGAGCCTCGTTGGTGGTTTCCCATTTATGGAATGTCCTCCTTGGTTAGGGGCATCTTTCTCCCTCGTTATTAACACTGGAATTTTAAATAAAAAACATTCCTGTTCACCTAGGCATTTGATGGCTGGAAAATAACTGTTTCTGGCAACCTTGAAATGATATTTGATTGCTTTTAATTTTTTTAATTATTATTTGTTGCGGTGGTTGCTGTTTTATTGTTTGCTGTCCTTGGCTGCTTTGGGAGGAAGGGTGGAACAGAAAGTTGATTAAATGACGAATAAATAAGCGTTCAAGCATGATATTCCGATCCCCCAAGCAAAGTCACTGGAATCACTTCACCACCCACCAAGCCAACTTGTTTTACTGCTAAACTTCAGGAACCTCTGTGGATCTGACAGTATGCAGGCATCATTATTCTTCTGGTGCAACTATTTCCTCCTGTTAATTGCTGGTCTCTCTTTATTGGCTTGAAGGGCATTTCCTTTGTATCTTCTTTTCATGAGCACACTTCCTTTCAAAGCAGTCTAATTACGGCATGGAAAGAATAATTATCAATGCAATATGGCGGGGTCTTTAGGCAGTTGCATTGAAACATAATTGAAATATTATTCAAATAGTTTTGAACGATATAGCTACTCACCACCTATGGAAAAACCCTATTTAGGAACAAATCTGTGGCCATTGCACACATATTTCCCTCTCTCCTTCCTTTCTTCCATGCTGAACAAGGACTTTTTCATTTGCATGAAAAAAACCAACACCATTGTTTAAGTGTCCATCTGCTCCCGCTGCTTGCTCCCCACGTGGAAAACCTTAGATTTCATAAACCTTAGATTTCAACAAAGTCTGATGTCACAAAAGTGGGTTATGACATCAACTGGGAGAAGATGCTGCCAGAACATGGTCTTTGTTTTAAAACAAAAGAACTCTTTTCACACTTGTTAATGGATTTAACAAATCACTGGGTCCTAATCCTGGTGTTCTTTGTGTGTGTGTGTTTATATATATATATAATTAGCAAGAACTAAGTGCGTTTATCCAGATTATTATTATTATTATTATTATTATTATTATTATTATTATTACTATTACTATTTTATTATTTTAAAAAGCATGCACAGGGCAGAAAAAATATTTAATTATTTCATTTAAAATGTGTATAAATTGCCCATTAGCTTTAATACTGCCTAATTGCTATTGTGTGGCTGGAGAATGATAGCCTATTGAGGTGCAATATGGGAATAGCCTTGCTTCCAAGGGGTAGGCTGTTTGCCATATCTTTTACAAAAATAACAAGGGGGTTGCAAAATGTGCCCTTCCATGAGAGGGGGGAAGGAAGTGTTCATACTTCACAAATAGTTTTTAAAATTATAAAATAAAATGTCCACAAAATGCCAGGGCACCACTATGCGGAATAGTGTAGTGGACTTCCTAGTCCCACCTTATCATCTTCTCATTATTAAAGGGCCAGAAGACAGTTAACGCTTGTAGCTAGGAGTGCTCAACGTTGAGCAAAAATAATAATGAGAACAACCCAGCCATAAAAGTAATTTAGAAAACCATTGATTTCATTGGAAAGGATTTAAGCACATGTTTAATTCTTATTGAAATCAGTTGGACTTAAAATACTGCCAATTCTTGAAATGAAAACTTCTGGTAGATGGGCAGAGTCTAGGGGCAATCACAGAAGAGTTTCAGGAACAGAGTTTGGGTGTATCCAACATTTTTAAAAAGCAGATAGCTGGGTGAGATAGCTGAGTTGGTTAGAGCATGGTGCCGATAACACCAAGGTTGCAGGTTCAGTCCCCATATGGAACAGCTCCATAGCCCAGGGGGTTGGACTAGATGATCCTCAAGGTCCCTTCCAACTCTGCTGTTGGATTCTAGTGCTTTTGAGAGGTCCATGCTGTAGCCAGGTGATTTTTGGTGTGCCTGTATACGCAGCCTAACACAAAAATCAATATCTGGACCGATTTTATTCTCATTAGCTAACCATTTATTTCATTGGCCGAGAGGGGATGTGTTCTTGCCCTTTTGAAAACAGACACAATAAATTAAAAATTGCGTAGTTAACGGAGAAGCAGTATTTGTTTATATTCTCCCAACAATTTCCTCTGTAGTCTGCCTCTTTTATTTATATGATTGCAGGCTGAAAGTACAATAATAAAATAGACTAGTGCTTGTCATCGTTGTTTGCCATGAAGTCTGCTTCTGAGCCTTTTCAGGCAAAACCGTTGGAACAAAAGGGCACTCCTAGACTTCAGACCGCAGGCAATGTCTTTCTTTTGCATTACGCTGCTCAGCAAAACAACTGATGTTCAGAGTGGTTGTGATCTTTGCTTGGATGCTTTTGCTGGACAGCTGTGTTATTTTCATAGATTTTCCTGCCATTTTCCTTTCGGCATGTAGTCAAAATTTATGTGACTGCTTCGTACCAAGTTAACTAAATTCTCTGTGGCTTATATCGAACCTGTGCTTTATTCATGCTTAATGTATGCCTTATGTTTAATTCAAACACTTAACACATCAATAGCTGTAACCTAACTGAATATATTAAGCAAGGTTTTATTTGTCATCTGAATCTGGCCCAGTTTGCTCAGTGCCTCAAAGCATGTAGAGCTTAATGCAGCTCTGGACAAAAATAATCATGCTTTTATAATGACTGCCCTTTAAAGGGTTGTGTATGTATATTGAAGTTTTGAAGAGCTGATCTACAAATATTGGTTTACGCTGGTACTATGAATACACCAAAGGCATCTCAAAATCATAGTTTGCATACATCTTGAGTATTTGAGGGCCTTGATCCAGTGCTGTGCAATTGTCCTCATCCCTCACATCCCCCAACGTGAGTATAAGCAGTGCTAGCGTTCATTATAGTGAATGGGAACTTTACAATCGTTTAATGTTGCAGCACCTAGACTTTTGGCACTCCTTCCTATTGATATCAAGCAGGCACCTTCACGGCACTCTTTTCAGTGCCTGCTAAAAACATTTACATTTAGACAAGCCTAACTAGCATGCTTAAAGGGACGCAGGTGGCGCTGTGGGTTAAACCACAGGGCCTAGGACTTGCCGATCAGAAGGTCGGCGGTTCGAATCCCCGCGACGGGGTGAGCTCCCATTGCTCGGTCCCTGCTCCTGCCAACTTAGCAGTTCGAAAGCACATCAGAGTGCAAGTAGATAAATAGGTACCGCTCCGGCGGGAAGGTAAACGGCGTTTCCGTGCACTGCTCTGGTTCACCAGAAGCAGCTTAGTCATGCTGGCCACATGACCCGGAAGCTGTACACCGGCTCCCTCGGCCAATAAAGCGAGATGAGTGCCGCAACCCCAGAGTCGGTCACGACTGGACCTAATGGTCAGGGGTCCCTTTACCTTTACTTTAACTAGCATGCTTGGGAAGTTGAGATGTTTTTAAATCTGATTTAGCATTTCAACTTTTGCATGTTTTAAAGGACTGTTGTAATTTTTTCTTGAGTTTCTTGTTTTAGCTTTTTTTTTTAAACTGCTAGAAGGTTTTCTTCCTTTAAAAAAACAACAACAATCACACGGTGTGTCACTTTTATGAAATAAATAATAAAATAATATCCCCAGACAGTCCTCCTCTCTCAGTGCCATGGAATTATTGCACAAGCAACCTGCGTGGCGAATGGAGGACAGGGCTGGAAGCGGATATGAGAAACACGCCAAAGAGCTCCCATTCCTTTCGGTACCCTCTCATTCTGCCCGCGCATGTACCTATGATCTTGCACTGGTGTGGGGATGAGGGAAGCAGGGTTCTGTTGGACTCTGTGTTTCTTAGTCATGCTCCACTGGATCAGGTAAATCGTACAGGACAAGATATAGTGGACCAGTTCACAAGAACCTTAGGTGGGAAGTTGGTGGATTCGCACCCGGCCCCTTGGGATGCTTGTGAGTTCACACAAGCACGTTTGTCACTCCACAACTGCAGCTTGACTTGATTCCTTGTGTCTGTGAGACAGTCACCATGGTTCAAAAGTCACAGGCCACTTTCATGTCACCTGAACATGCTGTGTCTCTTGATGGAGGCAGTTCACATATCATTTATTGTGAGTTGAGTGACTTATTATTCCGGAAAGTGCTATGGGTGCTTTTCTTCTCTTACACCAAACTCACACCTGTTCCCTTTATTTACCTGCTTTTCTGTAAAGTCGGAAGCTGCCCTAAGATTTGTTTCAAGCTACTGTTTAGCTCATTAACTCAGCGCAGTCCTCACTGCTGTATTTGAAGCTTGGTACCTGCGGCTGAAATTGCGAAACAGCTCTCGCTGATAAAGGGGGAGAAACGTTATTTCCTCTCATCTGAATGCACCATTTACCTGACCTCTGGTGACTGTGCTCACGATACCTTTTAGCAGGCAACAGAGTGGATAATGAGGAAGATGAGGAGGAAGAAGAGGAAGAGGAGGAAAGTTCAGAATCAAGCAGCCCCCCTATCACTTATCAGATGAAGCCGCCTCCTGAAGGTGGTTGCACTACTGACGGTAAGAAATTCATACAGCTGGGTGGCACGTTTAGAGGTGCACGCAGATGAAGCAGCTTCTTCACACCGATGACTGAGAGCACATGCGCCGAGTTGCACCCAGCATTGCGTGTGCACATGACGACTGTTGCGTCAGGAGAGGCCGGCCAGGTTGCGCCCGGGCCGACATCCCGCCAGGCCAACATCCCGCCAGGCCACACCACATCCGGGTGACATTCCCTCAGACCTTCTCTGCTCCCTCAAGATTGGGGATGCTGAGTCCTCTTCCAGTGGACATGGCGGAGGGCTGTAGAGGCTTCAGCCCCACAGAGTTGGCACGCCTGACTAAGAGTTGATCCTTTCACACAGAATGAAACCCGAGAGTTCAATCCAGCAAGCCTTAGGCATGGCTACATTCAGTCGTGGACTTAAACTAATCAGGACTGCGTCATTTCTGCTGCTTTCACTGGGATCCATGCTTAATTCTGAGGCCTAGTTGATGTTTAGGCTGTGCTATTTGGGACTGCAAGTGGAAGCCCCCATGATTGAATGTCTTGCTGTGCATTGATTTCTCCACATAGCAAAGTCAGAGAGAGTGGTTCTAGTCTAATCTTCTCCCCGAGATTATCACATTTGTCTTCTATTTACACCCTGATTTTCACTTAACAGAGTAGCACTTAGAGTTTTATTTATGAAGGAACATTCAGTTATGTGAGCCCCCACCTGAAGTCTGAAATGGTACTGCTCAGAATTCCTCAGTGAAAAATAGGATGTCACAATGAACTTTGCAGATTGAATTTTGCATGAAAAATTACCTTTAGGATAATAAGATTTTGGGGGAAATGATAATAATTGTGGATTGCTTTTAATCTGTTTGGGTCAGCTTGTTTTAAAATGTTTGGCATTATTAGAACTTCTAAAGAAAGTATTAATCCGAACAGAGATTTTTACAGTTTGACAATGGAGATACTATTGTATAATTGTTAGCAAAACATGACTCAGAATGGCACATTCCAGAACATCTATGGATGATGTACAGAGAAATTTAGGGTATTTTGAATGGTAAGCTCAGATATTCGTTTTTAATGAGCATTTGCATACCAGAGTTGTTTTCTATAAAGTGAAAGAGTAGTCTTTATTTCCAATTAATTCAGTGTCCACCTTTTTGACTTGAAAATTACTTAGCTCCTTCTGGACGGGATGCCACATGTACACTGCAAAAAGTAGAAGCCCTGAGTTGCATATAAAATTGCACATGTTAATTTATACGTACAGATGCAAATTTAGAAATAATTACTTTAAACAATTTAAATAGAAATACAATACATCTCACCACAGTGAAGAAGACTGAGCAGGTAACCTATGCGCCTGATTGGTTTGCTGCCCAGGGGCTCCCTTTTGAAGGGCAATTCCTGGTTCTCTCTTCTTATGGTTCTTCATCTTTAAACTGGAATTAGACCTGACAGCTCTTCAGCTAAGAGGACTGTAAAATAGGATACATTGCCACCTTAGACTGAGTCCTGAGACTGGCTAGCCTACTGAAGTCCCATGTTTATGTTGTCACTTGCACTTTGCTATTTATTGAGAAATCTAGTATCCATGTGTACTAATTTCTTTTCTTTCTTTTTTTTTAAAAAGGATGTGCTTCAGGGCATGTCTGTAGCAGCTCCTTTTTTGTGCAATCTGGCGCCGAAAAGAGCACATGCCGTTGGTTTGGCCTCTGCCTCATTCCAATGTCTCGCCAATTATTGTCTCTCGGTTGTTGCTCCATTTCCTGGTTTCTCTGTGTGAAATTTAGGACCTCATTAACTGGGTACTAACTTTCCTGTGATGGCCCTTGCATATGTTTGGACAAATGCCGCTCAGTGTGTCCCTCATCCTTGCCATTGTCCTTCCCATGTGCTTTCACCACTGCAGCTTTTTACCCGCTTTGGAATGCTGAATTTGCTTATATTAACCTTATTACCACTTCCTGCTTACTGTTTTGCGAAAGGTGACGCACAAATCGTCAGACGATATGATCCAGAATTTCCCTCGTAGCGCCTATCCACCCGTCTCTCTGGGTGACCAGAGATAATAATAATAATAATAATAAAATAATAATAATAATACCCCACCCATCTGGCTGGGTTTCTATTCCCACATCACACACACTTCATTATTGGAGCCATTTTCCTTTAAAAATGCATATGCAAATATTCCCCTCTCGTTTGTTAATTTATTCCACTGTGTTACATTGTAAGGAAAGAATGGGATCGTTTCTGAACTTGTACAGCTTAGGCAGTTTTGCTGTCCGTACTTCTGCATCAATCCCTCACCCCTTTACACATTTGAATCAAAATACAGTGGTACCTCTGGATGCGAACGGGATCCGTTCTGGAGCCCCGTTCGCATCCTGAAGTGAATGTAAGATGCGACTGCGCGTGCGCGGGTCGTGTTTCGCTGCTTCCGCGCATGCGTGTGACGTCATTTTGAGCGTCTGCGCATGCGTGAGCGGCGAAACCCAGAAGTAATGCTCTCTGTTACTTCCGGGTCGCCACGGAGCGCAACCTGAAAATATTCATCCCGAAGCTACTTCAACCCGAGGTATGACTGTAATGAGAGATATGTAGATGCAACCATGCATATTCAGTGGGGATTTATTAATTTTATCCTGGACCCACAGTTCCGAGAGGAATTTATTTCTTTAAAACACCTTGGCTATTGTCTTGTCTTGTCTTGTCTTGTCTTGTCTTGTCTTTTCTTTTCTTTTCTTTTCTTTTCTTTTCTTTTCTTTTCTTTTCTTTTCTTTTCTTTTCAAAAGAGTATAATTTATTCCACCAGTTCATACATAACCTATGGTATATGATTTGATTAAAATAGTGCTGTTGTTTTTCCTCCTCCAGGTTTCTGCCAGGCTGGTAAAGATTTGAGATTAGCATCGGTTTCAAACGACCCAATTGAAGTGCCTTCAGGGTTTCTACTGGTTGGCGCCAAGTCACCAAGCTTACCGGATCACCTTTTAGTGTGTGCCGTAGATAAGAGATTTCTGCCTGATGACCAGGGGCGCAATGCCTTGCTAGGTAAGTGGCGGCTGTGATCACAGCATTGCTGTAAGTCAAGGACCCTGTGGCCCTCTAAGATTTTGTGGGATTATTGACTGCCATCGTCCTTGACTACTGCCATGTTGACTGGAACTGATGAGAGTTGGAGATAAACCATTTCTGGAGGGCCAAGGTTTCCAGTTTCTGTTGTCAGGGAGAAATGACAAGATTAGCCCCATCTCATTTTGATTCCTGGTATTCGTCCTTGTTTGGAACGATTTAACCTTCTGTGCAGGTGGCTGAGCTTAAGGAAAGGTACGGAGTGAACCTCTATTTTGCAGATGCCGCGTTACCTTTAATCCAGTCCAAGGTTACACTCATTGTCTGATCAGTTTGCATTTACAGTTGCTCAGGCGACACCTTGAATTACTAGGCCATTTATGGACATTTCCAATGCCAGCTGTCTTTGATCTCATCTTGTTTTGATATACAACCTGTTCCTCTTCTCTTTTGAGATGTGGTTTGTGATAGCAACCCATTAGTGAAGCTGGCTGCACAGAAACAGAGGCTCCCTAGGGTTGTCATATTTCTAAAAGTGAAAATCTGGACACAAATGGTTTTTTTTTCTGACATGGGTTTCCATATGCCTAGGTTTCCCTGAACATTTTAACCGGTCCTCGGAAATTCTGTCCGGACACTGTTTTTGACGGACAAATCCAGGATATGCCTGGGAAATTCTGGACATATAGCAACACTACTCCCTGCTGCTTTCTCAGTCTCATCACCTTCTTTATGAGATATATATATATATATATATAGGTAAAGGGGACCCCTGACCATTAGGTCCAGTCGTGGCCGACTCTGGGGTTGCGGCGCTCATCTCGCTTTATTGGCCAAGGGAGCCAGCGTACAGCTTCCGGGTCATGTGGCCAGCTTCTGGCGAACCAGAGCAGTGCACGGAAACGCCGTTTACCTTCCCGCCAGAGCAGTACCTATTTATCTACTTGCACTTTGACATGCTTTCGAACTGCTAGGTTGGCAGGAGGAGGGACTGAGCAACGGGAGCTCACCCCGTTCCGGGGATTCGAACCGCCAACCTTCTGATCGGCAAGTCCTAGGCTCTGTGGTTTATCTAAAACCCCTATCCGGCGGGTTGTAGTGGTTAGAGTATGGGTTAGGACCAGGGAAACTCGGGTTCAAATTCCCACTCACCCTCTCCCTGAGTAGTTCTACTGGGAGAGAGCCTCTGAGCTGTGGCTCCCTGAGGTCCAGTCCTAGCTGCACCAACTATTCAACACTCATGCCCCATAACTGCAATTCTAATTATAGTACCTTGGAAATATGGCAGACCTGTTTAGGGCCTTTGTGGCGTAGATTGAATCTAGGGCTGTGTGCATGCCCTAAATTTAAAGCACATCCCCTCACAAGAGAAAGAGTTATGGGAACTGGTTTGTTAAGTGTGCTGGAAATCGTAGCTCTCTGAGGCATAAGCTACAGTTTCCAGACTTCTTTGGGGGCAGAATATATGCCTTAAAATGTGTGGTGTGTATGCAGCCTTGCTCTTGGACTTGAGCTAGTTGTGAAGGGTGACTTTGAGTCAGCCTCTCACTCTCTTTTACCCAACGTACTTTACTGATCTGTGAGGAGACGAGACAGTGTTAATCTTACATAGGCTGCTCTAAGCAACTGGAAGGAAAAGTGAGATACACATGTGATGGATGGAGATGATTGTCTACTGTGCTAGAATTAGTGTGAGTGGGTTAGGATCTTGGTACAAAACAAACTCTAGGGAGGAAAAAAAGTGTGATGAGCGCTAAACAAGGCAATTAAATAACATTTTCCCAAGCTACTAGTTAGGCCTGGTGTTTAACTTTGAAGAAACTCTAATTACTTGGTGCTCTGTCACACACAATTCTTGAGAGCTTCACATATGGTGTTCCGCACCATATTGAATTCTTATGTATTTGAGAGTAAATGCATTTGCTGTTAGGGTTGCTCCTAACAATATTGCCAGGCAACAAGGAGCTACAAAGCGATGCCAATAAAAATCAAAAGGATGCAATGTGAGCCCAGTATAAATAAATTTGGGATCTGAGTTTACAACCAGCTTTGTAAGAAGCGGTGGAGTATATAACTTCATCTGGCAATAATGTGTCTTGCCATGAGATCTTGCTGACTTTGATGGGTCACAGTACAATTGGCCTGCGACCGTAAAGGAATTAAAAGGGCTGTAAATTTGTGGTGCGTTGTCATTTTAAAGATACAAGCAGTAATGTTGAACCACTCAGCCCATTCATAGCTAGCGCTATTAACAGCCTAAGGTTCCTAAGGCTGTTAACACAGAGGAAGTAGTATATGTGTTAATTGCACGCTAAACCAGCAGAGGGGGGAAAAGTAGTAAGAAACATTTGGTAATAATAACGCTAAGCCTACAATCCTGTGCACACTCACTTGGGAGTAAGCTCCGTTGAACGCAGTGGTGTGTCTTCTAAGTCAACACACAAAAGGATCAGGTTTAGTAGTTATTTGCAATGCTTTTGTGTGCAGCTAACACGTTGGCTTATTACCCTTCAAGTTATTTCTGTGTTCATTTCTAAACATTTAAAATTATGTTTCAGCACCAACTGAAGCAGAGGTTCCCCTTGTGCTGGCAGAATTTCTGGTGGCAAGTTTGTTGTGCTTTGCTTTCTGCTTTTAAAATGCATGACTCTGTCTAGTAGCAAATCTTCAAAGTCAGTTCTGTATAAAACATCTGAAGCTGCATCTTTACATGTTTCTTTGATAATGCGTACCTTCTTCAACAAGGTGCATATATAATACTTGTGGCTAGGATATTTCAGTTGTCCTTAGGGGACCAAGCAATGATGTTATGATGACATGAGCATTTCCTTGTGGCAGTCTGACCGCACACAAGAGAACAATACCATATCAGATGCATAGCAGCAGGGATGGAACAGTCAGTCTATTTCCATCTGTGACATTTTCACATGTGCTCATCCATAACTCTGTTCCATCTTATTTCTGCATTAACATGCAATTAAAAGTAATCACAATGAAAATTCGCATTTACACCTCCAATTCCTGTATGTCCCCCAAAAATATTTGATTTCTGGAAGAATTTTCATGTATTTGATCTAATAACCATATTGAAAAATTTAGGGAGAGCAAAAGCTGGCGGATGACGAAGTTTCAGCCCACATACCTTTCTGGGGAGTTTAGATCTCAGCAACTTGTGACTGAATTTTCAAAGCTCAACAACTTCAAGGATTCCTAATTTCTCTTGCTTCCTCTTGTTGCTGCAGACCACAGTGACATGCACTACACAAGGATGGTCACATGGGATATAATAATGCCTGCCTCGAGGGATGTATGCTTGTGTGTGTGAACTGACCCACATCTCAAATTGCTTGCACAACAAGAAATGTCCGTATTATTGAAATCGGTGATTCATAGCATGGTGTGCTTTGGTCTCTGTCACTCTCTGATTGTGTTGCTCTGGAATCTGGACAGTGGCGGACCTTGGCGTCTCAGATTTCAGTGGCGCCCTGTGTGATGCCATAATCCAGTGGTGAATTTTGCCTTCCGTTGGATGTCATGGTTTTGGCACCTTCTGCAGCACCCCAGAAGCCCCACGCCCAGTGCAACTGAATTGGTTGCACCCCCCTAGATCCGCCTTTGATCTGGATGGTAGGAATTCATTTCACGGTCCATCTAGCCTGCTAAAGCAGTGTGGAATAAGTGAAAGTGGATTAATAAACTGGGCCATGCTGCTTTAGAGTAGAGTAGAGTAGAGGAACAGAATCTGGTTGTTGGGTGGGATCCTTGTTTCCCTACTCTCATTCGGCCATTTTGACTGGTGGGCTTTGGTCTGCCCACCTCTTAATTGCCTGACATCACTACGATGGCAGATGACCCATTTCCCCTTTGTAGCACCACAAGCTGCACTAAAAAGAAGAATCCAATCTCAGCCAGGTGGGGTTGGGATTGCCTGTGCTGTGGAGTACCCCGGGCGAAACTCCATAGCATAGCCAATCCCAGCTGGCTTGCCTCACTACCAGTTAGCTGATTGGCAGTGACAGCGAGCCTCCCTTGTCAATACATAGCCAAGAGTGCACTTCAAGGCTCCCTATTGTGCATTGGTAGCTGCGTCTTTACCTGTCTGCCACCTGATGTTACAGATGACATCAGGTGTTTGTAGCTTGGGGGATCTGGCCTCGCGGGTCATATTGGGACTTATCCCAGGCCTGATTACGCCCTCAGACCAGAATTTTCCCAATCCTGGCCTATAGATTAGGGCAGACTATAATATGCTTCCAGATAGGTGCTTCATATTGAAAATAGTTTTTTTAGCTACTGCAAACAGACAGAGTTATTAACTTATTGATTTTTCCTTAGGGAGGTTAAATCTTGATTAAATCGGGGTGGGGATAGTGACATTTTAATGCCGAGGACATTGTGCAGACTCTGCAAAGAAACTTGCATGCAAGAGCAGCACTGATCCCACAATAAACATCTACCTGGAAGCACCCAGAGTATTGATAACAATAAAAAATGCTGCTGAATTTTGCATAGATGCACCTGTATTTGAGGCACTTGAAGGAAGATGGTAGGTGGCAAACTGTTGCATACATCCTTTGTTCTCACAGCCACCTCTTTGAGGAAGACCGTCATTATATCCCCATTTTACATAATTGAGACCAAGAGACAATGAATTCTGCCCAATCCATGAATGATTTGGAATTGGAATGGAGATTTCAAAAATTCAAATTCTAAGTGAAAAGCATTTTCTTGTGGAAGCCAAAACATCTGATATTTCCTAGCCATCATTTTTGAAAGGAGGAAATGACAAGTATCAGACCGACTTGAATGTCCAGTCATTCCACCCCTGCACTTTGGTGATAGTCATAGATAATAGAACCATAGAACCGTAGAGCTGGATGGAACCCAAAGGGTCATCTAGTTGTGACCCCCTGGAATTCAGTGAAGTGGGAGATAAATGTAATCAAATCAATAAATAGGTGAGGAAATAAGTTCTGCAGATATTCAGAGATGCTCTTAAAAACACACACAACCATTTATAAACCTCAGGGCAGAGTTCTTGCAGTGGAACAACTGAGCTCATTGACTCCTATATAGACCCTAACAGGTACTGCTGAGCCAACTCAGAAGTTATCAGGATTTTCTTTAAGACATCCTCCAGCTGGAATAGGCTTGGTAAGCTTGGCTTCAGATCAAGCCCTGCCTGCAAATAAGCTCAATATTTTTAAATTGATGGAATCAAATTTTATTTATCTACTTTGGTATGGCTCTCTTCCTCTCTCTCTCTCTCTCTTTCCATCCATTTGTTTTCATAAAGCAGGGGACCCTGTTTCTTCCTTAATCTCGTTTGATAACCTTGAAGGAAACTGTTCACAAAAGGGAAATGCACCCCATCCAAAAGTGTCTTAAATGGTTTCCTGAGCATTTCTGAGCTGGCTCCACCACTGTCTGTGGAGATGCCCACAGGGCATATATAGGCTCGGAAGGAAACATATCTGTGTATTTAGTAATTTCCTGAGTAGCCTCTTTGACTTCTGTTTCATATTCATGACAAGCTAGTGAAATGCCTGTGGGGCATAAATCAAGTCCGTTTATTGATTTTGTTTAGAAGGTTGCTTTGGTGGTTCCAGCTTGCTTGCCTCCATGACTTACTTGAGTTGGTCATATTGGAGGTTTCTTCTTCTTCTTTTTTAAAAAAAACGCCATTCTGTCTAGCCTTCTTATGCAAAATATTGGCACCCTCTCCCTGCGAGGTGCAAGTATTCTAGCTATTAAGTAATCTTTGTTCATCAATGTGAGAGAACTTCCTCTCCGAAGCTTTTCACGGTACTTTTAAGAAACACACGTCCTATGTATCTCTAAATCAGTGCCATACATTAAGACAGAAAATATTGCCGCTCTCTGCATGGGGCGCTGAGACCCCTTTCCTGTTTGTTTTGTTGCCTCCACATAACAGCCTCCCAAGCTTTTTGCAACAATAACATTCATAAACTTCTAAATCTTGCAAACCTATTAATACAGTTCTTTAGAATGAAAGAAAGGCGAGGGTCAACAAGGGATAATATTTTTCAGTAATGGCTGATCAAAATTAGAAATTAAAACAGGGATGGGTAACCTGTGGCCCTCCAGATGTTGTTGGATTCCACCTTCCATCATGCCCAACCAGCATGACCAATGGTCAGGGATGGTGGGAGTTGTAGTCCAACAGCATCCCGGAGGATCACGGGTTTGCCACTCTGTATTAGAATAATGAAAAGTCTTGATGAAAACAGTGGTTTTTTAACCTAGTGGGTACATCCCTATCTTGCTGAGAGGATATTCTGTGGAGTCGGTTGCAGCGTCCTGTGGCAATTTAAAGATCATAGCTGCCACCTGAGGATTACATTTTATGTATCTGATGAAGTGAGCGCCCATTCACAAAGGTTTATGCTGTAGTAAACTTCTTAGTCTTTAAGGTGCCATAAGACTGCTTGTTGTTGTTTCTACAGGGACGGCGCTCTATAAACCGGGCACCCTCCTCCTGCCATTGTTTCCCTGCCCTTCTCCCCCAGAAGGCCTCCTTATTTTTCCTTTTTTTTTTTTTTACTTCTACTCTCTTGAGGAAAGTCCTGACGTATAAACAGCGCAGCTCTTGTCTCTTATCATCTTCCTCCCTTTTGCCAGAGAGCTGCGTTTGCACGGTTTATCTCCATGCTCACTTGTAGGAAGGCTTGGTAAAATTCTCCGGGGAGAAATGAAGAACCAGGGTGGGAAAATATCAAGGATTCATTCTCTTTTCCTGCTAGAAGAGCATTAGAGGCTTTTTGCCTGCCATGCAGAACCAAGCACTATCCTATTATTCCAAGGGTGCCCCAATATGCCATCTGAGGAGAAACAGGAATGTGCCTCCCCCTCTTCTGCCCCCTGCCACCTCACCACTTCTGCAGCTGCCAGAAGAACCCCCCTCTTGCTGAAACTTGGCGACGCATGGTGTTGCTCTTCATCTTCCCCATCCCTAGGGAATATGGAATAGTACTTGTTTCTGCCCGGCAGGCTGAAAACTTATAACACTCTTTTGGCGGGAAAAGAGAATCCTCAATTTTCCCCACCCTGCTTCTTGATTGAACTCAAGAGAGTGGGGGCGGCATCTGCAAGGCTGTTCTGTTTGTCTTCTTTGCTCCAGGGGCTACAGATCAAATCCCCATTACAGGTACAGCAACTGGAATGACCATCCCATATTATATATATTATATATATAATATATATTGTATATATGTAATAAATAATAATAATAATACACCGTCCACCTAACTAGGTTGCCACAGCTATTCCGAGCAGCTTCCAATATATATAAAAGCACAATAAAACATTAAACATTTTAAAACTTCCCTATACTGTACAAGGCTGCCTTCAGATGTCTTCTAAAAGTTGTAATTTACTTATCTCCTTGGCACGGGGGTCCCATAACTCCATACCCACCCCCAGCACTTCTCTGATGAAAATAGGCACATCCTAAGGAAAAGGGCATTCTAGGGGCATTCTAGGATCAAATCAGAAACCGGGAAGGCTTCTGTAAATCCGGGACTGTCCCTGGAAAATAGGGACACTTGGAGGGTCTGCCATGTTAAGATTCAATATCCAGAAAACGGCTAAAATCACACACATCTTTGTAATGTCCAGAAGTCAGGGTCAACTATGAAATGCGGTCCTTCCATTTTGAATGTGTATGGCCATTAAGAATATAAGAGGAACCCTGCTAGATCAAACCAAAGGCCTAAAGAGTCCAGCGCTATTTCGCCCCATAGTGACTAAAAACAGATGCCCCTATTCGCGGGTGGCGCTGTGGGTTAAACCACAAAGCCTAGGATGCTGATCAGTAGGTCGGCGGTTCGATTCCCCGCGACGGGGTGAGCTCCCGTTGCTCAGTCCCTGCTCCTGCCAACCTAGCAGTTCGAAAGCACGTCAAAATGCAAGTAGATAAATAGGTACCGCTCTAGCGGGAAGGTAAACGGCGTTTCCATGCGCTGCTCTGGTTCGCCAGCAGCGGCTTAGTCATGCTGGCCACATGACCCAGAAGCTGAACGCCGGTTCCCTCGGCCAATAAAGCGAGATGAGCGCCACAACCCCAGAGTCGGTCACGACTGGACCTAATGGTCAGGGGTCCCTTTACCTTTACCTTTAAAAATCCTATAAGTAGGAGATGAGGGCCACTGCCCTCTCCTGCTGTTATTTCCCAGCAACTAGTACATGCTCTGTCTGATCCTGGTGCCAACATATAGCCATTGTGACTGGTAGCCATTGATAGTCTTATCCTCCGCGAATTTGCCTCGTTGTTGTGTAGGTTGATGGCCATTACCACATTCTGGCATTATATCTTCAGACGTTTGTAAAGCGTGAACAGGAAAATTGGACATTGGAAGCTGACACAGAGGGACCAGATGTAATATAGAGGGCTCAGTTGTTCTCCCTCTCCGTAGTTCTCCCCGCCCCCCACCTGCCCTTGGCCTCCCTCCTCCAAATGTCACAGCACCCAAGAGGGATGCTAGTCTCTCAGATGAGGTCTGGTGGAGTCAGCCAAATGTAATTAACATAGACCACTGAACACTCATCAGATTGTAACAGCCTTCGGTCACTCTTGATGCAGGCTGGTTTTGAACTGATGACCTAGAGGTGAAAGGGCTTTATCTGTCAGACTACAAATATTGATCTCTAGCCATCTTGCAGGCTCAGCCTTGTGACATAGATAAATTGGAACGCATACTGGACAGCTCAGCTCTCCTGACCTTTGCCATATCTACAATGTATATGGAAAATCTGCTTTATTTAGCTTGCTTACAGAATGAGCAGCCCTCTCCTATTATGTGCTAGATCCAGATGTTTGTGTATAACCCAGGCATTACGTACAATGAGCATCCCATTTATTGAGTTGCTGGTAAGGTTAGTGTTGTGTTTTGACCCCTGTGCTTGCTGTAATATAGTATAGTTAGGCTGCCCCAAACTCACCCATGAAAATATTTCAAGGTGAAAGGGTGTGTTTCACAACCCCCTGCTTTTACATACCGTTCATTGCTTGTTACCCCCTGATATACAGATTCAGTGCAAGTTTATTTGAAAACCAAAGGTTTCTACGTCAGACAATCCTATTATTATTATTATTATTATTAAACATATATACCATTCTTCATCCATAGATCTCAGGCTCACAACATAAAATTCACAACATTAAATTGCTATCATGATTGATAGTCATTGATAGTCAGCAACACAATGACATCACATTATGCCAAATCCGAGTGAGGAGAGAAAGCATGACGCTCACTCCAAATAGGTTTCCTGACTATACTGTGTAGTCAATCAGATTTGGCTATAGGGTGATGTCACAAAACCCAATCAAATACTATGTTGTGTTTCCTGCTCTTACTTTGAATGCAGGCCTCCCCAGACAATTGCCAAACTAAGGAGGGTATGTGTGTTTCATTAGGGTGATGTTTTTCATGAAATGTGCTTCCCTACCTGACTTTGACTCAGTCCTGAATAAGATGCCTACAAAACAGAGGCAATGTTTGGAATTTGAAATATGGCTGCAGATGTCTGAAAAGCAATATTTACTGGTGTGTCCAAAGCCTAATCCTAGTGGAAGCACAGGACAAGCACCCTGAAAGTTGAAGCGGCTAGAAATCAACGTAAGAACAAATTTTCCCCAAGTTACTCACATGCTAAAAGGGTCCTGTGAATAGGTCTTTAATTGTTCTGGTCACTACTGTTAAAAACTAAAATGTGTAACCAAGTTTTTTAGCCATCCCATGACATCAATTTGTCATTCTTTCCCATTTCCACCACTCTATTGATTGGTCTGTCTGGCATTCTTAACAAAGAGAAATGGGATTTCCATCCCTCTCCAAGATGTCATTAAAACTACAAATTAAAGAGATGGGGGAGTTATTAAATGCAGGCATTTATTTAGAAACAGTTGACACCCTTGCAACATTTATGTGTCGTTTTGTGTGTGCGCGCCCGTGAGAAAAAAATAAATAAATTCCCAACAGCCACGCCAAACAACTTGGAAGTGCATTATCTGTACTATGTTGCTTATCTGTCTCCCATCTTTGTGTATGTTTATTTCATCAGGTTTCTCTGGCAATTGTATCGGCTGTGGCAAGAAAGGCTTCTGCTACTTTACTGAGTTTTCCATTCACATCAATCTTAAGCTGACCACTCAGCCCAAGAAACAGAAACACTTAAAGTATTATCTGGTGAGGAATGCACAGGGAACTCTTACCAAAGGATCTGCAATCTGCTGGAAGGGGGCAGGTGAGATAATGAACCTGTCTTGTTGGAGCTCTGGAATTCCTCCAGAGGTTTAGATATGTGACTCCTTAGAAATAAATCTGAAATCGAGGGAATCAATGAAAATTCTTTAAAAGCCCAATAAAAATACTTAAAAGAAATGTACGCATTTACTCTGAACCAACTAGCCTGATAAACCTAACCAGCCCCTTGGTAGATGGGGCAGGGAGTAGAAGCAATTGTGCTTCCATATGCCTGCAGTGGAATGTGTCCATATGCACGGGTGAGTTTTTCAGTCTTCCTCCCTTTTATTTTTGAGAAGGAAGGATTGGGCAAATCAGACTGGCAAGTCCACTTACTTAGGCACTTAGGTAAATGCCTAAATCAGGCCACTGTGGTGCAATGGCTGCATGTTGGATTTTGATGTTGGCAGTGCAGGTTCCAGTGTTTGTGCTGCTGCAAATCTCATGTCCAATTTACACTTTTTGGGGGGAGCAAATCTGCTGTTTGTATATTTACTAGCTGCCTTGTGCCTGGCATTGCTCAGGAATTCTAAGAAACTGAAAATTCAGTCTAGTTTCAAAAGGTGCAGTCTCCTATCTTGATTCAAAATGGTGTTCAACTTTATCCAAGCATAAACGAAAAAGCCTGCTCCCTGACCTTAAGAACTATTGTGCTGCATTTGGTTAGAATATTAACAGATGTCCAAAGGCAGAGTGAACAAACAACTTCTCAAAATATGCTATAGATTCATGCTTACAGTGGCAAACATTGCAGGGAATGAGACAGAGATGCATGTGTGGCAACCCATAGGGACACGTTGTACAAGCACATCAAGGGGCAGCTATTGCACTGTGGTACACACTTGCTGTCGATTTCCAGATGTGCATACTTATTTTATGCTTCATAGAGTTTACAACTGCAAGCAGTATCCAACAATTGTTCTACTCGGCGTTAGCCTATTAAAATTAACAGGCATGACAAAATTAGATCCATTTATTTTAGTGGGTTCATTCTGAGTAAAACCTTGTTAGATACAACCTAGATTTTTATACGTAAGAAATATGAATTGATCTTTGTTGGCTAGTCTTAGGCAAAGCCTAACTTTCCTTCATCTAAGCTACCTCACTGATTTGTCATGGAGCTAAAATTTTGCTTTGAACTTTTTGGGCAAAATCTGCCTTGCGCTAAAACAACAGAAGTTCAACTTTTGTAGAAGGTTTGCAGATTTAAAGTGAGCAGTTCTCCCTGAATAAGCAGCATCTTGTTTGTTTTTTGCTTTGATAGAGTTCAGAAGCCGGCAGCCCTCATCCAGCACTTTTTCCAACCTGTTGTTCCAACCTCCAGAGAATACAGGCTCCTCAGCACCTGTCGTGAATGAGCCACTTATAGCCGCACATCCCATAGTTCAAGCAGGGATGCAACAGATGGGTAACTGAAACTTCTCTAGCATGTCACAGTCTCCCATTTTCTTTCCGTGCATGCAAGAACCATTTGGATTGGTCTGTCCCAGCTTGGTGCCCTCCAGATATTTTAGAAGGCTGAAGGGAGTTGTAGCCCAGAACATCTGGGGGGCACCAGTTTGGGGAAGACTGGCTTGGATAGCTGCTGCTGGAGATACACCAAGATGTCTTTGTGGATTGCAATCAGTTGCCATTCTATGTGTGAGCATGAGCAGCATGGTGGAGTTCAGTTATCTGTGGTACATATGCAGCCCTTGAGAAAGCCTCTTTCTGTGTGGGCAAACCCGAAAATATACTCACTGTGAGATGATGCAGGATGGGCTGGTGGCAGCATGACTAAGCCGCTCCTGGCGAACCAGAGCAGTGCACGGAAACGCTGTTTACCTTCCCACCAGAGCGGTACCTATTTATCTACTTGCATTTTGACGTGGTTTCGAACTGCTAGGTTGGCAGGAGCAGGGACCGAGCAACGGGAGCTCACCCCATCATGGGGATTTGAACCGCCGACCTTCTGATCGGCAAGTTCTAGGCTCTGTGGTTTAACCCACGGCGCCACCCGCGTCCCCTTTGCATGATTACTTGGGAGCAAATCACTTGAATCCAACGGGATTTACTTCTGAGTAGACAAATGCAAGATTGCAGGATGTTTGTCAGTGTTCAGTCCTCGGCATTCTTTTCCAGCACAGAACTGTTAAGGCAAGTAAGGGCTTGCTCTGTTGGATTATTGAAAGCCATGCATTTTTACCCGGATGAAGAAAGCCCCTCTAAAATTACTCTTTCTCATTGACCTAGCGCCTGACCACCTGCCAACAACAGCAAGCCTCCCAGTTTACAATGGCAAAGACTCTCCCCAGCAACACTCGATGAAAAGCAATGTCTCTTCCATGACGAGACCATCAGTATTAGGTACCTTTGCTTATGCATTTAATATATTCCCATCCCACCCTTTAGGGCAAGCCCTCACAAGGCAGTTTAACAATAAACACGTTAAAAACAAAATGGTTGAATAAATATAATAAAATGTGAGATTTAAAACACATACAGGGCCCAACAATAAGATCAATTTAGAAACTTTGTGGTGTAAAACGAATCTGTGGGAACTACCGTATTTTTCGCTCCATAGGACGCACTTTTTCCCCTCCAAAAATGAAGGGGAAATGTGTGTGCGTCCTATGGAGCGAATGCAGGCTTTCGCTGAAGCCTGGAGAGCGAGAGGCATCGGTGCGCACCGACCCTCTCGCTCTCCAGGCTTCAGGAAGCTATCCGCAAGCCTTGCAAGCCCGGTGGGAGTTCCCGCGGGCTCACAAGGCTTGCAGGCAGCAGCCTGCAGCCCCGGCGAGTGTCCGCAAGCCTTGTGCGCCCGGCAGGAGGTCCCGCCGAGCGCGCGAGGCTTGGGGCAGCAGCCTGTCGCCCGAAGCACGGGGAGCCCTCCGGAGGGCTCCCCGTGCTTCCGGCGAGTGTCTGCAAGCCTCGCGCGCCCGGCAGGAGGTCCCGCCGAGCGCGCGAGGCTTGGGGCGGCAGCCTGTCGCCTGAAGCACGGGGAGCCCTCCGGAGGGCTCCCCGTGCTTCGGGCGCATGTCTGCAAGCCTTGCGCGCCCGGCAGGAGGTCCCGCCGAGCGCGCGAGGCTTGGGGCGGCAGCCTGTCGCCCGAAGCACGGGGAGCCCTCCGGAGGGCTCCCCGTGCGTCGGGCGAGTGTCTGCAAGCCTTGCGCGCCCGGCAGGATGTCCCGCCGAGCGCGCGAGGCATGGGGTGGCAGCCTGTCGCCCGAAGCACGGGAGCCCTCCGGAGGGCTCCCGTGCTTGGCGAGTGTCTGCAAGCCTTGCGCGCCCGGCAGGAGGTCCCGCCGGCGCGCGAGGCTTGGGCGGCAGCCTGTCGCCCAAGCACGGGAGCCCTCCGGAGGGCTCCCGTGCTTCGGGAGTGTCTGCAAGCCTTGCGCGCCCGGCAGGAGGTCCCGCCGAGCGCGCGAGGCTTGGGGCGGCAGCCTGTCGCCCGAAGCACGGGAGCCCTCCGGAGGGCTCCCGTGCTCGGCGGGTGTCTGCAAGCCTTGCGCGCCCGGCAGGAGGTCCCGCCGAGCGCGCGAGGCTTCGGGCGGCAGCTTGTCGCCCGAGCACGGGAGCCCTCCGGAGGGCTCCCGTGCTTCGGGCGAGTGTCTGCAAGCCTCCCGCGCCCAGTGGGAGGTCCCACCGAGCGCCCGAGGCTTGGGGCGGTAGCCTGCAGCCCGAAGCAAGCGAGGCTTGGGGCGGCAGCTGCGGCGGCGGCGGGGGGGGGATTTTTTTTATTCATTTCCCCCCCCCAAAAAACGAGGTGCGTCCTATGGGCCGGTGCGCCCTATAGAACGAAGAATACGGTACTTAAAGGCAAGGTGATGTTTGTTCTCAAGGGAGAAACACGGCAACACTGCAACGGCCCTGTCCCTGGTACTGATTTGTCCATAGAATTGCTTCGTACCTTAACAGCGGGTAAAACACCTGCATGGCTTATGCCTATGGCGCTATGGGTGGCCTTTTATACTGCACATACGAGCCTCAGCTGAGCTTGGTCTTGAGCCTCTTTGTAATATATGCAGGGATATAGTTTGTGGTTGGGCAGTGTTTACTTGGAGAACTGATTCCAGAAGGTGCTTCTTGAAGACTACTGCTCAGCCCCATGACATTTGTGGTGTGGCACATTCCTAAGGGCCAAATTTCTTTCTGGGCTATCTTCAGGGGCCATATTCTCTGGGTGGAACCAGAGACCAGAGCAATGGATATTCCCCTCTGTTGGAAAGCTGGCCTTTGAGAGGCTTGCTTAGCCCCTATTTTGATGCCTTTTCAACACCTTTCACTTGCAGCTATCATTTTATTGTTTGATGTATTTTGTACTTTTATTGCATATTTCCCTCTTTTATTGTTTGTTTTGTTGTAGAAGTCTTAGAAAGTGCACAAAGATAGACATTCTCACACTATCAGTTGATTGGAGGACTAAATGTATACGAAACTTATTTCAAAAATAATGTACAATTTCTTCTAGGCATCAGGAAAAGCAACTATGCCACTTGGCCACCAGATATTCCTAATTTCTTTATTACATAGCTGGTTAATAAACTTCATTTACCTTCTTCATATTGTTCTCTATTCTTTAACATTGCTGTTACATTCAGTTTTTCCTAAGTATTTCTAGCTTATTTGGTTGGTGGGTGTTCATTGAACCTCTAACACAGGGTTTCCCAAACTCGGGTCTCCAGCTGTTTTTGGACTACAATTCCCATCATCCTTGATCACTGGTCGTGCTAGCTAGGGATTATGGGAGTTGTAGTCAAAAAACAACAACAACAAAAAACCAGCTGGAGACCCAAGTTTGGGAAACCCCGCCCTAGCAATATGAAAGTTTTGCTCTTTTATTGTGACATGCTCTGGAAATACTGCTACTGAAGGGCGGTGTATGAGTCCTTAAAAATAAAATGCAGTTCTTTGATTTCATGTTGTGAATTAATTCAGCAAGAAATATTACAGTGGGGATTTCAGTCACTGTCCCACTGTTACATTTATATAATGCCACCTGAAATAATAGGTACATTTTGCAACCATTATTTGTACGGCAGCCCCATTGAAACCAATGTGACTTAATTTCTAAATAGATGGCTTTAAGGTCAGCTGAATCTTTCTGAAATGGATTGCCCTCCCTGCTCTGAGAATTATTTTAAATCAGTAGATGTGCCAGTTCTGAACAAACTTAACAAGGACACAATTTAATGTTCTGGGCTGCCGGAATTAAATCTAGCACTTTCGGTGAAGAGCAACACTTCTTGTGCTGTAACTGTTCCACGAACATAGTACACAGTGCCAGGAATCAAAGTCTCCTATTCATAGAACAAGTACAGGACAATAAACATTAGTGCAATCTTTGCTAGACAGCTCTGGCAAGCTGCTTCATTTCTTCATCTGCTTAGCCAGGGGTTAACTTTGCTTTGTGGACAGAACCAATCGCTTGCTCATTTGGATAATTGATTTCAGTCCTTTTTAAAAAGAAGATAGCTATCAAATTTGCTTACATACATCAACTAGAGACCCTGACAGGGGATTTACAGTACTCGTGTTTGATTGACCCTGGGGTTTTTCCCTGTGGGTTTGCTAGAGAAAGATAAATGAATGGCTGAAAGTGTTCGTGCTGCCATCATGTGGTAGAATTTTAATATAAATAAAAGAGTGCCCCCCAATGTTTAGCATAAGGTTCTAAACCTGCATTCGTTAAAGGCCAAACTAGTTATGGAAGATTTTTTGGTTTTGCTGGAGTTTTAACAGCTGCATGTGACTTCTTTGAAGATTGGAGAACAGGAGTTTCACCAGTTCTGCAATCTAAATACAGCGGTACCTCAGGTTACAGACGCTTCAGGTTACAAACTCCGCTAACCTAGAAATAGTACCTCGGGTTAAGAACTTTGCTTCAGGATGAGAACAAATCATGGGGCAGTAGCCTGGCAGCAGCAGGAGACCCCCATTAGCTAAAGTGGTACCTCAGGTTAAGAACAGTTTCAGGTTAAGAACGGACCTCCAGAACGAATTAAGTTCTTAATCCGAGGCACCACTGTAGTCCCCTGCCTTGAGGATAGTCCAGGGAGGACATAACAGTTACCTGCAATGCAATGGGAACAGGGAAACTCAATACCCAGTGATAGCACATTATACTTTATTTGCAAAAAAGTGGCATCATGCTGTTGTGGCAGCTGAAGGAGGAGTTATTTCAGAAAGTATTCTGGTATATCGTAATTATTATGATATATTTATTTACATTTCACCTTTTTCTCTGAGGGGACTCAAGGCATCTTACAGATAAAAACAAGAACTGCTACAACTTAGTAAGTCAATCATTAAAATGCAATTAAACATTTATACATATATATGCTTAATATATTCCAATAGAAATAGCGTAGAAACAGCACAGCGCCAGCCCTTTAATTAAAAGCAGCCAGTTCCCAAAGGCCTGTTGAAACAGGAAAGTCTTTGCCTGTCAGCGGAAGGACAACAAGGAGGGAGCCAGTTTAGCTTCTCTAGGGAGGGAGTTCCAGAGTCTGGGAGCAGCCACCGAGAAGGCCCTCTTCCATGTCCCCATCAAACGTGTGTGTGAGGATGGTGAGACAGAGAAAGGGGCCTCATTCAAAGATCTCAAAACCCAGGCGGATTTGTATGAGGGAATATGGTCTTTCAGACAGCTTGGACCTAAGCCATGCTTTACTCAAATAGCCATCAAATAAGGTTGAATATTCACAAGGTAAGCCATCCCCTTGCCCAAGAGGTCATATGAGTGTGCAGCAGACACCTGATCTTAAAATAATGGTGTTGCTATCTGGTACAGCATTTGGTGTACTGTGTTTCTTTTTCAAATGCTACTGTCCTCACTTTGAAGGCAGAAACGGACAGTAACTATAAACAATGGAGGTCTGCCAGTAACCTCCAGGTAATGGTAGATCCAGGTCTTGTTCTCCTTCATATTGTCTACGATACTGTTTAATATCGTTGTGCATTCTTTGTAACCAGTAGCAGGCAGTGGGGGGGGGGGAAGAAAAGTGTTTACCTGACCTCCTGGCAGGGGAGTTGCTGCTGTTTTCCTGGGAAGAAGAGGAGTGAGGTGGCAGGGAGGTGAAAATGCACTGGCAGGAGCAACAGATTGTCTTGGCTGATGAGTTTGCCCCAAACGAACCACCCTGCCGCCGCCTTCCTCTCCTCCTCCCTCCCAATAAGCAGCAGGGACTCACCTGTTGGGAGGTCAGGTAAGCATCTCCATCCTCTATTGTTTGTATCTTCTAGTACTTCTCTAGAAGTTGCTGTGGATCTATCCTCTTCTCTGCTGTTATTTGCTGGTGATGCAATGTGCCATTTCTAACTTTTGAAAATCTGCTTCATGGTTTGTTGAATGAACATAGATTGAGTACTATTGATATTGGCTGGGTTTTTGTTTTTTTTTTGTATGTGTTTAGTTTTTGCATACTGCCTTGGGCCTGTGCAGAGCGATTTTTAAAATATATATAAAGAAACTATTTCTATGTTCAGGCATGTGCTTTTCCTGAAAGATGTGGGTCCTTTTAAAATAGTAGTTTCTGGATTGTTTATGTTATCTAGGCACTTTAGCAAACCCAGGGCCTCCTAAAAAACGCCACAAAGGATGGTCACCTGAGTCTCCATCATCCAATGAAGCCTGGAATTTGCAGCCCAATCCACCACTCACAAGTAGAAGCAAAAATGGTAAGTGAGGATGATGATGATGGAGATGATGATTTAAATGCCTCTGGGCGCATGCCTGTTTGTAAATTAGCAGACCTAAGAACTCTGACAGCTGATATAATAAGTTGTTGGGTTGGGAAGGACAGCATTGACAGGAGCAATCGGTGCTTAAGTTTTATTTTTGGCTGTGACCGGGTTTGAAAGTGGAAGTGGATTGTTGTCCTTCCCCCTTCATCCAGCACATTTTAACAAGTATCTATGCTGCAGTCATTTATTTCTGGTTAAACTCTCTAAATTGATTCATAGATGGAGGCGGAGGAGGAGGAGGCGGAGGGCTGTCCTGCTTACCTCACACTGCCGTGGCAGGACCAGTGTCTTCTCCAATGGTGGCCTCCGGAGAGCCAGTTTCAGTTCCTGATAATTTGCTTAAAATATTTAAAGCAAAGCCCGTCATATTTAAAGGTAACATAGTGTATACAATAAGCACTTCAAAACAAGTGTGGCCTACTTTTTCTTTTAAAAAAAACCCTAAACTATTAAGACATTCAGTTATCTTGCCTTGGATACCTGGCATCTAATAAGTTGTACTTTGTTTCACAGGGCATGGAAATTTTCCTTACCTTTGCGGGAACCTTAGTGATGTCGTAGTGAGTCCTCTTTTGTATACGTGTTACAAGAACGCTCAGTCTCTCTCTAGGGCTTATGAGCAATATGGTGCCTCCACAATGCAGCCAATTTCAGAGGAGATGCAGCTCTTACTCACAGTCTATTATCTCGTTCAACTTGGTGAGTTTTCCTCCATCAAACGAGAGCAAATATTTTGATATGAATAGGCAGATCTACAAACGGTAATTGAAAAAGATATTGAGGGGGGCATTCAAAGTAGAGTCCTTTCAGATGTGCAAGCTTGCCAAATGGAACAATCCCCCTTTCCTCCCAAACATGTGCTTTTCTGGGGGTTCTCCTGAACCCCCCCCCCGAGCCAATTCCCAGGAGAGGGGATCACCCTGTTGCACAGGCAGAAGTCCTTGCACAAGGCTTCTGCCAACAGTGAATCCTGCCCACTACTTGAAATTCAATGTTGCACTAAGTTAAAGTCCCTTAGCGGATAGGCACTTGCATGCCAAGACCCCGCGATCACAGTTCCCTAGAGGGATGAATAACCACACCTAGGACAACAGCATTTTTGGTTTTTGGCTTGAATATGGCCACAGCTTTATTGGTTACAGTAGAGATTGGTTTGGCGTAGGCATTGGGTAAGCAGTTCCTATTCCACTCCAGTCTATCTGCTGGGAGTGCGTCTAAGGGTAAACCAAAACCGGGGGGGGGGGAGCCCTATGATTTACATCAATTAGGGGTACCCCCCGCGGGTCCCCATTGGAGGAGTGGTATGCCCTAACCTGGGCATCAGACAGAGCCACTCCTCCTGGATCCTTTTAACAGGATACCCTTTCCCAAGGAGGGGCAGGCAGAGGTTCCAACCTCCTCTCCACCAAAGATCTGGGTTCACCCAGTGCCTTACCACCACCCAAGCCAGAGTTGACTCACCTAATAGGCACTTCTTCAGGTATTTGTATCTTGAAACTTATAGGTAAGCATCAGCAACTTAAATATGTCTTGGAAGTAAATAGGCAGCCAGTGCAGATTTAAAAATGAGGGCAATATGAACAAGTCTGATTGTATCTGTCAAAATTCTGGTAGTAACTGCATTGAAATTAGAAATAGTAATAGTGGAACCTCTAATGAGAAAGATGCAAACTTTCTCGAAGCAATAATAATAATAATTTCTAAATGTATCTCCATATTTTACCAAGCATTATGATCTCCTGATATTATCCATTGCCATGTGGACTAGAATTATCACTTACAATAAGATGCAAATTGAACGCTGTGGAGTTCAATTTGAGTTACCTGGGGATTGCATATTTTGCCTACAAAGGACATAGAGAGCACAAGATCTGCGGGTGGTTTTCTCATGCTGCAGAATTGGTCTTGGCTGGTGCAAAAGCAACAGATCATTTCTGCTGTAGTTTAGGAAAGTCTGTGGCGTGACATGCGTAAACCCAAAACCATTAGTCCTTTAATTATGCTCCGAGCACGGCAAGGGGAGACCTAGTTTTGGTAGTAGATTTAAGTCCTAACATTTGCCTGCTTTTGATGCCATGTTGATGTTTCCATAGCTTCAGACCAGGTGCCTTTGATTGAGGACTTGGAACAGATCTTCATGCGTTCATGGCGGGAGTCTCATCTTTCTGAAATTCGTCAATACCAACAGGCCATCCCACAAGCTTTCCCTCAGGTTCCTGGCCCAATTGCCCCAGTGACATCAGCTCAGCTTCCCTGGCTGGCGGGACTGGCAGCCAGCTCATGTAATGACAGTGTCCACATCATTGAGTGCAACTATTCTTTAGCGGAGGGGCTCTCAGAAATGTTTAAGATGCTCGTTGAGGGAAAGCTAGTGAAGACCAACTATGTGGTGATCATATGCGCTTGTAGAAACAGAACTATTGACTCTTGCATTGCTGTAACAGGTGAGCTGCTAAAGCAATACGTGGACCTTTCTAGCATTCTTGTTATAGAGTGGCTTTTGCCCCAGCTGTTAGCAGGCTAATGGGCAAAAGGCTTTAACTGTTGGCATGTACGAAGTAGAATTTCATATACCTGGTGATGTACAAGAGCACATTTGCATACCTCCCAACATTTCTCTGATGAAAATAGGGGTGTCCTATTCAATCATCATCATCACCATCATATATTTTTATTTATACCCCACACATCTGACTGAGTTGTCCCAGCCATTCTAGGTGGCTTACAGAATACATAAAAATAATGAAACATTGGACATTAAAAAAAAACCTTCCCTATATAGGGCTGCCTTCAGATGCCTACCAAAGGTTGTACAGGTTACTTATCTCCTTGCATGAGGTTACTTACCTCCTTGACTTGGGGGTCACTTAAATCCATATCCTTCAATTTTCAATGAAAATAGGGACATCCGAAGGAAAAGCGGGACATTCCAGGATCAAATCAGAAACCGGGCCAGCTTCTGTAAATCTGGGACTGTCCTTGGAAGACAGGCAGTTGGATCCAATGATTTTATATAGCATATTCTGTCTTTGCACTCCACACATATTTGGGTCTTCGGTCTTTTCTTTAGGTTTGCATCTGACAAAGGGCTCATCCAGGCTTCTTTCTGTGCCATGCATAGGTCTGCACTCTAAAACTACACGCCTGGGCACTTTTTTTATTGCCCTGCTGCTTTCCCTAGGAAAACCCACTCTTTATCACTGAATCGGAACAAAGGTCAATTCGGGTTTTGAAAGGATTGCTGTTTGGTCCGATTCAGTGGTAAAGGAAGTCTGGATGAGCCCTTACTTTTACATTTATATCCCACTTTTCCTCTGTGGGTGGTGTATATGGTTCTCCGTCTGCTGGTTTTATTCTCATAGCAACCCTGTTAAGCAGTAATACAGTAACTGGCCCAAAGTCACTCAGTGAGCTTCATGACCGAGTGGGGATTTGAACCCTGGTCTCCCAAGTCCTAGTCCAGCTCTCTAACCACTACACCACATGGGCTGCCTTTACTACCCCCCTTCATCCAACTTTAGCTTGGCTGGATGACCACACTGTCCTGTGGCCAGAAATGGAGCCACTGTAGTGTCAAACTGTAGTGTTTGACCAGGTAAACTGCACCTCTAAAGAAGAAGCATTATATAGAATTAACCAACAATGATACTACTTTCAAACAGGCTAAATGAGTTCTATCCCTAATTCTTTAGATTCTACTCAAGATTCAGGTTTCTGAATTATTTTCAGGAGGGAATTGACTGTCAGGTGTCACTTAGAAACACTTGAAATGGCCAAAGAAGGTGAAGCGAAGTAGGGTAGAGTGACCCTATAAAGCAGGGGTAGCCAATGTAGTGCCCTCCTGATATTTTTTGGACTACAGCACCCACAATCCCTGATCATTGGCTTTCCTAGCAGGGGTTGATGGGAGTTGGAGTCCTGCAACATCTGGGAGTCACCATGTTTTCTACCTCTGGTAAAAGCTGTAAGCACATTTGTGGGGGAAAACATAATGGTGTACCTAAATTAAATTGTGATCCTAAAGATTGTGTTTGGCCATTGTTTTCCTTACTTTTCTTTGAGTCTCTGACAAAATCTGTGGGGCCATAGTATATGATAATGCAGATGTTAGTGGGAAAAGTTACCTCCCCCAACTTTCTTCCAAGGAACTTGGCAGCTGATGTAATCTCCCATCCAGAAACCAACCAGACCCAGATTGGCCTAGCTTCAGGAAGATAATAATAATAATAATAATAATAATAATAATAATAATAATATATTATTTATACCCCACCCATCTGGCTGGGCTTCCCCAGTCACTCTGGGCGGCTTCCAAAAAAATATTAAAATACTGTAGTACATCAAACACTAAAAGCTTCCCTAAACAGGGCTGCCTTCAGATGTCTTCTAAAAGTCTGGTAGTTCTCTTTGACATCTGGTGGTAGGGTTATCATGCGCCTTTAGGTGTTTAGATCAGAGGTTTTCAACCTTTTTGAGGCCACGTCTCCCTTGGCCAACTACATTCTATCTGCGGTACCCCTGTGGGGCTCAGGAGCCCAGTTATGTCACACTTTGACTACAGAGCTGGCAGTTTCTCACACTTCTTTGAACACTTTCCCTTGTGGAGAGTTCCCTCAGCCTCCTCTCCTCTCCCCTCTCCTTGGGAGCCCTCCGGGCAGCTGCTGCTGCCATCCCTCGTCTCTGAGCTGCCCCCGCAGCCACCCCAAAGGCACCATTCACCTGCGGAGCTTAGCCAGGGCTGCTGCAATAAACAGCCATGCAAGCCTTTGGGAGGCAGAGACATGAGAGAGCATCAGAGGAAGGGAGGGAAGGAAGGAGGGACAGAGGCCAATGTTGCCTGCAGCACCCCTGACCATCATTGAAGGCACCCTAGGGTGCCCCAGCACACTGATTGAAAACTCTGGTTTAGATGTATAAGTGTCTCAGTTGCATGTGAACCCCTTCCCCCCTTTTTTATGTCTCTTAGGGAAGTACCAAGCAAGAATACTATCTGAAAGCATGCTCAGTCCAGCGGAATACCAGAAAGAAGTTAGTTATGAACTCGCTACAGGGAAAGTAGAGGCTCTGGGGGCCTTCTTCAGTACTCTCTGCCCAGGTACGTCATGGGACATCTATCAAGAGGCATTTGTCTGAAAGACTTTCTGAGAACTTAGACCATAGGTGTCTATGTATAGACAACGTTTTAAAATCCAGTTGTTAAGCAGTTGCCGCAGCCTGCACAGACTCAGGATTCCGTTATCAAAAATGTGACCAAATGCCACGTTAGAATATTCACCCTGGATTTCACATCCTGCACTTGCAGGATTTCATGCCAGAGCCCATCCACAGTCTTTAAATATTTCTCTTTCTATGTAAGGAACAGGGGTCTAGCCTTTTTGTTGGGTGTCATGCTGCTTTGCACAGGTTACATGGCTTGGGAGATGCTAAGATTTAAATGGTTTCCATAACACAAAAAATGGTGGCAGTTTCTTCCCCCTTTCATTCCGCCAGATGGTGATGTTGATGTGTTGCTGGACAAATTTTATCAAGAAAACAGGTCCCACATTTCATCGTCGCTCTCTGGTTTAGTGAACAAACCAGCAGCGGGGGATGCAGCTGGAACAGCTGTTTGCGCGAGTAAGTGGTTTGTGAATGTAACATATAAGGACATTTGCCTTTTCAGAATTGTGTCCCTCTCACTTCTTTCCTCCAAGGCATTTGGAGTGGAACATTCACCTCGCAAAGACCCTGTCTGTGTACACACTCGCATTTGCTCCGCGTCCAGGGTGCTCCCACCCTTTCTTTGGGAAGCAGTGGGCGGAGAAATTGGGGCCGTTTCACCAAACCTCTTGGTGGTGGGGAGCAGCTTGCCAAGAGTTTCTTGGAAGAAGGGCTTGCCATTAGTAGTGGCGAGAGCACAGCTTTCCCCCATAAAAGATTTATTCAACTAATGGTGATGGAAGTGGCAGTGGCAACAACAACCATGTTTGCGCCCTGCCCACTATTTCGCATCTTCCACAATGTCACAAATCTGGTGTTATTCTGGAGCTTTGGACAGGGAAAACAGGGGCTGCTACACACACACAAAATGGTAGGGAATATTCAGAGAGAATTCTGCAAACAGGCCTTCTTTAGAAAAAGGCAAGAATGAAGCAACTGACATAAGGGCAGACTGCAAAATGCATGGGGAATAGAGGACCCATGCCTTCCCCTATGTAACTGAGCCTTTTATTTTTCTTGGACATACCTTACAGCTCTTTGAGAACCCCCTAGTTGCCTCCATGCGGCCCCAGCTCCTTGCTCCAATCCAAGATCCTCCATGCATATCTCCCCCTGTGGAGTCACGTGATCAGATCATGTTGATCTAGAGCAGAGAGCTGAAGCAAACTTAGATGTCCTGCTCCATATCTCACATGGCTATCTATAACATTCATGCTATAAATAAAGTTAAGGTCTGACTCTCTTTCTCTTTCACCATCCTTTTCTCTCTCTCTCCCCCTCTAGGTTATAACCTTGAGCACCATCAGATCCGCCCCTTCCAGCTTGCAGTGGCTCAGAAATTGCTTTCCCATGTTTGCTCCATCGCAGACTCCAGCACTCAAAACCTTGACTTGGGTTCCTTTGAGAAAGTCGATTTTCTGATCTGCGTCCCTCCTTCGGAAGTGACTTATCAGCAGACGCTGTTCCACCTCTGGCATTCAGGTACCGGTTGCCGAAAAACGCGTACAAAAATCACAGTTGGCAACGCCGGCTTTTTGACTGTCCGATAGTCATTCGTTGTCTTCCTTTAGGTGTCTTGTTGGAACTTGGTTTGGAGAAGGAGCACCTTACCAAGCAGAGGGTGGAGCAATATGTGGTCAAACTCGATGCAGAAGCCCAGACTAAGTTTAAAGCCTTCTTACAAAACTCGATGCAGAATCCACACACGCTCTTTGTGCTGATCCATGACCATGCTCACTGGGACCTTGTAAGGTAAGAAAGAGTTCATTTCCCAGATTATGATGTTAGCAATGAGACACCGGTTGCAATAGACAATTATATTGCATTGTACAATCATTTCCAAAGACAAACCTGCTTCTTTTGACACTGGCTGTGTGATGCCACAGCTGCACTACAAATAATTTTCCTTAATACAACTTCAGTTCTTTATATTACAGTCATTGTCAAAAATGCATCCTCAGTGTCTGAGTAGTAAAGTGCTTTTTTAAAAATAATAATAATAATTTCATTAAAGGTGACCCAAAGATCGCTCTTTTGATAGTTGTTATTGTTGTTTTTAATTGATGCATATGTATCAATTTTACCCTGTGTCAGGGATGGGGAACCTGTGGCCCTCCAGAGGTTGGATTCTGTCTCCCATCAGCTCCAGCCAGCATGGCCAATGGTCAGAGAAGGTTGGGTTTGCCATATACAGGGCTTTTTTCCCAGGGGGAACTCGCCAGAACTCAGTCCTGGCAACTCTCAGGTAGGTTCCATTGCCATACTAAGAGAAAGAGGGAGGCGTTCATGGTGAGTTCCAGCACCTCCTTTTCTAGAAAAAGAGTACTGACCATATAGTAAAATTGTGCACTCTCATTTGCTTGTTTTTGTTTTGTTTTGTTTTGTTTTTTACAGTGCAGTTCACAGCCTTTATCCTCAGTCCGATCCTGCCATGGGGCTCGTGGACAGGCTGCTCAACTGCAGAGAGGTGAAAGACGCTCCAAATATCGTGACGCTTCACGTGACTTCCTTCCCCTATGCCCTGCAGACGCAACACACCCGCATCAGCCCTTATAATGAAATCCACTGGCCGTCATTATACAACAATGTAAGAAGTTAACGCTTAGGATCTATGGGAGCTTTTTCTTTTTTCCCTTTAATGCCTGGTCTGGCTGTTAACGACCACAGCGTTACGTTCCAAAGCAAAGCTGTTATGCAAAATGATGGGGCTCACATCCATGTTTGCTGATCTCCAGTCACTTCTCTTGGCTCTTCTGAATCCCTTTACCTTTTCCTTTACCCCTTGATTCTCTCCCCTCTACTTTTATTCCTACCAAAACAGAACCTTATTGAAGGCGCGATTGGGATCTGTTGATTACAAAAGAGCACATCATATTCTCTGTGCTCTAGTACATCTGCAGCACCACCAAAATGCTGGGGTATAAAGGATAACAGAATTGCAGAGTTAGAAGGGACCATGGGGGTCATCTAGTCCAACACCCTGCAATGCAATATTCCCCCCCCCCATGTGGGACTCAAACCCACAACCCTGAGGTTAAGAGTTTCATGCTCTGCTGACTGAGCTATCCCAGAACAGATTCTTTAGGGCAGAGCTTGTGTTGCAACACGTTAGTGTGTCAGCTGCAGTGTGTAGGTGTGTCGCGTGAACGAACCCGTGCTCCTCCCAGGCCTGGAAAGGGGGGTCAGTTTAATCTCTGGTTTGCTAGTAAAACTGAATTACTGTGTTACAAAATGATAACATGTCTAAAAAGTGTGTTGCTGACGTGAAAAGTTTGGAAAGCTCTGCTCTAGTACGTGAGGATGCTGATTGCATTAGGAGCAAAAGGCAGGAAAACTTGGGTCAGGGTTCAATTAAACAGTTTCTCTAGCGGGGAGCCAGCAGAGTGAGTCCTGCTTAGTGCACCTGGGTATTCCTTGTCCTCTTCTCCATCCCAGCCCCCCCTCCCCCCCCCGAATTGGCTGGTTGGGGGTCAGAACAACTTCCAGGTGGGAGGAGAGGGGAGATCGTTACATCTGGCAAACAGAAACACTTGCACTGATGGAACAATTGTAATAGTGCAGTGTTGAATTCCACCCCAATATCCACGCCGTGTCTAGCACACACTCTGTGCATTGTGCTGCCTAAACTGCTTGCATAGTTGATCCATCCCTGAGTGCATACTGGTGAGGATCATGGTGGAGGAGGGAAGTAGGATTGGCCACAGAGAAGGGACAAGGTCTTATTCATAGCCCTGTGTATATTTGCGATAACCGGATTGGTGAACTGTTAAATCATCATCGCGAACAACCCTGTTAATAGTCACTGTCATTTATTTCAAGGGTGTGGACTTGTACCATGAAAACAAGAAGTACTACGGATTGTCTGAGTTTATCGAATCCACTCTTTCCGGACACAGCCTTCCCTTGCTTCGTTATGACAGCTCTTTTGAAGCAATGGTCATGGCTTTGGGGAAAAGGTACCGTGTTTGCCTTGCAGTGTGGTTAAAATTTTAAAAAAGCAATGTAGGTTGGTAGGTAGACTGTAGGTTTGAATGGCTGACGGCATTCTTTATTCCTTTAGATCTGCCCCTGATATATAGTGATATATACCTGCATTGCCATCTCAGTTCTGCTAAGTGGCTGGATTGTGTCAGGCAGATTATCAAAAAGTAATTTAGGGCCTATCCACACTTACCTTTCTTCCATGTTCTCCAGGCATGGCCTGCCCTTTACAGCTCCTTGGCTGAGCGCTCTTGTTTTCTTGAGCATTCCCCCATATTTCTGCATACTGAGGGGGTCCCCCAAGTATATAGAAGCCACAGCTTTCTTTTTGGGCGGATCCATTTCACTTCCCAACCAATAAGCATTCAGTCAATTAAGTTTGCCACCAGAGGGAATAACAGTGTCCTATGCTCAGCCTTGGGCTTGCCGATCAAAAGGTCGGTGGTTCGAACCCCCGCGACGGGGTGAGCTCCCATTGCTCGGTCCCTGCTCCTGCCAACCTAGCAGTTCAAAAGCACGTCAAAGTGCAAGTAGATAAATAGGTACCGCTCCAGCGGGAAGGTAAACGGCGTTTCCGTGCGCTGCTCTGGTGCCAGTGTTCCATTGTGCCAGAAGTGGCTTAGTCATGCTGGCCACATGACCCAGAAAAACTCTGCGGAGTGGACAAACGCCAGCTCCCTCAGCCTGTAAAGCGAGATGAGCGCTGCAACCCCAGAGTCGGTTGCGACTGGACTTAATTGTCAGGGGTCCCTCTACCTTTACCTTTATGCACACCACAATGCTGCTCAAGGGGGCCATCACTTTTTGCAAGCAAAGCATCTGCACAGGCTCTCACTGCTTTCTGTTTTGTTTCAGGTTTCCTAGGTTGCACAGCGCCGTGATAAGGACCTTCGTGCTCGTTCAGCACTACTCCGCAGCCATGATGGCGGTGTGTGGCTTGTCCCAGATGAAAAACTATACCACAGTGGAAACTCTAGAGATCGCTCAGAACCTCATCAATTCTTCGCGCCAGTGCCCCAACGGACACGGGCTGATGGTAGTCCTAAGGATTCCGTGCATACCTTTGGCGGCAGTCGCTTACGAGCGCCTCAACCACGTGAGGGAAAGGCTAGCCCTCGAAGACCATTTCGAAATCATCCTGGGCAATCCCAACTCTGGGATCACCATAGGGAAGCATTTCGTAGAGCAGCTGAAGGTAATACAGTGGTACCTCAGGTTACATACGCTTCAGGTTACATATGCTTCAGGTTACAGACTCTGCTAACCCAGAAATAGTGCTTCAGGTTAAGAACTTTGCTTCAGGATGAGAACAGAAATCGTGCTCTGGCGGCGCAGCGGCAGCAGGAGACCCCATTAGCTAAAGTGGTTCTTCAGGTTAAGAACAGTTTCAGGTTAAGAACAGACCTCCGGAACGAATTAAGTACTTAACAGGAGGTACCACTGTAAGCAGAACAGCTCTGCTCCAGCTGGAGTTCCAACCTCAGCTGTGCAGATTATGCCCGTGGTGGCTGGTGCCCATTGGGACTGGTGGAGTGGAAGGCAAGGAGACCAGCAGTAGGCAGAGCCAGAGCCAGTGCAGGCAGGGTCACATCCTGGACCAGTGGCAAGTCAGAAGGCAGGTGGGTGTGGGCTGGCTGAGGGCAGACTAAGGCTGGTGTGTCCATGTTCCATTTTCTCTAATGTACTAGCCACCACTGCTGCTGTCACAGGAGCCTGCAGGTCAGTAATAACACAGCTCAAAGTTGGAGTTAACTCTTCATTAGCAAAAATATGATCTCCACAGACTTGGTTGAGTGACAGGCCTAATGAGCAAAGCGGCTCATTCCCAGTGGTCATGAAAACCAGTTGCCGAGACTGAAAGTTCCTGCCTCCTCAAAGCCATCTAAGTCCCCTTCTGTCCAGAGCTTTCCTCAAGCAATCAGGGACTGTGCCTGTGTACAGCCAAGTTCTCCTCTGCTCTTTTCATGCCTCTTCTAGTTCTGGGAGACAAGGGAGGAGGGGAACTTGTCACAGCAAGAGGGGGAGGCATGCATGACTCTTCACCAGCCTGACTCATCTTTGCCTCTTGGCCTCCCTCCTTCCACTCATCTGCTTTAGCTTCTGCCTCTGATTCTGGACTTCTCTCTGCCACAGGTTCTCCCAGCTCACTAAGCCCTGTTACCTCTTCAGCTTCTGACACTTCCTCCTCCCAGTTTCCCCCCTCTTTTCCCTCTGATCACTCATTGTTGATCACCCCCTGGATTCTGACCTTCTTCCCTTGGTGGTTCCCCAGCTGGTTCCTTCTACCATTCCTTTGCGTCCAACCACTCCATGACAGCTGCTGGTTAGCAGTGTCCATTGACAAAATGTGTTCCGCACCAGAGAAAATAAAAGTCATTTGATGGGGCTTATTTCAGAGTAGACATGTGTAGGGTTGCCCAGTGCCTCTAATAGTAATAGTTCTAGTAGTAGTAGTAGTAGTAATAATAATAATAATAATTTATATCCCACCCTCCCCAGCCAAACTGGGCTCAGGGCAGCTAACATCAAAATATATAATGCATTAAAACATAAAATCCAGCAATCGACTGAAATACAGCTTAAAATCAGATTAATATCAGAATAACTCAGAATAAATCAGATGGCAACCCACAATTTCTGATACAAATTCTGATATAAGCATCCAAGAAGGGATGCACTCCAATGGCTGGCTTGTTGTCTCCTGACTCTCCATTATCTCTCCTGTTTACTTGGAAGTAAATTCCATAGGAGGAATTCAACATCGCTCTCTTCTGATTGTTCCAGCAGTACAAGCTTTTTCAGCACAAGCTCCTCCTGCTGCATGCTCTTCCATGGGAATCTTGTTTTTACTGTTGACTGTATATTTTTAAAATTTATCTGTGGATTTGCATTTTAAACATGTAAGCCGCTTTGTGGAGGGCTTTGTCAAAAGATGGATTATAAGTACCGTCAATAAAGAGAAAAATAAATAAATGTTCCTCTCTTAACCGTACTCTTGAATGGGAGTAGAGAGTGAATGAAGGGCCACTCAGCATGTTCTTGGCTCAGCTGAGGTTTGAACCAGGGACTTGATGGTTCACAGTTTTTAACCACGACTCCACATTATGACAGCTCGCATGTACAGCAGCTCTTTCTCTAGAGTGAACTATAAAACAGTGTGTTTCAAATGTTTTGGCAGATTTGGCAGAAGATTGAAGATGCCGAATGGAGGCCTCAGACTTATTTGGAACTGGAGGGACTGCCTTGCATATTGATTTTTAGTGGAATGGATCCCCAAGGAGAGTCACTCCCAAGGTAATCACACACACACACACACACACACACACACACACGTATGAATTGGAAAATAGTTATATGAAATACACACATGTCCCTCAGGAAAGGGCTTTCTTGTTCCACGGCTGTGCCTTGCAAAATTCCATCCTTGCCCACTGAATTGAAGCTTGGTTAAGATTTCCAGATAAGATCAGATTCAGTGGAAAAGACTGGATTTTTGCAAGAAACAACCATGGAACAAGGAAATCTCTTGGATCCAGGGGAATTAAGCAGTACACATAAACTAGGGTTCAAAATAAAGTGTGGATGTGCCCTAAATTGCAACAGTCAAGGTGTTATTGAAATGCAACAGGATTTTGCCGCGCTGCTTTATCTAAACATCCCAGATGGACAGGAAATGACAACAGATAAGTGCTTTCAGTTATTATCGTAGTAATGTTGTGGAATTCACCTGGTCTTTCAGTCTGTCTCTCTTCCTGTCTGTCCCACCAAGGTCCTTGAGGTACTGTGACCTACGTCTGATAAATTCCTCCTGCTTGGTGAGAACAGCCCTGGAGCAAGAACTGGGCTTGGCAGCCTATTTTGTAAGTTCTGAAGTCCCCGTGGAAAAAGCAGTAGGCACAAATGATGTCCTGGAGAGTGACCCAGAGAAGCTAAGCAGTACTGATAACGAAGATGAAGAAACAGTAACAGAAGGTAAAGGGATATCCATAGGACCATTGACCTGAAAAGGGGGCGGGAGACATTTGTGAGCTTCCATCACCCCTGGCTGTTAGCCGTGCTGGCCAAGATTGATGGGAGTTGGGAGTCCAGCAACATCTGGAGGAGGATATAGGCTGTTCGCCCCTACTCTGCTTCTCTAGTCTTTTGCATTTTTAAGTTAGATGGATCATGTCCAGCAAATGTAAACACAACTTCCATTTCTTCACAATTGTGGAATAGGCTCCTCTTCGGAAAAGAGAAGCCCCATCAAAAGAGAAAGGTCTGGCTCACACGATTCTACTGCTTCCTCTGTCTCTTCTAAAGCATCAAGTAAGACATCAGCATGACTCCTTTACAATATGTACATTGGGGACCGAAATCCTAATGATTTAACCCGTGTTGCTAATGCTGTGGTTGCTTGGCTTTTGCCATCACTCCTACAAAAGGGGCCAGACAGACAGACATGATAAAGGCAACACTCACTTCTCCCTGAGAAATCTCCACTTCACTGCATTTGACATGGTTGTGTGAATTGCGCCTTAGCTTTTGTGTACTGAAGGAAGACTTACTGTGATGCAATAAGGGAAAAGCCACACTCTGGGCTCAAGTGGAGTGGTGCACTATACAATCTACCTTTCCACTTGTATTTATCACTGATAAATAATTATCTCTGGGATTATATATTGGGTCAGGGGGATATCTCAGCCTTCAGTTGCCACTAATGATTGAACAGAGCACTCTTATTAAGTTATGGATTTTGTCCATAGGCACAGCTTTCTGCAGCGAAACATCTCCTCCTTTGGTAACTGCAGGGGAGGTGGGAAAGTCTCCCCATCCGGTACTCAGCAGCAGCACCGAAGAGAGCGTGAATAACTCCGAAAAGCAGAGACCGAAAGCAGACAGAGACTCAAAGCTGGAAGCCAAACCTGCTCGGGCCTCCATCACTTCGTCGCCTCCACCTCCTTTCTCATCTCCCTCTGCCTCTTCAGCACCTGCCCACAGCTCTTTCGTTCTGCAGGCCTCTCAGTGCTCCATGACCAAAGCATCCCAGCAGCCCCCCATCGTTTACCTGCCCAAACTGGTTCATGACATGGTTACTTCTGCAGACAGCACAGGGCTTCCCAAGTCATCGTCCCTCTTGCCTTACCATTCGGTCATGTGGGCCAGTTCTTTCCGCCCGCTCATGAGCAAGATGATGACCTGCACCGAGCAGTCTCTATATTATCGCCAGTGGACCGTCCCCAAACCGATCCATATGGACTATAACAACAGGAATGAAGGCAGGATGGATACCTTTCATCCAAGGAGGCTGCTACTGAGTGGACCACCACAGGTAGGTAACAAGAAAAGGGACACCATTTTTTATTATTATTATTATTATTATTATTATTATTATTATTATTATATCATTGTGCATTTTGCCTCTCCGTTTCATGTAGGAGGAATGTCATCATATCTGGGCTTTGAATCAAGCTGCATTGGTCACCTGACTTTTCAGACACCTGAAATGATACTTTAATGTGCTTAGATTTCATAAGCTACTTCTATAAGTTTCTGATGTGTATCTTTACAGATAGGGAAGACAGGTGCCTATCTGCAATTCCTCAGTATTTTATCTAGAATGCTGATTCGGTTGACGGAAGTAGACGTTTATGACGAAGAGGAGATCAATGCTGGTATGTCCTACATGTCAAACCTTGGATGAATAATTTGTAACTGTTAATGAGAAGTTGAGTGTTTTATTGCTGTGCTCTTAATCCCCCCCCCCATGTTCATTTATTTCAGTCTTCAGTTAACGCAGCCATTACCAAAGGCTGGCAGTCAGGCAAAGACAATAAGAATCGCCCTTCCTTCCTTCTATATTGAATAGTTAATTATTTTTGAGTTTGCATTTTTGAATGATGAAAAGGGTATAACAGTGTGCATAGCATGAGTTTGTTTTCCTGTGATTGTAGATCTTAAAGAAGAATCAGAGCTGTACTATCACCAGTCAGGGGACGCGTGGCCCGATCTGGAAACTTTCAAGAAAATGCCTTTCGACTACACAATCCATGATCCAAAATACGAAGATGCAAGTCTCATCTGTTCAAGGGTCCAGAAAACAAGCAGCGAAGGTCAGGGATAGTTATTTATTCAGTTATTCTGACCAGACACCTGTTTGGTAATGATCTTTCATGCCATAAAACGGTCCAGTTAGAATGTATTGATCAGAATCTGTTTGTTGTTTTTTTGCATTCCATTGATGAGAAGTGTGGGGAATGACACTCATTTGGGATTATGGGCATTCAGTACAATTCTGAATTAAGTACTTAAGGACTTCAGTGAGACCACTAATCTCTAGCTAGTTCTGCTTTCTAATCTGATTGCCTTGATTGCTCTAGTCCTAAAACTCAGACGACAGCGATGGGGAACCTGAGTCCCTCCAGCCATTTTTTGGATTTCAACTCCCATCAGCCACAGCCAGCATGACCCATGGCCAGCAAAGATTGGGAGCTGGAGTCTAATAATGTCGGGGTGTGTGTAAAGGGGTACACCCTGCTCACAGCCACCTTTTCCCAGTGTTTGCCTTTTGATTCCTCAAGTCCCCAGCATATGGCATAAATTGAAAAGAAGAAGGGAGCAATGGGAAGTCTCTTTCTTAAACTGTCACAAAGTATGGTTTGTGAACTGTTGAGACTGATGAGCTGTAATTTGGGCACTGGTGTTACCATCAATGTAAAGCGCTCTATTAGAGTCATGGATTCTCCCAAAGGTTTCATGGGAAATGTAGTTTGTTAAGGGTCTCCTTACAACTTTCATCATCGCCCTGTTTCCCAGGATTCTTTGTGGGGGGAGCCATGTCTGTTACATTGGTATAAGAGCACTTTAAATGTGTGGTGCGGGATGTGACCATAATCTTGCTAAAACTACAACAATGCTGTGACTTATTTTGTGTGTGTCTGTGTGTTTGTACACACACACACACATGCATATATCATGCACATATTTATTCTATTTATATGCATCCCTTCATCTGAAGTTCACAGGGTGGTTTATAACATAAACCCGTAAGAAGCACACTCTGAGGAGGACTTAGCAATGCCACTAGAGGGTGCTAGTGAAGAATAGAATTGGAAGGGAACTGAGAGTCATCTAGTTCAATTCCCTACAGCAGGCATAGGCAAACTCGGCTCTCCACATGTTTTGAGACTACAATTCCCATCATCCCTGACCACTGGTCCTGTTAGCTAGGGATCATGAGATTTGTAGTCCCAAAACATCTGGAGGGACGAGTTTGCCTACAGGATAATTTGTGATTTCCAAATAATATTAATATTTATAATATTTATGATAATCTTATCACACATGTAGCACTGTAGAGCAATCAGAGCACATTACATTTACTGCCTCGTTTGTTAACTTTAAAGCTGAACTGAAATGGAAACAAATATGTCAGTTACAGTGACATATGGCAGTGGTTTATGTCAAACAGCATGAGAAATGTTTTTCAAAGATGTTGGTGGGTACAGAAATTATTTACATATAGACAGACGAATAGATTGAGAACAATGTTTACAGTAAACATGTCAACACTCCCATGAGAATAGCAACTTTTTCCGGATTCCTTTTTGATTGCAACCAGTATAATTTTGCATTCAGAAGATACTCAAGGATGGGGCAATTCCTTTGCGCTGGCCAGTGCTCACTTAACTGACACCATTAAAATATATTTGTACAGATAGTACAGCAAGCAGAAAACAAGAGGACTTGTATATGCGTCGTCAGACAACACGGATGAGATTATCCAAATACGCTGCTTACAACACTTACCATCACTGTGAACAGTGTCATCAGTATATGGGCTTTAACCCCAGGTACCAGGTAAGATTGATAGAGCCCTTTTAGTTTTGTTTTTGTACATTATTCTCTGTCAGCTGTTCTCCCATTCATCTTGGTTTGTCTTCTGATTTTTCTAAGGGTCAGGCCAATTATTTGGATGATCTTGAATATTGGCTGCCTTGTTTTAGGGCTAGATTTAATTTCTGCTGTACTTGACGGATGCTTTTACGCTACTCCCTATAACGAATGGCTCTTCCATTGTGGGAATGGAGCAAGAGAAACATTAACTCTTTTTGAAATATAACTCTGTAAGATGATCAAAATACCTTATTTTACTCCCATCCTCTTAAGATATGCAGGAAGGACAATTGAATGGCATTTGGCTGACTGCTTATTGGCTAACCCGAACAAAATATTAATGGAAAGAGCTACTAGATTTTTCGTGTTTGCTGCAAAGACCCCTAAAAAGATTTTGTTAATTTAGTTGTATCTTTGTTTGTTCCTGCCCTTAGTTTATATAACTACTATATCTTTTAACCTGATATATGTTAGAAACTTTGACCAAACTGCGGGAGGCAGTGGAAGACAGGAGTGTCTGGTGTGTTCTGGTCCATGGGGTCACGAAGAGTCGGACACGACTAAATGACTAAACAACAGCAACAACATGTTAGAAACATAGATTGTCTTCATCACCATGACAGACTAACCAAAGTCCAACCTTGGACCCTAGAGCTAGAGCATCTGTGTACATAAAGTGTATATAATCTAGCAATTTTTTAAAGGATGCGGTAGAACTGTGCCAGAATTAGTAAAACCCAAAAGCATATAGTACACAAATGCCAGACACTATTCCTTCAGAGTCTGCATTCCAAATACATCATCATAAATGACCACTGATCTCTACATAAATGGCACTCCCTGACCCTGTTAAGATTTAATTTGCTACTACATGTGCATCAGTGCCATAGCTGGCGAGGTGAATTATGCTTCTGTCCTTCTCCCTCCTCAGCTTTATGAATCTACCCTGCACGCTTTTGCCTTTTCCTATTCCATGCTTGGAGAGGAAATTCAGCTTCACTTCATCATCCCTAAGTCCAAGGAGCACCATTTTGTCTTTAGTCATCCGGGAAGACAGCTGGAGAGTATGAGATTGCCTCTTGTCACTGATACGGTAGGTAAATATCAATGTGAGCCATGCACAGACCTTGTTTTGCATTCGTACGGGGCCATGATATAAATTTCCTTCCCTGGGTTGGCTCTGCTTCTGGATAATGATAAAAATACCCTGCTTTTCTTTCTGTATAATATCTCTGCTGCGCAGGAAGACAGCATGCAAACTGTCCAGTACTGAAATAGGCCTTTAGCAGAGCTGCAGAGCTCTTTGGAGCATGTTTTAGGATCACCAAAGAGACAAAGCTCCCCATATCTTTTGAGATGTGCATCATCAAACTATGCAAAGTTGTAAAATGTAACTGCCAGGAGAACTGCTTGCCGATGGTCTCAAGAAGAGAAACTCTTTTTTTATACTGACTTTAGCCGGATAGCTCAGTTGGTTACAGCATGGTGCTGACAACGCCAAGCTTGCAGGTTTGATCTCCGTATGGGACAGCTGCATATTCCTGCATTGTAGGGGTTTGGACTAGAATGACCCTCCAGGGTCCCTTCTATGAGATATCTACCTTGAAGGCAATGGTGTAGTAGAGGAGAGAAGGAGTGATGGGCAGGGACAAAGTGGCACCCCTTATTTCACAGCAGGGATGACGACTTCCTCTTCCTCGGGTACAGTTTGCCAGTCCTCTGCCTGCCAAATAAATAGGCTTTTTATTGGAGAGACACCCATCCATAAGCTAAGCATATGGAATATTACATTAACATGCATGGCTAAGCATTGCACCGCCACTTCTTTTTGGGGGAAATTATGAAGACCGTTTATTATTACCACCTGCAATGTCACAGAAAACAGGAAACTTTTGAGTCTACCATAATATTTCGTCAGGCTGAAAATTAAGCCAAGCGGGAGGACAGGAGATGGGGGGGGGGGGAGTTTGGTATTGAAGCCATAGTGTCTGGATTGGTCAAAGTTCAGTTTTGTTGTATAATTCTAAAAGGGTTTAAGGGCTTCGTTATGAAGAGCACTTCAGAATTTATTACTTCGCTCTGCTCGGTGTCATGACATTGTTAACTGTACAGTCCCTATCCCTTGAAGGAGGATAGAGGATGGTGGAATCATTGCCACGCTCAGTTCTCCCAAGGCAAACCACCCCTGCTTCCTTCACACACCTCTCTGGCCTTTGGGTTGGCAGCTGGGCAACCAAATGCTCTTCAGAGGGCCCCGAGATCTCAGTTCATTTGTCTCAACCTGGGGTTGTATCAAATTGCGCCTCTTCGATCCAGCAGAGGCTTCCATGACACAAAAGTGGGGTGTTCAGTACAAAATTCCTGAAATACTCATCCAACAATGAATGCGATAAGTCAAGTGATCCAGGCATTTACAGCCATACCTCGGGTTGAAGTAGCTTCGGATGAATATTTTCAGGTTGCGCTCCGCGGCACCCTGGAAGTAACGGAGTGCGGTACTTCTGGGTTTCGCTGCTTGTGCATGTGTGGAAGCGGCGAATTGCGGCCCGCGCAGACGCATGGACGCGGGTTGCGTTCGCTTCTGGATGCGAACGGGGCTCTGGAATGGATCCCGTTTGCATCCAGAGGTACCACTGTATTTCATTTCATTTCATTTGGTTTCTCATGAGCGTACTTAAATTTTTAGCTAGCAGGTAAGCTGTTCAGCTTTGTGTAAATTGCTGGAAACCTGTTGATTACAATGAAACAATGCCAGTATATTTAGTTGTTGACCCTCCTCTCTCTCTAGCTTTTTTGTTGTTGCTCCTTATATTAACCACCATAATAACACAGATTCCTAACTTTATAGAGCCAAGATTATATAAAGAGCCCTACTTTTACTCCCACAACTGGACGTCACGAACATGGACTTTTTAACCTTTACCATGCAATGGATGGGGCCAGCCACTTGCACGTCCTAGTCGTCAAAGAGTACGAAATGGCAATATATAAAAAATACTGGCCCAATCACATCATGCTTGTTCTGCCAAGTATTTTCAACAGTGCTGGAGTGGGTATGTATATGGTGAAATTCTCTGCTGTGTGAATGCAGTGAGGTCTAAATCGCATGAATTTTTTGCATAATTAAATAAAGCCTTGGTTGGTTATAGGAGTGGCTTGCGTGATGGGATGGAACCAAAACGATAGCCTCCTGGCACCTTTTTGGAGGGGAACGTAAGAACGAATTAAGAGCCTGGCTGCTGGATCAGACCAGTGGCTCACCTAGTTCAGTATTCTGTTCTCACAGTGGCTAACCAGCTGCCTATGCGAAATTTTCAAACAGGGTATCAAAGCGGATTGTGAAATATCAAAACAAGCATGGATAAAACAATAATCCACCATTGAAACACAATCACCAGGCTAAAACAGTGTCAAAGTGCAGGAACGCAAAGAGTCAAAAGCAACACGCAATAGATTAAAATCGGCAACAACAGAATCAAAAGCTTATTTAAATAAAAATGTATTCAGATGCCAGCAAAGCACAAAACAGAGAGGAAGATAATCTTACCTCGCCCTTCAATATGTCAAAACGACATACGCATATTCAAATTTAATCAAGTAATGAATCAACTAAAAGGCAGGTGCTTAATCACTAAGCAATGCCATCATTTACATGGCTACTCAGAAGTAAGCCCATTGCATTTAGTAGGACTTACTTCCAGGTTTTAGTCTAAAAATACTTGAATTTGCTGTCAGCCTTAGAATAAAGCAAAGTTGAGTGTGTGGGATAGTGATACAGCAAAAGATTTCTAGATAAAATGTTGATTTCAGTTCTCCCGTTACAGTGTGTGATTTGCTTCTCTCTTTTTAGGCGCTGCTCACTTCCTAATAAAAGAACTGTCCTACCACAATCTGGAGCTTGAGCGAAATCGGCAGGAGGAGCTAGGCGTTAAGCCTCAAGACATCTGGCCTTTCATCATCATCTCTGACGACTCCTGTGTCATGTGGAATGCTGTAGAAATGGATTGCTCAGGTGACAGAAAAAGGTAAAGGGCGGTTTCTTTGGGATGGCATATTCACTGGGCTTCCTCGAGCAATCAGATTTTGAACTGTTTCTCTGGCCCCTTGCAGCGAATACACATGGACTGAAAGGAACATTTCCTTGAAGCAAATTCTTCAGCACATTGAATCAACTCCGGATGTCACCCACTATGCCTTGATTGGGATGAGGAAGTGGTCAAGTAAAACCAAGAGCAGAGAGATCAAGGAGCCGTTCTCTTGCTGCCATGTTCACGATTTTATCATGCTGAACGTGGACCTAACGCAGAACGTTCAGTATAACCAGAACAGGTGAGGCAAGGCTGATGAAGTAGATTTTTGTCTCTGATAGCATAAGCCACACTATATTTGATAGTCCCTAAGAAGCTATAGGGACGCGGGTGGTGCCGTGGGTTAAACCACAGAGCCTAGGATTTGCCGATCAGAAGGTTGGCGGTTCGAATCCCCGCGACGGAGTGAGCTCCCGTTGCTCGGTTCCTGCTCCTGCCAACCTAGCAGTTCGAAAGCGCGTCAAAGTGCAAGTAGATACTTGCTTTTAGTCTGTATTCAGTTGACAGTGAACAGTTTTAACTGGTGTGTGTGGGGGTGTCTTTTAGTTTTTATATGATTGTGTTGGTGTCAATATTCATTTATTTCTGTTGCTTCGCTTGATTAATATCGTAAGTTTATATTTTGACATATTGCTAATTCTTCTTTTGATGTGCCGTCAATTCTTCCTTTGCACATCGCCTACAGGCTTGTTGCACAAGGCAACGGAGAAACATAACTAATAAAAGGAAATAAACAGGGCCAAACTAGATGTGATGATTAATGTGTCTTTGCATTTAACTTGCATGTTAAAACAAATGCAAATGGCAGTTCTTAAGGGAGGTGACAATTATCAGGATCTTGGCAGGTGGCGAGGAGGAAGTTTTTACTTTTCCTCTCCTGCTGTGGTCCTGATGAAAATAGCTTCTTTGAATCCCTCACTGGCATCATGTGCAAAAGTTTTCAATATCACACCTGGTTTATTTAATTTAGAAAAAAATATATAAACAGCTTATCTATGTGGGGCTTGGTCCTTAATCTCACAGCGGCACTGCCTGCCAGAGCACTGATACCCCTTTTCTGTCAAATGTCACGCTTGAACCAGTTTCCTTGATGTCTTGGTTTACACTCTTCCTTTTAAAACCGTATCCACCATTGCGATTTCCGTGCAATTTGAAACACTTCAGCTAATGAAGGCCTATTGCTTCTTGCATTCTGTGTCCCCTCCGCCTGACAGGTTTGTGTGTGACGATGTGGACTTCAACCTGCGTGCCCACAGCGCTGGCCTCCTGATCTGTCGCTTCAACCGATTCAGCGTCATGAAGAAGCAAATTGCCGTTGGCGGGCAAAGGTCCTTTCATATTAAGTCAAAGGTCAGAATTCGGAAATTTCTGCGAAATCTCCCACTTTTTGTTTCGTTCTTATAATACAGTGGGGCGGTGGGGGGAAAGAAAGGAAAGACTTTGGCGCAACGGGCAAAGTCACTCATTTGTGCATGTCAGCTTGTTTTCAGTTTTCATTGGGAATATATGAAACAGATAGATCCTGTTCAGCCTTTCCAAACCTCCCATGATGAGGGAGGATGCAAACTCTTATCTGCTCTGTTTCATCCTCCTCACCTGCCATGCTGCCCTCTATGTTTTAGAGCAGCCTTTCTCAACCTGTGGGTCCCCACATGTTGTTGAACTACAACTCCCATCACCCCTAGCTAGCAAGGCCAGAGCTCAGGGATGATGAGAGTTGTAGTCCCACAACATGTGGGGACCCACAGGTTGGGAACTGCTGTTTTAGAGGATGATAGTCTGCTGTGGGGAGAGCCTTTGTATTTATTTAGAATCCAGATTATGCAGGTCACAGCAAAGAAGAAGAACGATAAGCATTATTTTATCGTTGTTTTTCTTTGTTGCATGCTCTGTAGCAATTGATAAGAAGCTTATTATTTGAGAAGTTGTTGTTTTTGTAAGTGTATACAGTGATACCTCAGGTTAAGTACTTAATTCATTCTGGAGGTCCGTTCTTAACCTGAAACTGTTCTTAACCTGAAGCACCACTTTAGCTAATGGGGCCTCCTGCTGCTGCCGCGCCGCTGGAGCACGATTTCTGTTCTCATCCTGAAGCAAAGTTCTTAACCTATTTCTATAAGCACTATTTCTGGGTTAGCGGAGTCTGTAACCTGAAGCGTATGTAACCCGAGGTACCACTGTACCATTCCAGGAAGAGGCTGGTCCCCCCCCAAAAGCCTGAGTGATTCTTAGAGGGGAGGCCGGTAGCTTCATGCTAGGACACCAGCACTGCTTGCAGAAGCTGCCAGGTTCAGTCCCCAGCACCTCCAGGTAGGCCCAGTCTGAAATCCCGTAGAGGTCCAGCCCGTGAGTGTGGACAGTACTGAGCTGGACAGATGCATGGTCTGACTCAGAACAAGTCCGCTTCCTGTGTCTCCCTATGAATGGTTCTTAAGTGGTAGTGACACAAGTAAGGGCCTGTGCTGCTGAAGTCAAAACTCTCATCGGTAGGACATTCTCCTGCTGACACATGCTTAATTAGAAGGGCACATGCATCCAAATGATGTGAAGCCAGATCGTACAAGGTTCTAAGTCACGTGGGGAAAGCTGTGCCTGAGCGGAGGCTCCCCACTGCATAGCTTCACCACACCCCACACCCTTAATACATGGAGAGCATTGTGGCCAGGTGGCAGGGAAATGGTGGAGGGCATGGATGATTTAGCAGGAGGTTGGACTAGATGACCCATGGGGTCCCTTCCAGCTCTGCAGTTCTATGATTCTATAGGCCAGCTAGTCATGTCTTCTTCACTCTCCCCTCTTTGCTATACTAATCGAGAGAGGTCTTGAGCCAGTGTGGTGTAGTGGTTAAGAGTGGTAGTCTCGTAATCTGGGGAACTGGGTTCGCATCCCCACTCCTCCACATGCAGCTGTTGGGTGACCTTGGGCTAGTCACACTTCTCTGACGTCTCTCAGCCCCACTCACCTCACAGAGTGTTTGTTGTGGGGGAGGAAGGGAAAGGAGAATGTTAGCTGCTTTGAGACTCCTTTGGGTAGTGATAAAGTGGGATATCAAATCCAAACTACTACTTCTTCTTCTTCTTCTTCTTCTTGAAGACCTGAACAGGACCTTATATTTGGTTGTTTTTTATTAGAAGAATTTCTAAAAAAGATATAGAGTGAGAAAAGAAAGAAAGAATGAGAATGAAGGGGGGGGATATTGTTATGTTATCATACGTTAATATACAGATGTGTATATTATCCTTATACACATATAATTGTCAGTAACCTAATACATTCTGTGTAAATTCACTCCAAATATCATTGTATTTATCCAAAGGAAGTCTGTGGTCTATAAGCTGTCGACCCATATGTGGCCAGCGTTGTCACTGGTGTTAATTGTATTAACCTTTAGGGAGCTTTCACTTGCGTTTTTAATCTAAATGTCACACTCCCCCTGTATGGCGCGTCCCTTTTAGGTATCGGATAACCCCGTTTCGATTGCCCCGGCTCAGTACATATGCGCTCCCGACAGCAAACACACCTTCTTGGCTGCTCCTGCTCAGCTGCTGCTCGAAAAATACCTCCAGTATCACAGCCATCGCTTCTTTCCTCTCTCGCTGAAGAACTACAGCCATCCAGTGCTATCCGTGGATTGCTACCTTAATTTGGGACCCCAGGTAATGCATTTTGTTTGTTTGTTGAGCATGATAGACAGCTTCCTTTGTCTCCCCGTGCATGATTATTAAGTGGTCCAAGTGAAAGCATGTGCTTCAGCAATTAAAACTCTTATCTGTAGAACGTTCTCCTGCCAACGCATATTTAAGTGGAAAAGCACATGTGTCAAAGTGGATCAGGTTCCAGTGCCGGTGCAAGGAGGATGAGCTGTTCCTTCATGCTCCTCTGAGGAACCTCATGCACATGCTATGAGCTGCAGCTTCAGTGCCATGTGGCTTTGGGAAAGGCCATCACTTACAGTTGTGATGGGGCAAAACAGATTTTATTTTATTCTGCCGTACTCCCTTCCTCTTCCCCCCACCAGCAGACATTCAGAACCCTCTCAACGAAAAAGAAAAACCCAGAAGAAACCAAAGTTGGGAACAACCCAATACCCCTTCGCCTCCAAGGTTTACTTAGAATGCCATGGAGAGATGGACTGGGAAGTCCTAGGAAAAGGGATAATATATAGATATTGGATGATGATAATGATGATGATGATGATGATGATGATTTATTACTTATACCCCACCCATCTGGCTGGGTTTCCCCAGTGTATATGTCATAAAAATGCATAAATGATTTTTTGAAAAATAAAACAAATTTTATTTTATTCACCACAATAACCCCCAAATGGCATACATTTGCTACGAAAGAGTCACACAGCGTTTCAAAATGTTCATATTATAAATGGTTGCAGATATTTCTTTGGGCGCGGTAGTTTGATCATGCTAAAATTAGCTGTGCTTCAGACTGAGGGGACTATAATACCTGCCTTTGTTCCCCTTGCAATCAGATTGCAGTTTGCTATGTCAGCTCCCGACCTCATTCTCTGAATGTGACTTGCTCTGATATGATATTCAGTGGACTACTGCTGTACCTCTGTGATTCCTTTGTGGTAGCAAGCTTCTTGAAGAAATTCCACTTTCTGAAAGGTAAGAACCAAGTATTGCTGACACACCAAGCTATGACTTGTTTCTGACATCTTTGCTGTGAGAAAGAGGGCGGAGGGGACATTCTGATCCATGCCTAACTAACATTTGTAGATATATTGATGCCAGTTTTGTTTTTGTTTTAGTTATTTAAAATATTTTGATGTCATAAAATGAACAGGTCGGAATTTTGTGCCACCATCACTCCCATTCACAACCTTGCTGCGGTTGGGAAGACTTGTATGTGTGATCCATAAAAAAGCTGTCTTCTACCAGGTCAAACTATCTAGCCCAAGGTTCCCCAATCTTTGGGTCTCCAGCTGGTTTTGGACTACAACTCCCATCATCCGTGACCACTGCTCCTGCTAGCTAGGAATGATAGGAGCTGTAATCCAAAAACAGCTGGAGACCCAAGTTTAGGAAACCATAATCCAGCCCAATTCTTGTTCTGGCAGATGCTCTCTGAGGTCTGAAGCCAAAGTCTTTCCCATCACCTACCTCCCCACCTTTTGAAGTGGAAATACCAGTGACTGAACATAAACAAACATTTTTCTGGCATTCAAAATCCAGCAAACATTAAGAATTCAGATTTGCATCCTTGGTGCCAAACATAATGCTTATGAGAAAGAGGATCTCCTGGGAAAAGGGGCTGTTCTGTGCTGGGACAGATATTGCCTGGGGAGAAGGAAAATGTTTAGCAGGAACCAGGGCATGGCACAAGGCTAAGTATTCACTCCAGTTGTCAGCAAGAGCTCTGAGTGTTCCAAAGATAATTTCATAATGCCTTACTCAACAAAGGGAGGAAGATTTAATAGGAGTAATTACTTTGCAAATGGGGGAAAGTGTGATTCCAATCCTATGGCAGATGTGGGCAGAAGGAGGGGCACATTAGCCAGTTTCCAGTGGAACCCCTGGAAGTTGTGAGCAAAAAACCCTGGGCGGTCTATCCCCTTTAAGACTGCTTTCCCGCTTTGAATGGCACTTGTTGTTTTAAATTGTTATTTAATTGAGAGGTTAGATTTTAGGCCTATGTTGCTATCTATACTGACCTTATTGTTGCATGGAAGCATAGAATTGTAGAGTTGGAAAGGACCCTGAGGATCATCTAGTCCAACCCCCTGCAATGCAGGAATATGCAGCTGTTCCATAAGGGGATTTGAACCTGCAACCTTGGTGTTATCAGCACCACACTCTCACCAACTTAGCTATCCTGGCTGCAACTCAATTTTATTTGCAGTTATGCACTCTATGATTGTAAGCCACTTGGGGCCTCTCCAAATGTTCTTTTCATCACTCACTCATGATTACCGTATTTTTCGCTCTATAAGACGCACCCGACCATAAAACGCACCCAGTTTTTAGAGGAGGAAAACAAGAAAGCAACGCCAAGCCTCTTGAGCAAAGAGGCAGGAGCGCTCCCGTTGCGCTCAAGAGGCTTTGTGTTGCTTTCACTGAAGCCAGAAGAGCACCGATCGGTGCGCACCGATCCCTCTTGCTCTTCTGGCTTCTGGGATAGCTGTGCAGCCTCTTCAGGGCAGCGGGATGAAGGCTCCCCACTGCCCTGAAGAGGCTGCGTGCGGCTAAGCCAGAAGCTAGAACAGCGAGAGGGAGTGCTGCGCAGCGATCCCTCTTGCTGTTCTGGCTTCTGGCTTAGCCGCGCAGCCTGCATTCGCTCCATAAGACGCACACACATTTCCCCTTACTTTTTAGGAGGGAAAAAGTGCGTCTTATAGAGCGAAAAATATGGTATTTGTGCCCATGATGCTATCAGGCAGAATAAATCCACTGTTGATGCACTATTAACTGTTGCAGAATATACCTGCAATAAAACACCATTCCGGGAGGCCTTTGCAGACAGTTTTTTTTTGGAGCAGGAAATATAGAAAGTGATGCACACATGACAAAAACAACAGCAACCAACAACCTATAATAATGATAATTTCCACAGGTGCCACTTTATGTGTCATATGCCAAGACAGGAACTCGCTGCGCCAAACAGTCGTCCGACTGGAACTCGAAGACGAATGGCAATTCCGACTGAGAGACGAGTTCCAAACAGCCAACGCCAAAGAAGACAAGCCCCTCTTCTTTCTGACGGGACGGCACATTTGATGGGAAATGATCACGTGGCATAAGAAGTTGTCTTTTCTCTGACCAAATAAAATGAGTTGCATGAAAGAAAAGAGGGAGGGGGCAAGGAGAACTGAGCTGTTTACACGATGTTTGCAAAAGAAGCTGCTTCGTAGGAACAAAAGTTAGGCAATTTTGAAATATTTGTATTAAAGTTATATTTTATTTGACCAATTTATGTTTATAATTCCAAACTTTTGTTCGTACCCTTTTTGTAATTTAATGAACTTGAGAAAGTAACTCCCGTTATATTGAGGATGGAGCTACTGCGTAATATTTCTGTTGTTTCCCCCTTTTTTGTTTTTGCTGTATATATTATACAAACTGTTTTGGAACCAGACACTTGTGACACAGCTTCAAAATTATGAGATGTAGATGTAGATTCTCTCCTCCGTGTTTTTGTAAACCTAGGGTGCCAGTGTAGTAAAAAGAAAAGGAAGTTTCATTCTTAGAAAATTGCTACTGATTAGCAAATATAGCATTGCTGATCTGCTCTATGTAGAGTGCTAAAGGCAAAATTAACTGGGATGTTCCCCAGTGCATACCCCATGGAAATGAATGGAATGTGCTCAAGAGCATTCATTTCATGACAGGTATACATAGGAGAACATCCCAGTGGAGAGTGCCTTATATACGTATTATAATGAAAGCTTGCTTTCCATCCTAACCTCAGGACTGCTGGCTGCTTTGCATAATTTTTAAGAGGCAGACTTTTTGTAATATGTAGAAATGTATTATAGTGACCTTTTCTGATTTATTGAGAATATTGAAAGCGGACGGTTGGAGTTGTTTTTAAAAGTCTGAATGTTTTAGTAGGTAGAAAAGCGTCTGAATGAACTGGTGATTAGTTAAAGGAAGTGTTAATATCAAATTGTTTTTTAAAAACAGATGGTTTGTTGCACTGCCCATCCTAAGACATCTCAGGTTTGCTGTGCAAATAAAAACAACACCTAGGGTGCATTTAATAGTTCTCTGATATTTAACAGCGCCCCTCATTAAGTGGTTTCTTGTTTGGGGTTTGAGGTTTCTTTTGTGGGAATACATAGAAATCAGTCCATCAGTAAAACTTTTCAAAAATAATGGTGAGGTAATACCTTAATTTTGAGTATAACCAACTAAAGCATCACAAAATATTTGTCAAGCTTTCAAGTATCTCAGAGCTTTTTTCAGCTGGATGTTAAACAAAACAAGTGTCCCCTTTTCGCCTTCCCCAAAATTGGGAAGAGGGATTGGGGGGGGGAGGGCCTAAGGGTTAAATACCATCTCCCCACTCACTTGACTCCTGGTCATGATTCCCTCGCCAACTTTAGAAAAGAAATGGATAAGAAGAAATGCTATTGGAAACAGAATGATGAAAGTTGATTCTCCAAGAGGAAAGAAGGGCCATAGAGAAGGAAATGGCTGGAGCCATCTATACCAGCCCCAAACCTACTGCACCTGCTATCTTTTCACTATACTAAAAAAAGGGGGGAGTTTCTGAGCTTGTGGGGAGGGGAAGCAAACAGGGGAAAGGTGTTTTGATCATGATACCATGCCCCATAAAAAGAAAAGCAGCCTTGATTTGATTAGATAGTGCTGGATGCAAAACGGGTTGCAGATTGAACCAAGAGGTACTGAGACAAAGAGGCAATGGCTGTCCCATCCCTGAAACTGTAGAAGTTAGCAGTGGTTCAGATCTGCCTCTTTCACTAAGTGGAACACATAGAGCCAGTAAGGGGCCATGCAGTGGGGCAGAGCTGCAGAACCACCTTCTTGACACTGGTACTGTCACTGCTTACCTGGTTGGGGACGGGTTGGAAGGTGGCACGGTTGGGGGCATGTGAGTGCAGCAGTAGGGGCATTCCTGAACATGCCCCCCTCACCACCTTAGTTAAGCAGCAGCAATGCCAGTATTGGGAGGGCAGTTCCACTCTACCACATGTGCCGTAATTGTGCAGATCCTTTGTAAGGCAAAGAGCACAAGTAAGAGGGAAATTAGCGGGAAACTAATTTTGGGCTAATTTCGAATCCCTGCGACGGGGTGAGCTCCCGTTGCTCAGTCCCTGCTCCTGCCAACCTAGCAGTTCAAAAGCACGTCAAAGTGCAAGTAGATAAATAGGTACTGCTCCAACAGGAAGGTAAATGGCATTTCCGTGCGCTGCTCTGGTTCACCATCATTGCAGTGACTTGGATCCTCAACTTTTGCATCCTCCTTTGGTTCCTGAGAGGAGGGAGAGGGCTGAGGCAACATGCCTTGATTTTACATAAACCTGTAGATATTTTTAAAATGCTCTTTCAGTTTGACTGTGTGTCTCTTCCCCACCCTGGCAGCCACTGTTGTTATAGAATATAGCCAAAGTTTGGGTTTTTCCTACATGGTCAAATCTTTTCTGTAGGAACTTTCCCCCCCAAAAGGAGTAATGTAACTCGCCTTCTCAGATCCCATGTTTCAGATCTGCTCTTACTGAGTCAGAGGGAAGACAATGGCATGGTTCCTCATCTAGGATATTGGCGTAACAATAAAGAAAAGAAATCCCTGTTCCTTCCTAATGTATTTATTAAGGGTGCTGGGGGTGGTTAGGACCATCTAGACAAGTACCATTGATCCTATTGTCACATATGAAAGAGCCTTCACAGTCATTGCATGGTTCTGACACCTATTTCATGTTGTAAATTCTCAGAGCTGGTGCAGTAGGCTTGGTCCAATAAAATTGGAGTTTCTTACTTGGCAGCATCTAGCCCAAGGGGGAAAATGAAGGGTCTCCCCCAAAGCTCACTATAAGTCAATGAACATTGACAGCTTTAGGTTTTGCCTGCTCGGATGAAATGTTATGGGTGGTGACTCTTCCACCTTATAAAAATGGTCATGTGGAAGTCTAATGGCTTGCTTTCATTTGAGGCTTAGACTTGGAAGAATGAGCCTGCCACCGTGCCGCAGATGGAAGTAGGAATACCCTGGGGTAACAGGGCATACCTCACAATGCACCAACTCATGGGAGGGAGGACCAAAACTATGTCCATGTGGTAGCTACTCTATCTAGCAAGCTGCTTTTGATCCCATCCTGATCAGCTTATGTAATGTGATTTGTCTTTTGTCTGGTTTGGTTACTCAGTTAATAAACATTTTCAGTTTTGGCTTTTGAAGTTGAATGCTTCTTTAACCTTGACTCCCAAATAGTGATGGGAAGCCTTTTGAAAGAAACCGGAAAAACTGGGGAAAAAACCCAGGTTCCCCCCCATTTTTTCCCAAAGGCTTTGGGGGAAAAAAGGAAAAAAACCTGGTGCCCCCCCATTTTTTCCGTTTTTTCCCCCAGGCCTTCCCATCTCTACTCCCAAATCATGATTACTCATGAATTCGAAGGCAATAATGTTAAGTCTTTGTGCACACTAAAATTGGTACTTCTGAATATTTCTCCCACTCACCCCTAACCAATTTGATTGCACCACTAGTGGAGTAATTGCCAAATTAGGATAATATGGTTTGTTTTTTTAAAGCAAAATCAAGCTGAACTTGTTTGGGAATTGTGGTCAAATATTGAACACCACAAAGTGTATACAGTCACCATTATTTATTCAGCACTGACTCTGGGAATCGGCTTGTAACAGCTCACTATAAATAGTAACAGTAGTTATATAACCTGGTGGAAAGATTTCACATCCTTTACACATGGAACAACAGATGTATCAATAAAGATTAGTGCGCCAGTCTGCATTTCGTTTCCATGAGTTAGAATTATGGAGCTGACTTGATTAACTTAAGAGATGCATCAGGACAGAACGGACTGGGACATTTAACCAGAATTGGTACAAAACAGAATCACAATGTGGGCATTTCAGCAGTGAGAGCTTTGACCCAGCGAGAAATCATTGCAGTTTTTAAGAATGCAAAGCATACTTCCAAAGGCACATCTCAAATCAATTGTGACATTATTCACTCTGTTAGTGAAGTATTCTGCACATGCTAGGCTCTTCTTGAAAAGATTGAGAGGTTGCAACGAGCTCCTGCCTTCTCCCAAACCAAGAGAGGCCAATGTCTGCATACATGCTGCCCTTGAGCTCCAAGGGAACTCTAGTAGCAGATAGTATCTCACAGGGTCAGCCTTTGGCTTCCTGAAATTAGTAGCTAAGCTGAAGGACCCATTGCTTGCTTCTTATCAGCCTGGATTCTAAAGTGTGTGTGTGTGTGTGTGTGTATGTCTTTCATGATACATTTCACCACTTTTATTTTTCTACATTATCTGCTTTCTTCATTTGAAAATAGGCACGGTCTGTATTGCTCCTATGTTTTGTAACTTTGATTATGGGGTTTCTGTTTTTATTGCTCATTTTTATTTTTGATTTTGTGTTAATGAAGAATAATAATTAAAAAATCTGAGGGAAGCTTCCACCTTACAACTTAGAGCACTGGAGACTTGAATATGGAGGGTGTGCATCCTCTCAGTTCAGTGAACACGTCTGGGAATTGAGCAGCAAAATGGCGTCCGGGCTGATTTTTGCTGAATTGGCAAAATGTCTGGGGAAAGCCCAGACAAGTAGGACTATTATTATTATTTTTTTGCTGAGGCAAGCGGAGAGATGTTCCCCAACAAAAGCTCAACAACTTGGTCCAGATTTTCACTTTTGGGAATATGGCAACCCTAGCTAACAGCACACATTAATATTATGAGTGGCACTGCCCCCCTCTCATAGTTTACAGGATTGTGCCTGGAGAATTGACATTTATAAACTTTGCCACAGGCATTTAGACAACTATTTATGGTGTTTAGTTATCTCTACAATTACTGTAGTTGTGGTGGTGCTTTTTATACAGGCCTGTGGGAGGAATTGGAGCAAATGGGATTTTGAGGGATTTATGCACCTGTGAACAGGCCCGTCAGAGACTGAAGGCCCTTTGCCTCAGGTTCATCTGCCATATTGGTGCTTTTTTTTGCTTATCTTTTTTTTCTTCTTTTTTTTGAGGCGGGACTTCTTATTTTTTTCTGTGTTGTTCCTGGTAAGAAGGGAGACATGCAGGCAGGATCAGCTTCAGAACATGATGGGATGTTACTTCATGTTTTGGGCACCATTGTGTGTGTTGGGAGTTGTGAGGGGAAAGTTGTTCCGAAACAGGTTCAACAGAAAACTGAGTCCCTGTGAATCCTTTTGCTAATCCTGCTTACATCATTTCAGCAAAAAATGGAAGGGGAAAGCTCAACAGAAAGGGACAAAAGTAGGGTTAGGGCTGCTTCACAGTGTACACCAATGAAACCAGGAGGCTTGAGAAGTGCTTAACTTACAAGATCATGCTGATTATGCCTAAAAATATCCAGATGTGCTTAGGAAAAAAATCTCTCACAGGAACTTGGCTGCCGGAACAGAAATGTGATTCTTCTAGCACATGAAAATGATCTGGATACAAGTGCCCTACCACCTGAGAATTATGGAGACCCAAATTATCCATTTCTTCCCAGTAGCAAATAATAATAATAATTTCTTCACTATCCCTAATGTTCCTGTCAAAAGGAATTATGAAAATCATGGGCCCTAAATCACCCTGCTGAGAAGCAAAAAAGGGGGAATGAGAAGGCTGCCAAAATGCTGTATTATGAAAATCATGGGCTCCATATCAGAGCTCTGTTAGCCTGCTTGATCATCTGGCCCTGGCTAAAATGGTCTTGTTAGACTAATAATAATAATAATAATAATAATAAGGGTCAATCTTTCTACAGACCACCTGAATGGACCTCATGGCCCATTGGTATGAGAATCTAGGCTAACTGAAAGCATTTCTGTTTGTGAAAGGTGGTCAGCCGATTTTTTTATTTTATTTTTTGCTGACCCTACTCAGTGCAGCCCCTGAAAAGCTTCTCCTAAGTATGGAGACTCCAGGACAGTTTGGGACACAGTGCTGAAGCATGCAGTGTGGGCAGCGGGATCTGGGTTTTTGTGTGTGGGAACCCAGATGCATTGCCTGATGCTAGCAGAAGTGTTTTCTGCCACTGCACAGAAGCCACCAACTGGATGATGTAAGCTTGCACCCCTTCCTCACCCCTAGTTGAAGTGTCACTATCTGAACGGTCTAATTGTAGTGCATCTTACTGGAAGCTCTTCCCCCTGCATGTAGAAAGAAGAAGATGATAAACACCTCCGTTTTTCAGGGAGGCTTATGACTTAACAAGGCTACTTGAGGCGTCAGTTGCGAAGTGAGTGTGCACCGGCTTACGGAGCTCATGTTTCTTGTCCTGGCTGAGGTTCCAAGAACTTGAGCAGGCTAAATTCGCAAGCAAACATGATCACAGGGAAATTACTTTCTCTGGATCTTTGTTGTCAACAACGCATTACTTAAAGGCAGCATTTTTTAATTCCAACAGAAGCTTTAACAGCCACTGGGAAGAATATTTCTCTGGTAATGGAAGAAAGAGACCATCTCAAGATGCCATCTGAAGACACTGAGTCACCTTGGTCTTGGGTAAGGTCTTTAATCTAGAGTTTCAGGAATAGCGTGCTGAAGTTCGATTCCCCTTAGCCAGGTTTTTTTTTTAAAAAAAAAAATATCTGATTGTTTACTTGGTTGTCTTCTTTTTTTTCCTGAGTAAAGATGGGATAATATAGTTGGGTGTAGTTGTTTTGTTTTTTAAGGTTTCCTCTTGGTTTTGTTTGCGATGCCATTCTTTGGGGCAAGCCCAGCTGTTGAAATGGCCCTTCCCCACACTTTATGTGGGGTAGATTGTAGTAGGACATCGCTGTAAGAGACATGCTGCATTGATTAGGCTTTATACCGAATCACAAATTTAATGGTCAGCAAGGCCTTTCCTCGTGATATTTGTACTCTTAATTTGGGAAGTTAACATTGCAGCTCTCTTTGCTCATAGAAGATGTGTAGCATCTTCACACAGAAGGCGAACTCTTCGGAGAGTGGTTGGTTGCACATTAAAAGTTTTTTAACGTTTGATGTTTTACTGTGGTTTTATAATTTGTTGGAAGCCACCCAGAGTGGCTGGGGCAACCCAACCGGATGGGCGGCATATAAATGATGATGATGATAATGATGAAGAAGAAAGGACTGCTCCTAGGTAATCATAAGTGTTGACGTTCTCCATCTCAGAGAAGTGTGATCCTCTCTTTCTATGTACCATTTATAAAACAGTCAAAGGAATGTATACAGTCCTGCAGCCAGCCTTCTTTCTTAGGTGGGAGAGCCACATTTCATTTCGGAGAGGGAGGCGCATAGCACCAAACCAGACTCCCTGCCACTCACAGGTGGAGGGGATATAAAGGTCAGGCCAGGGGAAGGGGAGGGGGAAGGGCAGCAATGTCCCTGCTCATTCCTCCTCTGTGCAGACAGTGTGCTAGCTTACATAATGGGCTACATAAGGGTCAAGTTAACAGAAAAATTAGTGTTTAGGATTTGGGAATGAATTAAGTTCAATCTGCTGAATTGTCTCACCTTTGAGATCCCCAGAAATACCAGACTCAGAAGTTTGACTTTGCCCAGAGCTATAGTCCTCTTTCACCTGTGGTTGGACTCCCTGTGTTCTGATTCTTTAGGAACTTAACTACTTTGGTAATGAGCTCCTGAGCTCAGCTTTGATACTGAATTACGTATTGCAGTTTTACACCCCTTAAAAAACAAAACAAAACACCACCTGTCCAAACTTGTCCAAGTTTAGGGAAAGAAGGAGATTTTAAAATGACAATTTTTTATATTGTTTGGATTTATAGTGCGCCTGGGGGAGAAGAACTGCTTGATATGTGACAGTATTTACCGGTAAACAAATAATCTTTTCCCTGTTAGAGATACATAAATAGAACGATCTACACATCAGAAACTCGAATAGCAGGTTGTGTATGACCACTCTTTGACTGTTCTGTCATATTTAGCAACACACCAACAACTGGAGTGGATTTTCACCCATATGACAAAGTGACATGCCCAGCTTTTAAAGCACAGCTGTGACGTCCAATTGTACAGATGCTTATTCTGCAACTGAAATGAATAGCAGTGGAGTCAGAAGCTTGCGCGTTAGGCTTACTCATCTCACTTCTATGGGGCTTTTCTTTGGAATGACCGATGCACAATAACATAGCTCAGTTTAAGTACCTGTGCCTCTCACTTGGTTTCTTCATTTACATTCTGGCTCAGGAAAACAGCAAAGGCATTTGGGTTGGTCATATAATATCAAGGTTCAGTTAAAGGGCACCGTGGACTTGGGCTGATTCATGTTCTAGGTTTAACATGTCTTTAGACCCTAAAACATGCGCTCCCTCCCTCCCCTCCCTCCCTCTCCTCCCCCCAACAGAATTCACACAGAAAGACCCACTCCTCTGTTCCTCTGTATCAGTCCTTGCCAACCCTGCTCCCTCCAGTTGTTGTTGGATTATCCCCCCCCCCCGACTGTTGGTTGTGCTGGCTGGGGCAAATGGGAGTTGGAGTCTGAACAACATCTGGAGGGCACCAGCCTGGGGAAGGCTGCTCTGCATAACACAGAAATACCGAATCCCTATCAGAGGTGACCCATTTTAGTAAATGTAATGGCAGTGGGGTGAAGGGTGTGTGTGAGATAAAATCCAACTGACATTTCCACTATTTCTAAAAATATAACAACAACAACAGAACACAAGCTTTTAAACCAAGGCCCTGTCTAGACTTTGCATTTAAGCACTATTGTACCACTTTAAACAGGGATGCGGGTGGCGCTGTGGGTTAAACCACAGAGCCTAGGACTTGCCGATCAGAAGGTTGGCGGTTCGAATCCCTGTGATAGGGTGAGCTCCCGTTGCTCGGTCCCTGCTCCTGTCAACCTAGCAGTTTGAAAGCACGTCAAAGTGCAAGTAGATAAATAGGTACCGCTCCGGCGGGAAGGTAAATGGCGTTTCCGTGCGCTGCTCTGGTTTGCCAGAAGTGGTTTAGTGATGTTGGCCACATGACCCGGAAGCTGTACGCCGGCTCCTTCGGCTTATAGAGTGAGATGAGTGCCACAACCCCAGAGTCGGTCACGACTGGACCTAATGGTCAGGGGTCCCTTTACCTTTACCACTTTAAACATTCATGGCTTCCCCCCAAAGTATCCTGGGGGCCACAGTTTGTTAAGGGTGCTGAATATTGTTAGGCGACCTCTGCTCCCCTCACAGAGCTACAGTTCCCAGCATGGTTTCATGAGGGAAACAAGGGTCTCCTAACAATGCTCAGCACCCTTAACAGTTGCCAGGATTCTTTGTGGGAAGCTATGGCTGTTACGGAAGTCGTATGATACTGCTTTAGATGTAACAGAGCAGATGGGAACCAAGTCAGACCACTGGTCTATCTAGCTCATCATTGCCCCTACTGACTCCAGAGTTTGGGGCTGAGGACATTCCCAGCTCTACCTTGAGATGCATGGAAATGAACCTGGGACTTTCAGATTGCAGAGCAGATGCTCTATGATTGAGCTTTGGTGCTTCCACCAAACAAGCACTTGCTGCCCTTTAATTGTAACCTGTGACCAGTGATGAACCTTGGGGACTGAAATTTCAGTGGCATCCTGCGCGACACCAAAATTCGGTGCCTCGCTGCCTCTCCCACTCCATTCTAAATAATAGTTGTGGTGTCCTCTGAGGTGCCCCTGAGGCTTTGCCCCCAGTGCAGCTGAACCATTGTTGCTCCCCTAACTCTGCCTCTGCCATGGAACAGACTTCCCTACATTGGAGCTACAGGAGGGTTGATATATTCTGGAATTTTCCTGACATAGTGGGGATTAGGCTGTCGGAAACAGTGCCCAGGCAGAAATCGCTGAAAGTCCGGGAAAATCTGGACGTATGGCAACCCAAGTCAGAAGTGTAGATTTTGGCAAATTTCCTTAAAAGTAGCTCAAAAACTTCATTATTTTTTTTGAGAGTTTGCAAAAAACAAAAACATTTTACTTTTTGAAATATGGCAACCCTAAACTATGGCAAAGAGTTCTTCATTCCAAAAGATAGCCTTTGCATCTCTTGGGAATAGGACAGCTGAGAGCTGAAAGGTTATTTATAATAGTTCCGTTGTGCTGATCCAACCCACACAGTAGGAAGTATGGGCTTCTGTTCACTGTTTGTTGTAAATAACTGCCCCCACACTTAGGAGTAGTGATCACTGTGACACCTGTCGGCTTCAGCCTTATTTCAGTGTGAATTTTTGCATGGCTGACACATTCTCAAATCATCGTCGTTTGATTTTCCATGGCTTAGATCTCTTGACCATGCTTCCTCCAACAGAAGTTGGGGTGGGGGTGCTGGACAGGTGATATTTATGAATTCCTTTTCCCCCTTCTGAAAATCTGCTCTGGAAAATAGAGGAAACCTCCAGAACAGGGCAGGGAGGGGGCTACAGTGTTAAGGAGATCCAGTGAAAATAACCTCTTCCCCTTTTTGACAGTGGTATCGTTCCACTGGATCAAAAGCCTTCTGTGGTAAGAAGGAGCTCTTCAGCTCACAGCTAAGTTTGGATCTAATCCCACATTTTTGAAAAATGATTACATAAAAGAAAACAACAACAACATTTGCAGTTTACGGATAAGGGTAAAACGTGCTTCTATTAGACACGATTGGGGAAGTTGGCACTGAAGAGTACAGTAAACCAACCCAGCTAAAATCTCATGTTCTGTCTTCTGTAAGAGATATGTTCTTCTTCTGTTAACATGATGACATGCTTTGGAAATTTAACTTGCTCCTCCAGGAACCAAGCAATGGCTCGAGAGTCCTCAGCATAGGTCCCTTCAGTTGACTCCATAACAGGTGATGCAGTATTGAGTTCCTGTTGCTTCAACTGTGACGAACGTAACCATTCTGATGGATCAGTAAATCCTCTACTAGGAATTTGTGGGAGCAGGCTCTCTTATTTACAAGCAACATTGTAAATCAGAGGGGGGGGGACATAGTTAAAGGCATAGCAGTCATGGTATATAAGTGGAAGAGAAAACCCATTTCTCTGAACTGAAAATACCACACACACACACACACACACACACACACACACACACGTTCTAGATCTGGTATAAGGCAGATTGGGAATCCATCTCTGAATGATTTGCATTTGATCAGTGAGAATTCTCCAAATTGTTCAACAATTGCAATTACAAGAAGGCTCCCGCACACCTTAAATTAGTTTGGTGAGATGAAGGAAGCTTGGGGAGAAAACCCAGCATGGATTTGTGCATGTGATGAGACTTGGAACTCAGTTCTGGTACTGCAAACAAATTCCTGGGCTGAACATGTAACTTGGAGGCACCAGGTTCCTTAACTGCAGTAGTATGTTGTATTCCCTCATCGCTCCATCCTCCATTTTGCATCTGGCTCTGGTTGACAGTCCTTAGGGTTCAAGTGAAAAGTGAAAAGCAAAATTAAGTAGGCCCTGTGGGTGCCTGAAATCCGTCCATGCCATCCTAGACTGAGCAAAATTGTACACAAAGGGTGCTATTTCAGATATCAGGAAGCTGAAATGAATATATTTTGGCGACATGGATTTACAACAGTGTTAAAGAGCACATTCTTGGATATCTTAAAGTTAACTGGGGGGAGGGAGAGGGGAAGAAATTGATCTAATACTATTTATGTGATTGAGCAATAATAATAGCAAGAATGCTAACTGTGCCAACGTTGTCAGCTTACTGAATTAGTTATGACAATAACCATTCAGTGAATGGACCTATCAGATTTCTTCCGGAATAATTATATGTGGCCTGAAACACAGACCGCTCTCCTCTGCACATGGCTCTCCCTAAAGCATGCTGGTTAGGATAGAATTCCCTCTGCTCCTAGATTTGCTTTGCTACCTACGGCAACTGTAGAAAAAAAAACGTGAGAAGTTGAATATGATCCTAAGAATATAAATACCAAATGGAAGAAGAGGAAAAGCAGGAGGGCGTACAGCTGTCCTTTCCGATTTATTTTTTCCGTCATGATTTATCACTACCTACAGAGAATTTGTATTTTTAGAGACTGACATTAGGTGAGCTAAAGGCTTTGAGATTGCTAGAGGTTAGGTTTAGGAAGCCACTTCCCACATACCTTGCTTGTTGATGCATTGTCTTCTGTGTTGCATTTTTCTTACCAAGTACATGTTGGCATGGTCAAAAAGCTGCAGGCTTCTTGTCCTACGGACACGGTTCTCACTCAGGGTGCAAGAGAGCCTGACTTCCAATCCTGAACAATCTCTTCTTGCATGCCAGCGTTAGGGGAGAAGAGGCTGGTACTATTTTGGGGAGTTTTCAGAGGAGGTGACATAGATCACTTTGCCATATTCTCCAGTCTGCCTCAAGTGAATCTGTAGTTGCGTTTCATTCTGTATTTGGCTGTGCAGAATCCACTGTTTCCGTGGACATACTAGTTTTACACAGGGTGTTACGTAGCAGAAATGCTTCTTTACGAACTCAGCCTCTTGTCTGTGTCTGCCTTTATTTGTTTGTCAGAATGTTAGCAGATATGCTACAATGGAGAACTGTTGTCCACATCTAGAAACTGCAGGCAACGGCTGGGACTGCAAAGCCTTAGCAGGGCCTGGCACTGACACTGCCCATGGGTTTATCTGGTAGGAGCAGTGGGGTCTGGGATGCCACCTATTGTTTTAAATTTCCCACAGTGCCCTAGAGCACAGGTCATAACAGTATGTAGTGGTATTGTGAAGCATTTATAAATCAACTTCCCTGATTAGCCCTTTCCAAAACAATAAGAGAACTGAATCCTTTGAAATTTGCACTTCTCTGAATTTTGCAATGCAGTTCCCTGGTCAGGGAATTTGTACAAAAATGCATACACTTGGCTCGATTGTCCATATAAATGCATAGATTGCTGAAAAAGACATGGAAAAATTCTTTATATTAGGGAAACCTACTTTGCAAAATGGTGTATATTAGGGGAAATTGCATGCAAAAATGTGTGCATTAGGAGAAATTTGCACCGAAGTCCTGATGGATTTTCTTGAGGACTTTTTGGGGGGAAGGGGTGCGCATGAAAGGAATCACAAACTGATGTGGACATGTAGAGAAATGAACCTAACATTTGGAAAATAAAAAAACTGAGAGAAACCAAAATGCATGAATTTCCTCACCCCTATTTGGCATGAACATGACATCAAAGTGAGCACAGACAAATCTCCCTAGGGAGAGCACTCCATAGCTGAGGTGCCATAGCTGCAAAAGCCATCACTTTAGCCATCCCCCCCCCAAATGCTGGGGATACCTGGAGAAGAACCTTGGGTGTTAATCTCAGCATACTGGGAGATTAATGTTGGAGGAGACAGCCCAAGATATACCTGCAGAGGTCCCACACTAACAAGCACTTAGACTCTAAAGCCTTTGAAAGTCTTGCAGACACAAACATGGCGAAAGCATTTGTGGTGGGACTGTGAGGTAAGCAGTCGAGTGAACAAGGTGTGTTTGTGTATGCTCCTTAGAATCTCAGTCACACACTACAATGCATCCTGATGTAGGCTGAGAAGATCATGACATCCTCCCATGAATGGTCCATGCTGCCTTTGCCACACTTGACCGGGCTATGTGGTATCACAACAACTGCAGATGATTACAACACACACACAGGAGTCTGAATGTTTACAGCTGTCAAAACTATCTAGTAATGTTTTATGATTTAGTAATGTTTATGCATGTTGAAGTGGATGTAGGGTTGGAAAAACCCCGAGGGTTGTCTAGCCCAACCACCTGCGATGCAGGAATCTCAACAAGATCATACGTGACAGATGGCCAGCCAACCTCTGCTTTCAAAACTCCAAGGAAATGAGAGTGTACCATCTCCCGAGGGAGCCCGTTCCATTGTCAAACAGCTCTTCCTGATGTTTAGTTGGAATCTCCTTTCTTGTAATTTTAATCCATTCATTGCCTCTTTCTTTTGTTGTGCCAAAAGTGCCTAACACAAACAGAAATGGAATAGGTCCAAAGGCCGATACAGACACAAGCTCCGGTCCACAGAACAGAACAAAACACTGCAAGCAAAAATAAATGAGCGAAAGGCCACTGGATGAGAGAGAGGAGGGTTAACTAGTTTTGAAAGCTCTCATCCTTTCCCTCATAAGGCTTCCAGGGATTCTCAGCTTGTGTTGTGGCTGAAGTCCAGCTTTGATGTTACAAAGCCTGAAGATATGCTTTTTATGCCATGTCTGCAGCAGTCCACATTTCATGCGAGCCACGTGGTGTCCTGTTTGTTTGCAAGTGTAATTGCCCTGGAGTTCATTTTGTGTTTGAAGCTGTGGTTGGAAGCTTCGGTGAGACAATGGGCATTGGAATAATCTGGGATAAGGCTTTGAAGGGAGACATCTCAGCCACCGTAAGATGGAGCTTTAGTTTGGTTTGTTCTACCTAGAAGGCACCCAACCATCTTAGAAGAGAACAGCCTGATCTCTTCAGACTCTGAGATGGCACCACGAGGCATTCTCCAGTGATCTCTGTTTCTCAAAAAAATGCTGGTAAGCTGGCTTGTTGTGACCTGATTTAGATTCAAATCATAAATTATTTCTCTCTCAGAATATTGCTGTGCTGAGTGTGGCTGGAATGCTAAGCCATTTATTGAGATTGCAGATACTTGGCCCAAGGCTTCAGCGAATTGTTGTGCTCTCTATAGAGATGCAGGAAAATAAGGATGGTTGGGTTGGATCAACACTTGCTATTTTTCTAAAAAAACAAAGAGGTGCCAGAACTCACCATGAACACTTGTTCTCTTAGAATGGCAATGACGCCCACCTGAGAGGTTCTGGAACTGAGTTCCAGCTGGTGGGGGAGGGGGAGCCCTGCTTGCACCTGTCCTTTAGGAAAGGGTGGAAAACTGCCACCACACTGATGCATCGAAGCAAACTTGTGCAGCTTGAGTGAGAAGGAGTGTATCAGAATAATTACAGTGAAGAGTGCCATTTGGACACCCAAGCCAGCCCTCCAACTTGTATGGTGAGAAGCACCATCAAAGCTTGCAAGATTTTTTTTTTTTTAAATAGATGGTACTTCTCACCATGCATATTGGAGGGATGTTAATGCTGGCTATATACTTAAGGCAATGCACCACTGAAAAGCAACCTCACAGCTGCATGGATACTGGGGCCCTCTGCATATATGCAAAGCCACAAACTGAGAGTCAAGTTGTCCTAAGTTCCAATGATCCTCATAGTATGCATTTCAAAGTAGGTGCGAATAAGGCCAGAACCTGAACCAGGGGCCATCCATAACACCATACATTTCATAAATCACCAGGTATATCATTGTGATCAATTCCCTGAAATTCCACCAAGTATCAAAGGAGGCGTGAGGAGGGCTTGAATGGCTGTGGCGTTGCCCCGTGGAAGAGGCAAAAAAGCTGTTTATTAATAGATGTTTGGCAGACATGCTGTACCAATATTTCATGAGGCTGCAGAAGCGATGCCGGATCAAGTTTCTCGTTCAATTCCAATGATGCATGCTCAATGGGTAATAGGTCAGAAGGGGTGGGGGGTGGGGTGAACTATTTATCTTAGATATTTCACATCACTCAACAATTCCAAGCAAAATAATAGTCTTGCAGCCCTGTTCTACGCATGTTTACTCAGAAGTAATTCTCACTGAGTTCAGTGAGCCTTCATTCCAAGAAAATCGGAAGATCAACGAGAAATCAGTAATAGGTGGAAATGAGTGAGCTCATCAGGAAAAATCTAAGGTGGAGGCACATAGGTAAGAGTGTTAAGTAATAGAACGTATCACATGAGGTTTAATCCCCCTTGATTGTGCACCCCTGGGTAAAGGTGCACAAAACTATAACATTAAAGTGCAATCCTATGCATGTCTATTCAGAAGTAAGTCCCATGGAGTCCAGTGGAACTCATTTTCAATTAAAGGTCACATTATCATTCTCTTAATGTTTTGTGTAGAATATACAAAATGTTGGCACTGAAGTCAAAGCCCTAAGAAGTATGCATGGGTCTACATGTTGTCTGCAGTGCTGTCCCTGCAGGAGGTAATGGTCATGTGCATTAACACCAATAATTTCATTCTGTAATTGGTTCTTATGGTTCCTTTAAAGCAGTGGTGGCCAAATTTGGCCCTCCAGCTGTTTTGGGACTACAACTCCCACCATCCCTAGCTAACAGGACCAGTGGTCAGGGATGATGGGAATTGTAGTCCCAAAACAGCTGGAGGACCAAGTTTGGCTATCACTGCTTTAAAGGTTTTGCTCTCAGGAACCATCCAGGAGGGAATGCACCCATAATGCATCACATGTGCCCCTTGCCCAGAGGTGGAGGAAGCCTCTTGGGCACCTGGGGCGAACCACCCATAGGGGCGGGGCACACGGCACCTGGAGGGACAGGACGGGCGGCGCCCATAGGGATGGCAGGGGGCATACGGGCCGGGTGCACGGTGCCCATAGGGACAGGACGGAGTGTGCATGGTATCCATAGGGAGGGACGGGACAGGGCACGTGGCTCCCATAGGGATAGGACGGGGTGCACAGTGCCCATAGGAATGGGGCACGCCACAAGGCCTCAGCTGCCCTACAGCTGGGGGGGAGGCAGTGGGCCGACAGCGTGGAGCCTGTGGGTGCCAGAGATGCATGGCTCGGGTGCGCTGCAGATCCCACGGTTAGTGCCGCCCGCCATTTTGACACCCCCCCTCAGTGGGGACACCCGGGGCGGATCGCACCTACTGCACCCCTTTACTCCGCCCCTGCCCTTGCCAAAATTGGGCTTGTACCTGGCCCCAAGTGTTTACCACTGGGAAGTCTAATTTTATCTTCCTGGCTCAGATAATATGTTGCTAATGGAAGACTGGTGCACTGAAATTCACTTAAGAGGGGCCTGCATCATGCATGCTCCACCCAGCTGAAAGCAACCCAGTGCCAGCTGTCTGTGGAAATCCACCATTGACAAACTTGCTTGTTTTCGTTGCCTGAGTTGGACTTCAAAAAACAAAGAGGTTGCCAAGATCACATCTGGCCCAATACAGGCATCAAGCCAGTGTGGGTCATAACTTGTGTAGGCCTGACTTAAGAGGACTTCTGTTCAGGGTTACCTCAGGGGTTCCCAACCTCTTTGGGCCTTTGGGCACATTTGAAAATGAAATAAACTGTTGTTGGCACCACACACACCCTGCAATTTCTTTTATTGGCAAAAAGCCTAATTTCAGCAGGGCACTACCCTGGTTGCCAGGGAAGGCCTCTGTGGATTCATGTGGGTCCACAGGCATGGTGTTGGGAACCCCTGGCTCAAAATATATGGTTGGCCTAGGTCAGGGGTCTGCAACCCGCGGCTCCGGAGCCGCATGTGGCTCTTTTACACCTTTGCCGCGGCTCCGGGGCGGATACTAGCGAGGGGAGGAGGCGCATTGTGCGCCCCGACACTCCCCACTGGCGGGCGCTGTACTGGCTGTGACGTCGCATGGGGGCGGTGCGTGCGTTAGTCACGCACCATCCCGACGTCACCTTCCCGCCCGCCCGCTGTAAGGGCATGTCGCTGGTCACTGCATTGAAAGGGGCATGTACGCTGGTCACTGTTTTGAAGGGGAGTGAAGAACACACACACACAAAAGGGTAACTTGTTAATTTAACGTTTATTTCTATGAGGAGGAGTAATTCTGAGGGGTCAAACAAAGAAATAATAAAAAAGTGACAAAAAAGTTATTTTTATAATGACGAGTTTTGCAGCTCCCAGTTTTTTTTTCTTCGGAAACAGGTCCAAGTGGCTCTTTTTGTCTTAAAGGTTGCAGACCCCTGGCCTAGGTGAAAATGTATTTTGCTGCTCTCTTCATACTTTGTACAGGGTTGTGAGTGTACTGTGTCCCCTCACTAAAGGTATTGCAGTCAGGACAGCTTTAGTGAAGGAATATAGTATACTCACAAACCCAAATATGCAAAGATATGCTAAATATGCACCTCACTAAAGATGTTCTTGACTGCAGCCTTTGCTTTGTAAGTGTCTAGATCATGGGAAGGTGGCTCCAGTTGGGAATTGTGTATGTGTATGTATATGTGTGTAGACAATCTTTCCCCTTTTGTCCCAAGATTCTGGAGCAGTGCGTGGGCACACCCTCCGTTCATCAGTGGCTCTTAAATTCTGACGCCTCAGACAACCACCAGCGCTGCCTATTAGGCTGGGCTGGCCCTGTTTCTTCTGATAAATGTTGAGGCATCAGTGGGTCATTTTGTCTCCCTGAAGAGATTTTGTCTATTTTTAGCTACTGAGCAAAAACAATTGTAAATGCTTGATAACACCCGAGTGCTTTTTAAAAAAAGGATTTGACCTTAGGAAAGAAAAAAGGATTAGTTCACTCTCCTTGTAACCAGACCTACCCGATGCCAGTATGTCACCTGACTGCTTCTCTGACTCATTGCATGGGGACTAACTGTACATTTAAGGCATTATCGCTCAGGATCAAGTGGACGTCTCAGTGTAATTGCTTTACGACTCTCAGGTGTCACGTTACATGCATGGATGACTCCCCAACCATTCGTGCCTTAGAGAGCTCTGCAGTTGGCTAGTAAAACTGCTGATTAAGATTTCCCAATCTCAAAGCGGCTCTCTTAAGGGCAGATTCCCCCTTGGCCTTGTTGAAAACAATGCAAATACGTATATTTCACATTCGGCAACCAACACACCCCTTTGGTTTCAGATAGTACATGGGTAGACGAGTCTAAAAAGCCTGGTACAAAAACGATCATGAACATCTAGAGCATTGGTAGGCAATCTAAGGCCCGGGGGCTGGATCTGGCCCAATTGCCTTCTAAATCCGGCCCGCGGATGGTCCGGGAATCAGCGTGTTTTTACATGAGTAGAATGTGTCCTTTTATTTAAAATGCATCTCTGGGTTATTTGTGGGGCATAGGAATTTGTTCATTTCCCCCCCTTCAAAATATAGTCCGGCCCCCCATAAGGTCTGACGGACAGTGGACCGGCCCCCTGCTGAAAAAGTTGGCTGACCCTGATGTAGAGACTATGGCAGGCTCATCTACCAGAAGTAATGTATTTTGCATTAACTCAAGAAATGTGTATTCACTTCTGTCCAAACTAAGCCTTCTGTTGTAGATCTTGCAGTTATCTCTAATCTGAAGGAAGAATTGAGTGCAGCCAGGAAGCTCACTCCTGACGAGATATCCCGTTCGCTAAAACCTTTGTTACTTTTGTTGACACTTGCTACTTTTGTTGTTAGTTATAACGTGATGGCAGATGACCATCCCCTCCCCGTCCCTCTGGATCTCATTGAGTAAGAATAGGTGCGGGTTGATGGCAATTCAGAATGAGTTGAGGTTGACAATATGTGTTGACTTGGCAATTTAGAAGGAGGTTGAGACTGACAATATGTGTCGACTCTTTCCTAGGCTAAACATAGCCAGCTCCTTTTACTTATTTCTGAATTCAAAATTCAAATTCATTCCCCCTCCCTCTCCCCCCAAACTGGGATGTTGTAGGAGTACAGCTTCCAACTGCTCTGATCATGGACAATGCTGGCTGGGGCAGATGAGAGTTGGAATTCAACATTTGGAGGGTCGCAGGTTCCCCACTCCTGGCTTAGGATGTCAGCTATAGTCTTAGGAGGGGTGGTGGTCCAGTATTTGTTCTTGGTCTTTCTCACTTCAGAAGGCCAATGCTCCCATTTGTAAACCCCACATTCTGTCACTAGGTGCTGCTCTTTCAGTATTTTGTCTGGAACCTAACAGTGTTCGGTAATGCTCTGTTCAAGTTGTGACTGAAATTCTCAATCTCTCTCTCTCTCTCTCTCTCTCTCTCTCTCTCTCTCACACACACACACACACACACACACCTCCACACACAAAAAGTCCATGTGCCCCGAGATACACGTTTCAAAACCAAACTATAAAAACAGTATCAAACCCAGACAATTAAAAGCAGGAAGAGAACCATGCATGTCATGTAAATTTGCAGGTGCTTGAGTGGGGCCCCTGTTAATGACATGATATCAGGACTACATCGCCCGATAAGAAATGTGAACATATTAGCTATGGAGCAATTATAGATGACTGAGTGGTTTGCCAGGGAAATTCTGGGCCATCTTTATGGAAAAGAGGAGACTGAGAGGAAATATGATAGCCATCTTCAAATATCTAAAGGGCTGACACATAGCAGTGCTGGATTTAGAGTGGAGTGGGTTGTTCCCCTGCACAGGGCACTGAGTCTAGGGGGTGTAAAATTGAGAAGATCCATAATTTAGAAGACTCATTTGGGGGGCACGATATTACAAAAGATGACTGAAGTCCGCCTTGTACATGGAAGATGAAGCAAGCTTGTTTTCTCCTCCTCTGAAGCCCAAACCAATGTTTTCTCCTTCTCTGAAGCCCGAACCAATGGCTTCAGATTACCAGAAAGGAGATTTCAACTTAACGTGAGGAAGAACTTTCTGATGGTAAGGTTTGACAGTGGAATGGGCTGCCTCGTAAGGTGGTGGACTCTCCTTCCTTGGAGATTTTAAAGCAGAGGTTGGACAGCCCTCTGCCATGGATGCTTTAGTTGTGATTCCTGCATTGTAGGGGGCTGGACTTGATGACCCTCAAGGTCCCTTCGAACTCAACAATTCTATTTTTCTATTCTGTGTGCTGACCAGGAGAAAAAGGCCTGCCAAGTTCAGTGGAACCCACTGAGTTCAATGGAACTGAGTTCAACATGGTGCAGCCTGAAAAGTTCCTTTATCTTGCCTTCTGATGTTTGCTTTCCTTAACACAGTTTGCCTCTCTGCTTAGATTGTTATGTATTAACTTTCTCCTGGCCTGAAGTGGTTTTGAAAACCTATTTACACCAGGGAGGCAAGGCAGCCAGTCAGCATGTCTGTGTAAGGGGACATGGAAGAATGAAGTATGTAACTGCAGTTGGCAGAGGCCACTCAGTGGATTGTGTTATTTTGTTTTAAACAAGCCAGCAAAGTTGTGGTGTGCTTTGATTGGCCCGGAGGAGCCACCTCCCACTTCTCAGAAGCCGTTCGGAACAGATTGTAGATACGTGGAAAGAAATGCAGGATGTACTTGGTTGTAAACTTGGAATTCTCTTTCTGCTTGAGGAATCAATAGCTAAAGGACAAAGTGCCTAAGATTCCTTTCACATCTTAAAACCTGGCAAACACAGACACAAACACTTGTGTGATACAACTACAAAGCCCTTTTCTTTGACTGCAGCACTGCTTCTTTTAATTCCATGAGTTGTTTTGTGTCAACTTCCGTAGTAGGATTGCACCCACTGTAGTTTCAAACACTATTAAATAAACCCTTTTCTTTTCTTTTCATCACCACTGCAGCTCATTTTCATGGTGTCTCTTTTAATCCAGGCCTTGGGGGAATGTGCAAAGCTTGTTTACTTTCTGCATACGAATTTATCAGTTGGTTGCTATTTTAACCGTTTACTGTCTATTCTGTCTTATTGCTTCTTGACGCGTTGCAACTCACACCGCGCTGGGCCTTTGGTGAAGTGTGGATAATAACTATGCTAAACGAATGCAATAAATGAATGCTCCCCCCCCCCCGGGATGTTGATTAACAGCTGCAAGCTAATTGCACAGAGGTTTGAGGAGGAAGTAAAGCTAAGGGTGATTTCAGGTGATGCTGATAGCGTGCCCAGCCGCAGAGTCCTGCCCCGCTCCTGGCGTGTCTAACTGCTGAGTGTCTGGGATTTAAACAGCCACAGCTTTCAGATGTAGGAAGCTTTGGCATAGGCATTGGTTGGGTATTCCTCTCAGGCACCCTGCAGGAAGACTGAGGCATGACAGGGTCTATTTGGTGGTGGATCCATTGCAAAACACAGGTTTACGCGGTTGGCCCCCAAATGCTGAGGGAAGCTTTATGCGCTTGGCTCTTTGGAGACTTCCCTCCAGACCCCTCTGACAGGGTACCCTGTTAACAGGGATTAAAAACTATAGGATTCTGCCCAAGGCCTAAGTCGTCAAAGTTGTGACTAGTGCTATGGGGAAGACAAAACCTGCAGAGAGGGGGAAATCCCTTCCTGGCTCTGAATACGGCAACCGTCAGAAGACCACAGCAAAGCCCAGCTAGCTGAAAAGAAACGGTTGGAGCAGTAATCAATGAAAGGAGGGGAAGGGTGAGTGATGCTCTCAGCCGACTGGATGCTGTGCAGAGTGGTTGGTCGGGCTAAGTAAATGGCCATGCCCCCACCAGGGCTGCCACGGATTGGCTCGTTTGGTCAGTTCAATGCAGTCGTGATCTATGGATTCCTTCTATGGAATTGAGAGTTGTTGTGTGAAAAGCACCAATGAATCAACATGTTTTCCAGGAACAGCTGCAGAGCAAATGCAAAACCGCTCGAACCCGTTCTTTTTAGGCACGGGACAAGGGGAAGTGTGGACGAGCCCTTAGATGCAAAAAGGGCAACAAGGGAGATCAGTTGCAGATAATTACCAATACACCATTGACTCTTTATTTCTGCTCCTCTTCCTGTTCTCCCAGTTTCAGAAAGCTGCCTTATATCACTAGCCCATCATGCTCACCATTGTGTATTCTGTGTTATCTGGAAGCAGCTCTCCAGGGTTTCCTTGCCCTGAAGTCATATTTCTGTCACAATGCATCTACTGCAAATCAAGGATCAATATGAGGCATCTAAGAAAGGGCTGGCAAAAGGGCTGAGTCATTCAACAATTTTTCCACCTGGGCTTTATTGCACTGGCAGTTCTGTAGCGCTGCTGCAGGCCACAGACACCATCTTTCCAATGACTCATAAATCCAAGGTCTTCATTACTTGAGATGCATCAAAAATTGTGACATTTGGCTCCTTGGGCAGCTTCTCGGCTGAGTAACTATATTTGTCCCTTCCTTCAGGTTCTCCCGACTGCTTCCTTAGACATCAAGGATTTTGCAATACGCTAGGCAATACTGTAGGTTACATTTCCTATGTGTAACATAGCTGCGTGCAAGTCTGTCTCTGTCAGAGACTCTAATGAAAGTAAAGCCAGACTTAGGTCATCGAGTTGGAGGCTTGATGACGCTCTGTTGGGAACAAGATTGTCTAAGTTCCTTGAAAGGACTATGAGAGAAGTGATGGGCTTGAGTGGTCCAAAAGGGAGCATAAGAGGCGTGGATGACTTTTGTGCATAATTTGGCAGATATATGGCAATCCAATGCACTGCGTTCTACCTGGGGGAAGAAATTCAAAGTTGTGTTTAAGCCCCATGGTACCTGAATAGGAGATTTCACTGGAAGCCTGCCTTTCCAAATGATCATCTTAGCATGTTACATAGATTGAGAGAGAGACTGTGTGTGTATGAGAGAGCGAGAGAGATTTGGTTTTAATTTATTTAAATGTGTGAATTGAATGTTATGGATTTAGTATTTGGTGTTGAAATGAACAGAACACGAAGTGATCGTTAGTATTTTTTCCAGAGGACCCCAATGTCTTCCCTCGCGATAAAGCTTCAGTTTTGTGGAAATCACATTTCTCAGCACTTAACTTCCAAATTACAGTGGTAGCTCAGGTTACATACGCTTCAGGTTACATATGCTTCAGGTTACAGACTCCGCTAACCCAGAAATAGTGCTTCAGGTTAAGAACTTTGCTTCAGGATGAGAACAGAAATCGTGCTCTGGCGGCGCGGCAGCTAAAGTGGTGCTTCAGGTTAAGAACAGTTTCAGGTTAAGAACAGTTTCAGGTTAAGTACAGACCTCCGGAATGAATTAAGTACATAACCTGAGGTACCACTGTATTGTTGCTAATAGAGAAAATGATTAGAAGAATATGACTGAAAAAAAGAGAGAGACTGGTTTAGACACAGAAGAAGGTGAGATGGGCCTTAGTGGAAAAGCACTTTCCATCTTTGGTTCTGGCTCTTTATTCTGAGATTTAACTCATTTCCTCAAATACCCAGAAAAGGCGGCTAAAACTTCAAAACAATTTCAGAGGATAGCACTCCAACACGAAAGTAACTCTGTACAGGAACTATAGGCTGAACTAATATTGCATCTATGATGATGAAATGCTGGGTGCAAGAGAGAAAAAATATGTCAAAGGCATCATGGGCCAGTCAAGAGAGTCATCCACAGATTATAAGAAAACGACATTTAATCTCTATTGGTGGGAGTGGTAGAGTCAAAGTTTGCTAGCAAGTTATGCAAGCTGCTGAAGGTGGTGACCAGACTCAAAAAACTGGTTTAGGCTGGTAAGGGGAACTCCAAATTCACACAATGTGATCTCAGGTTCAAAATACTAAAACTATAATTTGCAGCTTTACCCCTTCAGGGTAAGTGTGGTGAACCTTCTCTGTGCTCCTCCCAATAGTTCCTCATGCCCCAGTAAGTGTGGAGCATATCTGGAGGGGCCAATAGTTCCCCACACCTGGGAACTGAGCCTAGGTTCCCTTTGTGTCTGGTGCTTCAGTCCTCCCTCAGCTGCAGTAGATTCGATGGCTGTAACCAACTCATCATCCACAGGGGACTCTAGCACTGCTCTTGTGGTCCTTTACTGGACCTTTGAGAGTCACTGTCAAGTAACTTAAGGCTAAGTTGTGCTCAGACAATTTGCCTAGAGGATGGCCATCTCCATCTGTCCAGAGCTCAAGCAATGGGTGGGGCAATGCTCTTACTTCTGTGATGTTTACAAATGTTTTAATAGGGGCTGAGAGGCATTGAATGAAAATACTGTTAGGGTCTGAAGACTTGTTCAGGTTTTCAGCCTCAGATCCATCTTCCTCTCCCACCCTGCTTTTCTTCCTTGCCAGTTTATTTCCATGATGCATTCTTTGCCTGACACAATCACAAAGAAATGTTTACAAGAAAACTGGGAAGATCTAGACCAGTGGTGTCCAAACTTTTTCCAAAGAGGGCCAGATTTGATGAAGTGAAGGGCCCTGAGGGCCAACCAAAGGGCCAACCTAAGTTATTGAGCTTTTTTTAGGACTGAAGTTGTTGAGGTTTATTTAGGATCTTACCCCAGTAAATATACTGCCACAGGGGCGGATTAAACCATCCGGTGGGCCGGATTAGGCCCCAGAGGCAGACTTTGGACATGCCTGATCTAGACAAACATCTCTCCCAGCCATAAGCTTCCGCAAGGCTTTCGTGCTCTGCTCATGGCCATATTTACTATCAAGTGCACATGGGCAGAAACAAACGGCTCACTGTGCTTGTTCCCAGAACAGTACAAGCTGAGTATTGACATTTGAGTGATGAATGCTTTTTGTTTCGCGTTCTCCTTGGTGCGTGTTGCCCGGAGATCCTGTGCCTGTGTTTTCACATCTCAAACCCATTCTTCGCAGCTTGTAAACATGAGCATTGACCTGAGGTGAGCTCAGCTGTCAGGCTTGTCTGGCCACAATGTATGTGCCAAAGTCAGATGATACATGTTCCTCTTAGTGTGGAATCTTAAAAAGGGATAGGAACAGGTTTAGCCTGAGTAAAAGCATGTGAAACAGGAAGAAAGGTCCTGCAGTCCATCTATATAAAAGCACAGGTGAGGGGTGGGGAACCTCAGGCCCACAAGCTGAATGTGGTCATCTAGGCCACACCCCTCACCCAGGCCACACCCCTCTCTGGTCCTGTTTTGCGTTCCAAGGGTTTTTGCCTGGCTGGAATGTGTCCTTGAACACTGATCATGCTTCTTGCTTGCATGAATGGAGGATAAAGAGTAGCATGGGAGAAATGTGTAGGATGTAGAAAAAACTATACTACTATACAAAAGTGGAATTTACGACTCCTTTTGCTACTGGTCCTGACCACCACTGGCTTGTGATTTGGGGTGGATACTGCCAGGTTCCCATTCCAAAACACAACAAGGACTCTTACTTGAAAGCAAGGAAGAGATTTCCATTCAGGCTGATAGTGGTGAAAACTCCACAGCGAGCACAAGTTCCAGAAGATTCCAAAAACATGACCTAAGCAAGAGGTTCATAACGTAACAGAAGATACGAAGCTGTCCCAACATTTCACACTGCCCTCCTGCCAAGCTGTTAAAGATGAGGCAGGGTGAGCTGACCCAAGAGTTTGCTGCGTGCACACATGCACGCTCCATTTGGGCTGATGTGTCTGATACCACTTATGAAGGCAGTGCCTTGTTCTTCATGACATCTTCTGCTGCCATCTTCTCTTGTTCTGCCCTTCCCTCTGGCTGGTCGCAGTCTGCTCCTCTCCTGGTGAGGCTGTTTGCTCCACTGGAGGGGCAGAGGAGAAAACCATCAGAGTTACTTTCCCCTCTCTGACATTTAGGTTCACAAGGGGAAGACGAGTCTTGCAGCCCCTTATCTCCTCTACCTCCTTTTCCCTCCTCTTCCTCCTGGTCCATCTGGGGCTGCCAAGGGGCTCATGACAGTTGCCCACCCACATTTTCCCTCTACCAAAGTATGCCCCCAAAGCAGAGTCGCTGAGCATGTGCATGTTTACATGTATACATGTTCTTGTGGGGTAGCCATGTTAGTCTGTTGCAGCCAAAGCAACCAAGACTATGTTGTTGTTGTTTAGTCGTGTCCGACTCTTCATGATCCCATGGACCAGAGCACACCAGGCACTCCTGTCTTCCACTGCCTCCCGCAGTTTGGTCAAACTCATGCTGGTAGCTTCGAGAACACTGTCCGTCTCGTCCTCCGTTGTCCCCTTCTCCTTGTGCCCTCCATCTTTCCCAACATCAGGGTCTTTTCCAGGGAGTCTTCTCTTCTCATGAGGTGGCCAAAGTATTGGAGCCTCAGCTTCAGGATCTGTCCTTCCAGTGAGCACTCAGGGCTGATTTCCTTAAGAATGGATAGGTTTGATCTTCTTGCAGACCATGGGACTCTCAAGAGTCTCCTCCAGCACCATAATTCAAAAGCATCAATTCTTTGGCGATCAGCCTTCTTTTTGTATATTCACAGGCTCGGGGCAGAGAATACACTAAAGGCAGGTAATTTGAGGATGTTGTCACTGCTTCCCCACCCTTCCCATGTGTGTGTTCTCTGTATGCTGTTTGAACATCTGGATAAGACTAGACTCAGTGATTCTAGAAACCATGAACCCATGTTTGTTTATTTTAACCACATCGAGAAACAAAATAGTCTGGCATTCTGAGGTTTTCACTGTTTAGTGCACTTATAGATATTACTACTTTATAATTAAATGAGTCTTCATCATCTTTTAATTTCAATAACAGCACCCTAAAGGATCCATAACTTCTCTTTAATGGAGCTATATATTGTATTAGAGAAGCAATTTTCTATTTAATTTATTGCTCATCCTAAAAGGTTTATGGATATCAACTCTGTACTTCAGTACATCATTCAACCCTGTTTTTTTCCTACATATTGCTAACAAAATTCACAACAATACTGTATAAGTAAATTATTGTCAGCCTGATAATCAGATCAGTTACCTCACTCACTCTGGGACATTTTTGAAACTCTAGGAATGTCATACTTTTATTCTTCTCAGAATGGGATCCTTAATATAATTAATATCATTCTGCACCTAAACTGATTCAGCTGGAGTTTCATTAATTGTTTTCTGATAAACTAATAAAATGTTAGATAACTACTATGCCAATATTTATTCACTTACTGGCCTACGCAAGGAGAGGATATTCAATGAAACATCTTCAGAGGAATATTTAACTTTATAGCTGGCAAGGTTTGACAGTAGAATTTGGCAAAGGAATGTTTTTAATAAACTGGGAGAGATCAGTTTCCTCATAATGCAGCCGCTGTAACAAAACAAATGGATTTCTCAATGGCTATATGACATCATGTGTTCCCTACCTCATGCTCAAATAAAACAGCTGCATCAGAAATCAATAATTCAAAGAATTATTATGCCATCAAGTCTCTGTGCTTTGGCCCTCTGCGTCTCACTCTCTCACCTTTCCTGGGCTGAAATCTAAACCTTCTTTGTGCTGGGCTGGCATGTGTGTGTGTGTGAATTGGGCAGAGATGTCCCTCTACTCGGGTCTGCTACTAGTGCTATCCATGTGTTATTCTTGGAGAAGGCATTTGTGTTGAAGCAAGAGTGGGGGGCTTCTGTGTCAGCCCACCCCCATGTTGCATCCCTGGACCAAACCCAGCCATAAATGCCTGTGTGTTGCGATTATCGTCATGGATGTCAGAGGGGTGGGGCTAGCCCTGGGATGTGATGTCAGGAGTGGGGCCAGCAGTGCAGCCCTACTCCCGTTGCTGCGTCATCCCACGAGTGCCAATACACACAAGCAACATGTGACTACTGTCCAGGAGACAAGCTGCTGTTCAGTTTACAAAGCAGGTTGGGCCACATCCGCATATGGATCTGTCGTGTAGCAACAGATGCCGAGCTCTGCCCTTGTACCAGGTCTCTCTTGGAGACACAAGACTCCCTTTGCAGTTTCTGATTCTCATTCTCTTTCAGTTCTTTCCTAGTCAAACTTTTGATTGCTTGGGTTACTTTGTGCTGCCCATTGCTGCAGACAGGTGTTCCATGTTGCATACCCTCCAACACTTCTCTGATGAAAATAGGGGCATTCTATTCCATCATCATTTTATTATTTATACCCCACCCATCTGACTGGGTTGCCCCGGACACTCTGGAAGGGTTGCAGCATATATAAAAACATAAAAAAACTATACAGGGCTGCCTTAGGATGACTTCTAACGGTTGTATAGTTACTTATCTCCTTGGCTCGAGAGTCGGATAACTCCATACCCTCCAACATTTCTCCAATGAAAATAGGGATGTCCTAAGGAAAAACGGGACATTCCGGGATCAAATAAAAAACCAGAACAGCTTCTGTAAATCCGGGACTGTCCCTGGTAAAACAGGGACACTTGGAGGGTCTGATGTTGCCTTTGAATCTATTTTCTTAGATCCTGTAATTATATCTACTGAACACGGATGTGTTTGCACAGGTGTTTGTGAGACATAAAACAACTCTTTTTTTTTTTAATAAATGAGAATTGGTACTTGGTCACAACCTGAAATCCTGTGTTCTCTGCAACATTCCAGATTCAAATGCGACTGTGTGGGTCTGTATCTGAGTGTTGTGCTATCTGGATGTTATTTATAACTCTGCATTGCAGAGGAGTGTCAAGTGGCGTTCAACAGCGCCTTTGGCAAGGTGCCCAGCTTGTCACGGGCTGGTTATATCACTACATGAAGAAAGTTGTTTTTGAGACTGAGCATACAGTGTTGTTTTCAAAGAATTGCCATCGTCAGCCTGCTTCCAAAGGCTGCGCGATTGCGTCACGTATTGTGACACGCTGCTCGACTGCCAGACCCAAACCGACTGTGCTGCTCCTAGGCCCAGCGCCTGAGCTTTAGAAGTACATTTGAATGGATGTGCACAGGCCCAGCACATTGATGGAAGAGCAATGTGGTTCACTTCACCTTTCAACGCAAACCGACCTTATTCACAGTTCCGGAAAAAATACACCAACTGTAATGGAGCTTACCTCTGAATATTCAGCAGTCATTTCCATGTATATTGCAAACTAATTCCCTCCCTCCCTGGAAGCAAATAACATGGAAATAAGCACTAAACTTGTGCTATATCCCAGTATATTTCTAGGAGTCCATTTTATATTGTGTGAAAGTTCAAATATAATGAACCAAAATGAACAGTTATAGAAATGTTGAGGGGAAACGAACGAACTGCCATGAGAATACTGCTTTCCTGATGTATATTTTGCACTAGGGGACTTAGTGTGGTCAGAATCGAGTTTTCACTTCCGGAGTTAACACTAAATACATTACTTTTGGTAAATGAGCCACCATAGTCACTAGAGGGCCGTGAAAATTTGTGTCCCAGGCTTTTTAGACTCGTTTACCCATGTACTATCTGAAACCAAAGGGGCACGTTGGTTGCCAGATGTGACCCCCCCCCACAACTCTCCTATCCCACTACCAGTGTTAAGAAAGTTATTCAGGAGGAAGACTGGATTAGGCCAATTGCCATCTTGTCAAACATCCTGTTCTTACAGTAGCCAACCAGAAGCCTGTGGGAAGCCCACAAGATAAAATTAGTGTATGTGCGAGAGACATTATAGAGGTTTTCTATAAATATTTTGAATAAAGCACAAATCACATGCAGAAATAAGGCCATAGTGATTTCAGTGCTGGTGTGCATACAAATGCAACACGTTTACTCTTCTGCCTAGCCTGGTCAATCTCACATCATAGAATCGTACAGTTGGAAGGGACTCTGAGGGTCATCTAGTCCAAACCCCCTGCAGTGCAGGAATACGCAGTTATCCTATACGGGGATCGAACCTGCAACCTTGGCATTATCATACTCTAACTGACAACTTTACGTTTTACTTTTGTTTCAACTAAATAACGGGCATGATCCCACCCCAAAATTAAGCACTTTTAAGCCCCGTTGATCTAATCAGGAGAGAATTATGCACAAGCATTTAACCTCTCCTCTTGAAATCAATGGGACTGAGAAGCTCTCAGTTTGCCTGGATTTTACTCAGACCATCTATTGACCCATTGGCATTTCAGCCTCTGCAAGTTGTTAGCAAAGCAACCTAATGATAACTTGAAATTGTTTCATCAGAGTCAGTATTAGTACTTCCGCCCGGTGGTTCCACTGCTACCTCAAGGCAGTATGATGACTTTGTATGATGAAAGCAGAGGGCTGTTAATTGGAAGGTGCTCGGGCCTAATTATTTTCTTTACGATACTGAGCAAGCTATTTAATATCATAGTTTCCTCAGTTTCCTTATTTGCAATACAAGGTCAATGGCCACCTCTGGCCAAGTGTTGTAAAGCTCATTACACTGATTTTTTTATTTATTTAAAGAACAGCATCTGCAGTTGTACACCTCTGCAGAAATTTGTGTTGCGATTGGCTGATCCTTTACTAGGCTTCAGTGACCCATCGAAAGGCTACTTGGCAGGTCGAGACACAACAGCAGAAAGAGGTAACCTAGGTATAACCCTCCAGGTGTCCCTATTTTCTGGGGACAGTCCCAGAATTAGAAAAGCCATACCGGCTCTTCTGATTTGATTCTGGAATCTCCCTATTTCCCCTGCCAGTGCTGCCACCATGAAGCTCAGGGTGGAAGATGAGCCGGCACTTTTCTCAAGCAGTGGTGGTAACGAGGGAGCCTCCTGTTGGCTCTCCATGACCAACGACCTCTTCCTTCCTTGGGCAGCTCTTTGTGGCTGCTGGAGAGGCTGCCGCCATCAAAGTTCAACCCTGTGTGATGTGTCAACTCTGAGGGGCAGTTAGAGGGCAGGGAAGAAAGTGGGAGCAGAGTGGGTTGCAAGGCGTCTTTTGGTGTTTTTTTAATGCTTTGTGTGCCCACGTTTAATCTTGCCCCTTTCTAAAATTTATTTATTGGTATGTGTTTTCCTTTTTGTAGATCTACCAAAGAATCAAATCAAGTCAAACTGGGATTAGGGGGTTTCCTCAGGACGATGGAGGGCGTGTGTGCTCTGTCCCGTTGGTGGAGTAGTGGTAGCACTTGCCCATCTTCTGACAGGAAATGCTTTGTTGGGAGGTGACCAAAAAATGGGGGGTGGAAGAGGGTCAGTCGAGGAGACTGGAAAAAAGTCTCTATTTTCCTCCCAACTCCCATCAGCCCTAGCAAGCCAATGGCCAGGATGATGGGAGGTGGTGTCCCCAACATCTGTAAGGCTGCAGGTTCTCCATCCTTTCCCCGGAACACCTAATAGGTTGGTTCTAGATTAAATCAATGTACAGTCATACCTCGGGTTAAATTTGCTTCAAGTTGAGCGCGTTCGAGTTGCGCTCCGCGGCAACCCGGAAGTAACGGAGCACATTACTTCCGGGTTTTGCCGCTTGCGCATGTGCAGACGCTCAAAATGACATCACGCGCATGTGCAGAAATGGCGAAAAGTGACGCGCGCATGCGCAGACATGCCATCGCTAGATACGTTTACTTCTAGATGCGAACGGGGCTCCGGAACGAATCCCATTCATATCTAGAGGTACCACTGTATTTGCTCCAATTATGACTGCATCTGGATGCAGCAACCCACGTTCTCCGCAGTTAATGTCAGAACCTGTCTAATTACCCTACTTATCTCCCTTAGCTATGTGGCCTCCACAAAGCCCTGCTTTTTGTTACCCACAATCTAATTTCAGTGTAATTGTGCCAGTATTTGTTTGCTGATGCACTCTGAAATTAGATTGCAATCGAAGGCTGTGCCTGAAAAGTATTTAGCACATTTCTGAGTGCTCTTGAAATAAACAAAACAGGATTAGACATCTTTGTTCATTAGCTGAGAACCAGATGTGAGACAGACAAGCCCTGGTTGTAAACTTCTGAGAGGCAATCGGCTGCCGCTGTTTGAAACAGACAGACCTTTACAGTCCAATTCACCTGGGAAGTTACAGTGGTACCTCTGGTTAAGAACTTAATTCATTCCGGAGGTCCGTTCTTAACCTGAAACTGTTCTTAACCTGAGGTACCACTTTAGCTAATGGGGCCTCCTGCTGCCGCCACGCGATTTCTGTTCTCATCATGAGGTAAAGTTCTTAACCTGAGGTACTACTTCCGGGTTAGAGGAGTCTGTAACCTGAAGCGTTTGTAACTCGAGGTACCACTGTATTATGTTCTCAACAGTCATCTATGGAGAATGGAGAGGCCCTTTGCAGACACTGACTTGGATCCTAAGTGGACTTAACATTTATGCAAGGAAAGTTCCCTTGTCTCCATCTCCCCTGAAGCAACTTCAATAAAGCCTAACTCGAGATCAAAGGACCTGCCCAAACAATATGGTATAGGGTGTGAGGTAGAGGAGATTGCCCCTGTGATGTGTGTGAGTGACATCTGCACCCCACAGGGCATGCCAATGTGACGCACATGTGCACTTGCCGACGTGACATGTGCATGCCCTGGACACCCACTGTCGTGGGGCAAGGTGGCGTGCCTCTTTCTGCCCATTCCCTGCAACAACTGCCACTTTTTGTGCCATCTTCTATACCGTTCTGGAGGGCTCCTCAATCTTCAGGTGCAGCTGGGAGGGGGGCAGCTTGGGGGAGGGGTCCACAGTATGGAACTGCTTTCTGCTAACCCAAGACCACCCCGGCACACAAGGAACCCAGTGTTTTCAAACATATATGGCTAACAGGGCTTTTACAGCTGCAGCGAATACCTGAGAAACCACTTTGCAGCAGAGGTAAAGATTTACCGTATTTTTTGCTCTATAAGACTCACTTTTTCCCTCCTAAAAAGCAAGGGGAAATGTGTGTGCGTCTTATGGAGCGAATGCAGGCTGCGCAGCTATCCCAGAAGCTAGAACAGCAAGAGGGATTGCTGCTTTCACTAGACAGAGATCCCTCTTGCTGTTCTGGCTTCTGAGATTCAGAATATTTTTTTTCTTGTTTTCCTCCTCCAAAAACTAGGTGCGTCTTGTGGTCTGGTGCGTCTTATAGAGCGAAAAATACGGTACAACAAATGTCGTAGAAAAAGTACTTGTGTGTAAGAAGAGCCAGAAAACTCCACAAGGAGTTTGCAGATAGGCGTACCAACAACGGATTACACTTAACTGAACGACTCTTTCTTTTTTGGTTTCAGATTCCTCTGATGAAAGATCCTGGCTGGATCCGAAATGTCTGGACTTGCAACCTGAATGTGAGTTATTTTTATTCTATTTGCATTGATTTCATGGGCTGATCTAAGATTTGTAGGCATTGCGTTCTGTGGTTAAGCAGGTGAGTTGTACCATGCTCAGCAGATCAAGAATTAGTAGATTCCACATAAAACATTATGGGGTTTTCCCCTCAGCGGCAATCAACTCACATTCACAAACAAGGGAGATTAGAATCTGCAAAACAGGCATGAGAAAGCCGCGAGCTAAACTTATTGCAACCCTCCATACTTAAGTTGTTTTCAAAACGAGTCATCTGTGCCACCTCATATGGTTCTTTGTATGGGCTGATTAGCTTATAGCCAACCACAGCCACTGTGTCACATGGCAGGAGGGAAGCCTACCAGAGAAGAAACAGTAGAAACAGATGTTCTCAGGTTATAATGCTAATGTTAAGCACAGCTGGAAAAAGCCACATACACTGGGAGGGGAAAAGCTGCTACTACATATCAGCAAATATGGACCTGCTTCAAAGAAGAAGAAGAAGAGTTTGGATTTGATATCCCGCTTTATCACTACCCAAAGGAGTCTCAAAGCGACTAACACTCTCCTTTCCCTTCCTTCCCCACAACAAACACTCTGTGTGGTGAGTGGGGCTGAGAGACTTCAGAGAAGTGTGTCTGGCCCAAGGTCACCCAGCAGCTGCATGTGGAGGAGCGGAGATGCGAACCTGGTTCACCAGATTACGAGTCTACCGCTCTTAACCACTACACCACACTGGCTCTCAAAGGTTGATCGAAAGTCAGTTTCAGTTTCTTTCAGTTTCCTGTTTCTCTTTTTCTTTTAAATAAGTTTTATTAGGGTTTACTGAGAAAAATATGAAGCTTAATATCAAATATCTTTCCCCCTTTTTATTTGAACCAAGTCCTTGATCTAACCACAGTGGACCCTCTAGTTAAATACTGCTCTGGATACGTAAGTTTCGGGTTGTGAACGTGGCAAACCTGGAAGTGTATACTTCTGGGTTTCGCCCTGCGCGTATGTGCAGAAGCGCTCTGCGCGTGTGCACAGAAGCAGCGCCTCTGCCTACAGACTTTTTGGGTTGCGGACGGACCCCCGGAATAAATTTAATTCGTATCCGAAGGGTCCACTGTACAGTATAATAAAAACATAAAGAAATAAAGATGGGAGAAAGGAGTAGAAAAAGAGAGAAATAGAGAACCACCCTTTTGGCTCCCCCCCCCACTACTCCACTGTTTTTGTCCCTCTACTTTCCCCCAGGAAAACTCGCTCTTTAACACTGGCTCAGAACAAATGGCAATTTGGGTTTTCTGTGGATAACCATTGGCTCTGATTCAGCAGTAAAGAACAGGTTTTCGGAGGGAAATCACCGGAGCAAAAAGAAAGTGATTGGACACAGTATTTTAAAGCACGGACCTGGGCCTGGAAATGTGGCACAAAAGGAAGCCTGGGTGAGACCTGTGTTAGGGCTTATCCACAATTACCTTTCCTGCACTCTTTCTGAGCACAGTCCACAATTTAAAGCTCTGTCTGATCCCCCTTGTGTGTTTTGTTCCAGAGCTCTCCCCATGAAAACCTGCTCTTTAAAGCTCAATCAGAGCAAATGTCAATCTGCGGGGGGAAACCCAAATTGACGTTGGCTCCGATTCAGCTTTAAAGAGCGGATTTTCACAAAAAAAGCTTGGGGCAAAAACAACAACACTCTGACACGGAGCGTTAAAGCATGGATCTCTGCCTGGACAGAACAGAGCAAAATATAAGTGTGGATAAGCCCTTAGTCTGTTGCAACAAAGGGTTCTGTGGGACTTTAAAAACATGCACATTTATTACGGTGTAAGCTTTTGTGGACTGCAGTCTACTTCATCAGATGCAGGAAAATATTATATTTGGCACACACAGCCACTCTCTGTCCAAGTCCATGTGGAAAAGGGTGGTATTCTTAGCTTGTGGGATAGTGCAAGTTTTGGCTTGGAATCCTAGGCACCCTTTATTTGGGAGTCAGCCATGCTAGAGACCGTGGAAAACTTCTGAGTAAACAGGCCCTGTATATTTCTTTTGTGGTTGTTCTATGGTACTCTGGTATCTAAGTAATAGCTTTGGTGCTCTTAAGCAGGATTAACAGTATCAGGAAATATTTTCTTATCCTTGCCATGGGAAAATATTCCCTGGGAAAACAAAGGTTTTGCTTTAAAATGTCTTTGCCTGGCATGTACTCAAGGTGTCCTAGTTTCTTCACCCCCTCTTTGATGTTGTCAGAAAGTATTTTATTTAAAACAAAAAGTTCAGGCTTGGGAGTACAGTGCAAATAATAGACTGATGGCACTTGTCTGAAGTGGAAGGAAGCCACCCTAACCCCTCAATCCCTCAGTGTTAGAGCTTTCAACAGTACTTCTGTTTTATGCACGGTTCTGAAACACGGGTCAGCATTTCAGCTCCCACATACATGTTGAGTATTGTTACTTTTCCAGGTTTTGGGTGGGTGTAACTAGGGTAAGGTCACTGGAAGTGGGATATCTAGTCAACAGAGGCACCAGCTTCTCCAGAGGATCAGGGATTTTTAAAACCATCATCACCACTTAAATAGAGATAGCGCCTGCCTGATATGTAATGAGACGGAGCTCCAAAGCGTAGCTACTGCCACACTAAAAATCCCAATTTGCGCTCTGTGCAGAACAGACCTGCTGATGAGATGGTATCTGCAGAAGACTCTCTCTTGCAGAACCCAGTAAGCAGTTGGTGAGGCAATCTTTTTGGTATCCTGGTCCCATTTTGTTTTAGACATCTTGGTCCCCTTAGCCAACCCTCCTAGTTTTTTTGTTTTTTTAACGGGAGACCTGGAACATGAAGTTCCAATGGCTCCTCACTTTGGTCATGGCATGTGTCATAAGCACACAGATATCCCTTAGTCTTATTCCAGCAAACATTACTTATTCTCCCATCTCCACTCCGTGCAGGTGGGATTTCTTGTAATCCTCATTATCGCAGCTGCCAAAGATGGCAGCCAATCAGGGCAGAGTTCCAACAGGAAAAGGAAGTGCTGAGCTGTTGCATAGCAACGCTGGCGCTAGTGTTGACGTGCTTTCTTACTGCTGGATGTCAGTGGTTCTTTTTTTTCAGTTTTCTAGACCAGGCTACAGAAAGGCACATGCGTTCTCAACCTTAAGAAGTCGTAGTGGCAAGCTGTAGTGGAGTTGCGAGTCAGGGAATGATCTTCTTGGTGTATACGTGCGAGGTATCTGAAGGGTGTGAACTGCAACTACTGCCTGTACCAGAGATGTGGGGCCTATGGTACCCCAGGTGTGGTTTGACTACTACTCGCATCATACCAAATCACTGTCTATGCTGGCTGAAGCTGATGGGAGTTCAGCATCTTCTGGAGTGCCACAGGTTCTCCACTTCTGGCTCACCACCCTCTTTTATCAGACAAGGGCTGCAAACCTATATCCACCTACCTGGGAGTGAGCCTCACCTACTTCTGAGTGGACATGCTGCAGTATAAATTACCGTATTCCAACAGGTCTAAAGAGTGTGCCAATGCAAGAGTGTTGCTTGACGGTTTGGAATCTTACCCCTGCCTTTGGGCTAAAGGGAAAGGCAGAAAAGCACTGTGGGCTGGAACCAGTTTTGCAGTTTGAATTTGGGAGAGGTGGAGAGACTAAAGAGTTTTAGGTGGAGCCAGCTAAAACCAGGATGCAGAAGCTGCCTGAGGTGTGCTGGGCTGTGACAGACAGGTTTTCTGTCTCCAGCTTCTATATTTGTTGGTAAAAAGAATGATAAATGTCACTATTAAGTCTTCAGTGAGGTCTTGTTCAAAAGGAAACTAACAAAATACATTGAAGTCGGTATAGAAATAATGTATATAAATGTCTGTTAGTAAAAATAAACTGGGAGTGCTTTGTATAAAAGGAAAGTAACATAATACAAAAGAGAACATAATTCAGAATCTTACTCTGCTCCCACAGCTAATGCTAATTTAGAAGGAAGTACTTGTAATCCACAGGTGGCGCTGTGGGTTAAACCACAGAGCCTAGGACCGGCCGATCAGAAGGTCCGTGGTTCGAATCCCCGCGACGAAGTGAACTCCCGTTGCTTGGTCCCTGCTCCTGCCCACCTAGCAGTTCGAAAGCACGTCAAAGTGGGAAGGTAAACGGTGTTTCTGTGTGCTTCTCTGGTTCGCCAGAAGTGGCTTAGTCATGCTGGCCACATGCTGGCTGTACGCCGGCTCCCTCGGCCAATAAAGCGAGATGAGCGCCGCAACCCCAGAGTCGGTCACGACTGGACCTAATGGTCAGGGGTCCCTTTACCTTTACTTGTAATCCTTAACTAGACCAGGAGTTAAAATCCCATTGATTCTCTCATTTTCCTTCCATATCTTCCCTTCCTCTCCTCACTCTCATTGAAAGTACTTCTGAAAACATCATTGTCTTCCTGTGGATGATGCCACAATGAAAGCTTTTAACCATAGGGGTTTTCCTAAGACAGGGGCAGCTGGGAAGGGTGGAGGCCAGGCTTGAAGGATTTAAGGGGAGAGGGGGCGTGGTGGAAGGATGGAGAAAGAATAAGAGCCTGGAAAAGAAAAGATGGCCACCACACAAATTGGGAAGCCTACACTAGGCTAATTCAAATGGAGAGCCCCAAAGAACTTAAGACACCCCCAGTTCTCCACCCTCAAGAATCCAGGTGCAGACAAGCCCATCCAGCATGTCAAGTCTCCCAGTCATTATCAATTACAAGCCGATCTGATGAACTAGACCAAGGTGAGAATGCTGTTTGAAATGGTATAAAATGAGATGCGTATATGTCTTTTGTTGCTTTTAAGACAGTCAGGTTTGCCAGTTTCTTTTGGGGTGGGTGGGGGAACCAGCCCTCGTTCTTGGTAATCTGAAACAAAAGTGAAGTGTAAAAACTTGGACGATAGACACATTCTGAAAGGGCACAGAACTAAATATAGTTCTGCTCTGGTGTTGCTTGCATTTGAGAATTTCTGCTAGAAAAATGCCCCCCCTCCCAATGAAGGATTTCTCCCTGAAAATGTGTTAGGTGTGGAATAAAGCCCATTTCTAGTATCTGGAGTTCTTCCCCTCTTTTTCTGCATGTATTTAGATATGTCCAGAGCAGAACAACCTTTCTTAGATATGTGTTATATATGTGAAGGTTGGAAAAAAACCTATACAGTAAATGCAATCTGTTCTTTTGCATGCCATAGATAACTGGAATTGCTAACAGGTTCCTAAAAGCAAATGCTTGAGAACCTCAAGGTCTCCTTGTGACACTAATATTTGTTTCTGATTATCTTCCTTCTTCCCACTTGTTTACCGCTTCTGTCCATCTGTCCAGATTTCTGGCAGTATGTGTCTGTGCCTCTCACCTGTTTCCTGTACCGAGGTTGTCTTTGAGCAACCAGACTAACCAGTTCAAGAAATCATATTGTAACTTCCATGGCTGACCTAGCACAACAGCAGAAATGCAGAAAGTGTGGTTGAGGGCAAATGCAGAATTTATTTGACCTGTCTGCTTATGCTTATCTATGCATCTGGGCCAGCGCTGCTGGGTTATGTTAGCTGAGAAGTAAATCTCACTTGGTTGGAGCGAAATTCTAACGTATGGCAGTCAATTTTTCAGAAGGCCTACTGCACGTATGTGGAAAACTTAGCACATTTTAGGTGGGTTGGGCATGGAGCTAATTGTAAGCTCCCAGCTCCACCTGCTTCCATATGTTCAGAATGATGCCTAAATTTGTGCTTACCATGTGTGCATTCCGATGCATGGCAAAATTTAGACACCATTTAGACGTTATGGTGAGTATGTCAATGTTGGTGAATTTTGTGTACCTCTTAGAGGCAACTCTTAAGTTATGGAGCTGATTAGTGAATGAAAGGGAAAGTATGGGAAAAGTACATGTACAGGAAGCAGAAGTTCAAAGTTGCACTCCCCAACATCTCCAGTTAAAAGATATCTCGGCAGAACTGAGAAACAGCCTTGGAGACTTGGCCACCAGTCAAAACAGACATCAGTGGGCTAGACAGAGGAAATCGTGTGACTTTGTAAAAGCAGTGTTATATGAAAATACTGGGTCATTGTGGAAATGGCAGGGTTTTTAGAACACAGAACGCCAGCAGTTATTGATCAGAAATTCAGCTAGAGAAAACTTGTCTGTCAAAAAGAGGCTTTTGGCTTGTGAGGTTGAACCTATTGCCAGAAATGTCTGATGAATACAAACCTTTGCCTTCCCTCTGTAAATGAATATCCTTGTGTATGAATGATTGCTAGGAAAATGATAAAGAGTCAGCAAAAAGAATCTTGAAGCGTTGCTCTGTGGGGATACAGACACAATTCCTGGGATTCTAGCTGTCCCAGAAAGCATCATTCCATACAGTCTGAGCGTTTTATTTGATAACAGAGGAATTTTGCTCCATCAGTATCTTTATATTTGGGGAGGGGGGAGCAGGACAGTGGGGGCAGTGACCCTTCCTGAATTTCAGATCATAAAAACCATAATGTAAGAATATAACAAATGCCTTGCTGGATCAGACCAAGGTTCCATCTTCATTCAGCATCTCATCAATCTAATTTTCCCACTTTATTGTTCCAAAGCTATTGTTATAACGGGGCTTAAGGTTTCTAGCTAGATATACTCCTAACCTTTTTGGCTCACCACAGTTGTTATGAACAAATCCAGGCTGCCCTGCGTTGATAATATTGCCATAGTAGTCAGCTAAAGTAAGATATGAAGAGAAAATTATTGCAACAAATGCTCTTAAAGCACACTAATTTTCAATTTACTGGGCCATAAAACCTTCCTGTGTGCATTCTTCTTCCCATCCATCCATCTGAAATGGCAGCTCTACATCCACCCCTAAAAAAGAAGTCCTAAAAAAAGATTACTTGCTGAATTACTGAATCACATTTTGTTCCCTTACAAATCTTACCAGAACCGAATTCAGCAATTCACCTGCTTGATGGAAGCTAATTTAAAAATAATGCCACGATGTCACTTTGTATAAGGTGCGTCTCCCCTAGTTTTTAAAGAAACAGGCCAGCAATTTTGCTCCTGTCAAAGTTAATAGCAAATCTCCCATTCATTTGAGTGGTGCAGGATTGCAACCAATTATCATGAATAACACAGGCATTACCTACCCTGGAAGATGCGGGTATAAAAACAGGCTGGTTCTTGGTACATAATCTGATTTCTACTGGTTCATTAAAGCTTTTCCTGTTGTGAAGTGTTGCAAGAATGTGCCTGAGTGCATTGCAAAGGACATCTCTATAAAATAGGCAAACTAAAACAAAACAAAAAAGAATTAGGAGTACAGGAAGCTGTCTATTTAGCTCAGTTTTGTCTACTACTCTGGCCGGCAGCAGTTATCCAGGGTCTCAGGCAGAGAATCTTGCCTGTCTGGTCTATTTTTGACTGCTGATGCCAGACCTTGATACTAGGTAGACTCTACTGCTTGCCAAACATAATGCTGTACCATTGAGCTATGTGGCCCTTTCCTGAACCATAAATGTGATTTATTAAAGTTGATTATTTACCTAGGGACAAAATTTATGGAAGCTTGCTTGCCTCCTTCTTGACAAAAGTTGTCTTCAACTTCTGCCCTCAGAAGTCGGCACGGAAAAGTTGCATTGCTGATTACTGCACGGGTATTGTTGTTGTTTTAAAAAACACCGTGCTGTCCCGTCCTTGTTTTGTTATTTTTATTTTTTCGATGCGTGCATGCAGCTCCTCCCTGCCTTTTGTTCCTCTGCTTTAAACAAGCGCCCCTGCCCACACACATTCCTGTGAGCTTGGATGAGAGGACATCCCTCGTCTCCTTTCGTTCCAAGATTGGCTGCGGTAGCTAGGAACGTGCGTCGTCTCTCACACCGCCCGGGCCTTGTTTTTGCTTCCCTTTTACACCAGGCAAGGGAGAAGCGATTGCTCAAACGCGAAGCCAGCACGTGAAAGGGAGACACTCACAGCAACGGAAGCGGCAGGCAACTGTGTTAAAGGGTCGGCTGTCAAGCTTCCTGAACTCTCATTTATTATAATGAATTTGCCATTGATCGCGACTCCTCGTCTCTCCGCCTTTTCTTTTCACCCAGACACGTGAAAGCACGATCGTAGGTATACCTACGATCCTGTTGGAAGAGGCATCGGTTGCAGAAACGCAAACAGGATCGTATACCCACGACCGTGCTTTCACGTGTCAAGGTGAACAACGGACTTCTGAGCACTTTGAAGAGATGTCAGTTGCAGAAACGCAAAGTGCTCAGAAGTCTCTTCCTCCCCCCCGCACTGGTTTTTTTTTTTGGGGGGGGGGAAGGTTAAGGGATATGAACGTGAGAAAGCCACCATCTTCCTTTTAAGCCAAACCCCATTCAAAACCCATCCTTTTGAAATAAATATCCCTGTTTTGGGTATGTACGCTGCGAAGTATTCCGTTTCCAGATCATGTAGCGAAGGGGAGAGGCGCCCCCCCCCATAACTATAAACCCATAAAAATACATAGTAATCTGAGGTTCTGCTCCCCTAACAAAAGACCTCCCCCCCCCAAAAAAAAATCCAGGCTACGCCCATGCTTCAGATTGGTTAAATTCCCCTTTCGAATTTAATACCAGCCTGGGGACAATGGTGTTTACGCGACACGTGCCTCGGAAACTCATGCAAACAACATTCCGAGGCCCCGCCCCCTTGCGTTCTGCCAGCAGCGCGCGGACCCGCCCCCCCCATCCGCGTTCGGCTGAGGACACGCCGCTCCACGATTGGCCGCGGGGATCGCCTCAGATCCCCTCCTCCCCGCGCTGAGTCACAGCGCAGCAGCCAAGCAAAAAGGCGCTCAAGGTTCTACGGGAAGGGCCCTGCCAAGGGGAGATCCCGACGGCCAACTGCAGTCAGACAGACGTCCAGCAACCATTCGTCATATTTCGCCTTGATAGGCTGAAGGAGCGCGGTAGTGAGCAGTCCGACGATAAGCTCGCCACGGCTAGCCCAAGCACAAATCCATAACACTCCTTTTTTTACTTGGTCTTTTTTGTTAGGGCTGTGTCTCCTTAGAACAGTTGTTTGGGACTATAACTCCCATCATCCCTAGCTAGCAGGACCTGTGGTCAGGGATGATGGGAATTGTAGTCCTAAAAAAACAGCTGGAAACCCACGTTTGGGAAACTGCTAGAACTTCGATCTGAGCATGTGCAGAGTACGTCTTCTTCACTTCTTCGAGTAGCAGTTGCAAGACTGTACACACCCGGAGTATGGGTTGTGTGAGACTGTGCAAAGGAGGGTAGGGTTTTGACTGATGTGCATAGGAGAGGATTTTGGCAGGTGTAGCTTATCAGGAAGGTTTTAGACATGAAACGACTCCAGAAATTTGCAGTTCTCTGTGGCTTCTGGGATGTGCAGGTGATTCCAGGAAAGCGACTCCATTTGAAATTAAAATATTTTTCTGTACTGTAAATGCTCTTGTGGGGAAAAATATGTTATCTTTAGGTAGAAGAAAAACAACCCAGTAAATAGGATTAATGTATAGCTTTACTCCCAGTGGGGTGATATTCTTAAATCAGGAATATATATATATATATATATATAGGCAATGCTTTGATATTCTGGATTACGGAGCATCTTTTTTTTTTTTTTAATGCCAAGCACCATCTGTTTAAACAAGTCAAAAAATGCTGTCACCTTGGTAATAAAACCATTTTCATAAGTGATGCAGTTTTATTGCTTATAACCCGGAAGTCATCACAATATAAAACACGGGAGATTGACATATAACAAACGAGAAGAGAAATACAATTAAGTAAGTATAAACCAAAGTGAAGGAGCAGCACTATTTAAACTGGATTGCATCCCTTGTGATATGCAATCTATGCGCAAATAGTGCTTACTTTTAATTGCATCTATGCTGTCCTTGCATCTGTAATTTGAATATATGAATGGCAATAACTAATAATGTACATTTGATTTCAAAATATCTCATCAACCACAGTCATTAATCACACATTCTGTATCAAGGCTACTTAATATAGAGCCCACCAGTGTTTTGGACGACAACTCCTGTCATCTCCAGCCAGAAAGAGCAATGGTTATGCATGATGGGAGTTGTAGTCAACAACATCTGGAGGGCACCATGGTGGCTACCTCTATTCTGGACTAAAACATATTGTTATTTAGGGCTGGCACCAGACTAGAGAAGGCTCTGGGAAAATTACTGGGTAGTGAGTCATGCAATATTACTTGGCTGTGATGGCAGTGTGGGCGGCTGAGTTTATATATTATTATTATTATTTAATGTGTATACCGCCCTTCATCCGAGAATCACAGGGTGCTTTACAGTATAAAACCACAAAAATACATGCTATACTAAACAAAACAATAACAGTAACCCTCCCTCCAAAATTTAAAAGGCTGTAGATTAACCAAAGGCCTGGGAAAAGATTTAAATTTTGCACAATGTCCCCAAGTGACACAAGTTTGGGGGCATTGTGGGAAATTACGAACGACTAGATTTAGCCAGTCTGATGCTGTTCAGAGTCCAATATAAGAGAAAAAAAGAGGTGGTTGGGAAGGTAAATTTAGCACTTCAGTTGATACCCTGATAGCTACCTAAAGATGCAAGATGCTGTTATTTGTGTCACTTGTAAATGCTACATTGGTTTATTGTTGCATTAAGCAACAGTCTGCTTAATCATGAGGTGACTGAAGTGAACTGAAAACATGACAAGTATATATTATATATGTTCAGGTGTGTTGACATATTATTCTCAACGATCAACCAAATAAAGAAGATCTAAAACAAAACAAAACACCCCCCCCTTGTGATAGCTAGAGTGCTTTACTTAAAGAGATACTTACTTGCACATCAAACTTTTAAGCTACTTGGGTTCTGGACACCCACATTTCCAGCAGTGTCCATCATGAGGACTATTTGCACGTAGGCCCAGGCTCTTAAACAAATTAGAGCATGGTTTCAGTGTTTTCATATGCTAAGAACCTGATCAATCCAGTCATCCGCCATATATTCTCTGATGATCATCCCAAACATGTTATTACTGGCCGCAACAGATTAGTTTCTGGCACGAAGGACTTTTAAATTCCTTCATCTTATGTACATCCTCTCACACCAGCCATCTGATGTTATTCCCATTTTACAGGTCAAGGAAATGTGACCAAGAAATTGCTGTTTGCCCAGACAGGTCTGTAGGGATGCCCTCCATACTCCTAGGCCTATCAAAAACTGATACCCTCCCTCGCTCACTTCTGATGCTTTAGAAACAGTTTCCTGGTTATTATGGAGTTTCAAGGCTGCCCGCAAGTCATCAGATACCCAAGTCATAATAATAGATTCTGGCCCAAGCCACCAATGTAAAATATGTGTGGTGAACATGTGGTTCTCTGTGATCCTGCTGGACTCAGACTCCAACTCCCATCAGCATGGCTAATGGTGAAGGATGATGGGAGTTGTAGTCACAGGCTACCCATCCATGATGAAAGGGCCTCACTAAATAAGATAGTGGAAATTAGTGACTGAATCCCTTGTTGCCTTAAATTTTCACAAATAGCTACACACACACACACACACAGAGTAAAACAATAAAATTCCTAGGTCATTAACTCCCTATCTGAAACCCTGTGGAGCAGATATTCCCCATTCAGCTGTCCCCCCTCCCCCATACAATCCTTAAAATAAAAGTTGTTATCAGAAGCGGTATGCAAATAATTTTATGCCTCTAAATTTCACGCACGGATATTAATTTTAGAACTTTAGGAAAGTGATTTGTGGGTGCCATCACAAAATGGCTGGCACGTTGGTGGGGGGCAACATAGCTAGTAAAAAAATGGCTGCCATTGCCAAAACACTCACAGTATTTACGACCACAACAAGAGGTCAAAACAGTAATGTCTGCCTTAGTAAAACGCAGTAAAAAAGCCAGTGTTCTGTTCTAACCCACTTCACAGAAGGCAAGCCAATCAATTTCTCAAAATCACATCTCAATAAAACTTTGTACTGCATACATCCTTTTTCTGCCCGGGCCCATCTTTCCAAGGCCCTGAATTCTCACCCCCCAACCCCTGAATCCTCCATTTTTTTGAATGGTGGCATTCAATTAGAATGGCCTTCTTTTCTTTTCTATACTGGTGGCATCTAATTAGGACTGTAGACTAGAGAGACAACATGGAAGAGTTCTAATTGGACCGTCTGCTGGTAATTTCCCATAAGAATTGCTCTTCACCTTCTCTCCAGTCTGCTGACCAAATGTGCTTTTTAAAAAAGTGCTCAAGCATTTTAAAGAGTTGAAGATGACATGCCTCTTAACACTTGTGCACGCTGAACTATATTTTGTGAATCTCTGACACATGGCAAACTGCAAGTGTCAAATCATTCACAAGAGCACTTCCGGCAATTTAAGCCGGAAGATTTAACCGTGAGAAAGGCAACTTGAGACATAGTGATCCTTATGTGGATGAGACCCATTTCTCTCTCTCTCTCTCTTGGCTCTATTTCAATTTGTACGAATTGAAAAAAATAAAACAAAACCCGCAAACGACCGCTCTTACAGGATCCAAAACCGCCGTGACAGACGCAAGACACTCACAATTTTGTTTAATGACTAAAACCCGGCTTGTTCGTTTCAGTTTGCAACCCAGAACCTCTGATTTTAACTCTTGCAAAGCTCTCTGCGTCCATTTCATTAGGGTAACCACCCACCCGCATTTTGGTGCAATTTCGCAAGCGACAGACGGTTTTGCCACTGTTTTCAATGCTTGCCTGTCAAAAATCCCCATGAATTTACCATGCTAGTTTGGGCCTGTCTGTTGTGGTCTATGGCTTGCAGCAAACTCCTATCTACACCTGCAAGATATAGCTGGAGTGGGGTCAGAAGTGGGGCAAATATAGGAAGATGCTTCCGGTAGATCTAGCCTTGGGTAACCATAACCACAGCTGTTGCGATGGATGTCCTGATTTCTCCCTTGATCCCCCTTCCTGCCTCCCTTCTCAAGGTCCCTCCTACAGGGCGGTTACCAGGCTGCCTATGTGGGATGAATTGACATTGCTGCAGCAGCCTGTTTGCATACAAAGCAAGGCTCTGGCCGGTGCCTGACCTGCCGCTGCCTAGCTAGCCTCATCCGAAGCCCTTCATTGCTGCGGAGGAGAAGAGCAGTGGCAAGGCAGCTGTCTCTCTGCCTCCCTTGGGGAAAGTTGCTGATGTTTCTCACGGTTGACAGACGGTGCAAGGACAGGTATAAAGCTGACGAAGGATTTGGGGGGCAGGCGGGGGGAAGTTAAGGAGATGGGTTAAGTATTGGGGGAAATAGTACTATTGTGGCAATTCTGTAGGCCGCTGGATTTTTACCTGCACAATGTTTTGCTTAAGATAGTTGCAATTTTTCAGCTTGGGGACAAGCGGCCCTTTGTCTCATACTGTCTTGTTTTTTGCCTAAACGGAGTCCTGGAAAAGTACACGTTTGTCCGCCAGGACCAAATCTCTCTGCCACATATATTTTGGATATTAATCTGCATTTTAGCAAGAGCTCGCATCCTAAAATAGCCGCAGTGGGTGAAGTGGCCTTTCCCCTGATTCTTTGGGTTGATGACTTAAAATGACTTATCGAGGGGTATGTGGCGGCCAAGGCTCTGATGCAAGGCGGTGGGGGGTGGGAAGAAAGATGCGAGTACCCTTTTGAGCATGCCTATGGTGGCAAGTGGCAAAAAAAATTGCAGGCCTGGCATAGATTTTAGGCCTCTGTGGAGCCTCATTGGCGAGAAGAAAAGGGTTAAATGTGAATTCAGACACTCTGTCTCTTGTCTTCCTGTTTGCTAAACTGCTGTCTTGTGTAAAAAGACAGGCTCTTTTGGCCTCGGGAATGGAGAGTTGTGTGACCATTTTGAAGTTTAAAATCAGGTTTTGTAGCAGTTGTTGTTGATCTGTGAAACCCGGCTAAAAGAATGTGTTGTACTGCCACTTTTTCTTTTTTTTCTTATTGGTCTCTTTATCTTTGCTAGTGCATATTCTGTTTTATTGCACAATTGTCTGATACAGATGTGCTTAGACAGTGTTGCTAAACCCAATGTTATTTGTGGGTTTTGAACCTCCGAGCTATATATTCACTCCCATTTACTTTTAAACAGTGCTTTTTGTCCTGGGGTACGCATACCCAGAAACATTTTGTGACTCTAAGTTTGGCCTCATTGAGGGGCAATATTTCAATATGAGCAGGAAAATGAGAGTACCCCTAAACATTTTTTTAGAAAAAAAGCACTGCTTTTAAATACCTTTTCTTTGGCTTCAAACATCTGTAGAGAGACTTCATGTTTCACGCACATACACATACATGCACGCACTTGTTTATCAGTATTACAGAAAGGGATGTAATCAAAGCCTCTTTAGTCCTTAGGTGAGGGATTGTTGCCAACAGTTCTAGTATAAAGTCAACTAAAATATTTCGGCATGATCCCCCTAAAGTTGTCCCATTGACTTCATTTGGAACACACTTAATTTAACTGTTGAAATCAGTGGGACTTTTTTTTTTTTTTTTAAAGTGCTTACCTTTGATTGGAAATCCCCTTTTTTTCTTTTGGGAAAATTCATGTAGAACTTGGAGATAATTTAATTTGAAAAACATTACCGTTTCCTAAATAAATCATTTGCTTCTCACTGAGGAAAAGAGGGATAAGATACCCTTTTCAGATTCTATGTTTGAATTCAACTGTTTATATTGAAATAAATTAAACCACATTAATTGGATAGTACATATATAATAAATTATCATAATTAGACTGGCCCCCTTTTTCATAATGAAAATCGAAATAGGGATGCTTTTTCTGTATTTTAGAGACAAGTTCCACTGGAACCAATGGGGCAAGTTAATGGCAACTGTCATATCCTGTTGAGAGTCTGTGGTTAGACTGGGGGAGATAAGGTTCAAAGTTTACTGGATTGTTAGTTACAGTACTGTCCTGTCCTGCAAACTGACACAGCTGAGAGAGTTGCTGACATCAGAAGAATGGTATTGGTCAATCTGGAATGCCATGAACTCTGTTTTTTGAATCTCATGCTTTGATTTTTACTGTAAATAGAGTTTCTCATTGGAGATTCAGCAGGGCAGAATTCGGAAAGAATCACCACTACAAAAGTCCTTTAAAGAAAAGAATTGGGGAACTGTCCTTGATGGACTGTGCTCCTGTTTTCCATTCCAAATGTATTTATTTAACCATTTTTTGTGGGTTTGGAGTGGCCTTCTTTGTGCACTCAAATATGTCTAAACAACGCACAAAGAGCCCTTTTGGAAGCACTTGGGACCGTTAGGGGATTTTGAAAATGTTAGTAATTTCAACCATGCCCATACATGCTTTAAAGGTTGTTTTATCACATTGGTAAACAAAGGCAAATATTTGAACAACGGCATTCTTGTTTGATACATGTTTTGGTGTTAGAAATGGAACTGTGCAGAAGTCATCTGGGATCTTTACAAAGTTATTTCAGGTGCATAACTGGTCTTCTTTTATCAGCAGTGTTAAGGCTTGTGGCACATCATCATACACAGGGCAAAGGCATGCTTAGAAATAAGATAGAAATTAATTTCAGGCGTGAATAATTTGTGATTGCGGGTGCTGAGCTTTCCTCCTGGGGAACATCCTTTGCTGGAAAAGTATCTTTTTCCTTTGGCATTGACTTTTGTCTCTCTCTTCTTAAGCCATCAGAATGAAACACTCCCTCCCACAGTTAAGAAAGTGGATGCCATTTGTGAGGATGAATTGGGCAGGAAAATGGGACCAGGCTATGAGGGGTGGGGTCCTGTGTACTGGTGGGTCCTATGAATTATGCAAGTTCTCCACTTGTTTAGGTATGCTCTTTCTATTCTGTTTTGTTCTATGGAAAGGGCGAATGAAAGCAAAGTGCTTTTTATCTGTCACATTATCTATGATTGTATTTCTAAATTCCAGACACACCCCTTATTTAACCGCTGGAAAATAAACAGACTAATAACGTCTCAATGAAAAAAAAAATCTTTCTTTCTTTTAAGACTCGCTATTGTTCCCCCATGGAGCTGTCAGCTCTCTCTGAAAACTGAAACTGTTCATTCAAAGTGAGGAGACAGTGGCAATTTCAAGATTCCTTACCCTTTCTTGTAAATTGAGGAGCATCCAGTTTGCTTTAGGAAACAAAAGCAGCTTTAGGAAAACGATTCCCAGATCTTCTACTTTTCTGCCTGTCCTCAGTATTTCTGCATGTCGGAATAGTAAAAGCACTTCCGTGCTATGCTTCAATTAGCTGCTTCCTCTTTGACACAAATTGTGGTTATTCTGACATCTGAATCTGGCTTGTAAGTTCACTAGCCAAGCCAGGGCTGCAAACCATGGTTTCCTGGATCATATGTAATGGCAAACTATGGTTTGTACCAAATAGGAATAATTTAAATCAGAATGTGTGAGAAGAGTGGCTGTGGCTTATTGACAAACCATGGTTCAGCTCTCCGCCTGAACTGAACCCATGTAATAAAATCAGGTTTCCTGCCATGTAATGGTGTGGAAAGATGCTTTACACAGCACTGTCATGTTGTGTGTGTATTTAGGGGCAGGCATGTATCTCAGTCACAGAGCACATGCTTCGGGTGCAGAACGGTTTTATTCCTGCCATCTCCAGTTAAAAGGACCAGGTTAGCAAATAGTGGGAAAGACCTCTGCCTGAGGCTCTGGAGAGCCAGTTCCAGTCAGAAAACATGGACAAATAGCCTGACCAGACGTAATGCAGTTCCCCATGTCCCATGTAACCAGCCAACATAGTATAGAAGATCATTGGATGACGTCTTCGAAGGACTGCCTCCTCATGACATGAGCTTGCCCGCCCACTGCACTATTCCTCAAAAGCCTTGATCTGTTTTCCACTGCCATCAGAGGTTCATCTGGATGATAATGCATGACAGAATCTTTTTGGTTGTGGCACCCAGATTACAGAACTCCTTTACCCAGGAAGCCTGGTTGGCCCCCTCCTTTTTGGCTTTTCGGCGTCTGGTAAATATTTTCCTGCTTTGCAAAGTTCCTGTTTTGGATTCTCTAAAGCTTTTCTGGTCCCTTTTGTGGAACTGTATTTTAGGTGGCTCTGGATTTTTTTTTAGTTCATTGTTCATCTTGTAGCTTTAATTATTATGTTTTAGGCTGATGATTTGTTTTGGGGAAGCTAAAAGGCAGACCCCGAATGATCTTGTAACTAGTAAATAAAACAATGTCAGTTCATTTCTGTAGGTCGGTCTTGTTATCTGTTATCTGGTGATTTTTATCCTAAAGCCTGAGTGAAGAGGGCAGAACAAACCATTGAGAAGATCTCAAAAACCATATTGTGTCACTTTTATAAATTGCAAAAAGAGGAAGAGTATAGTTCTTTCAGTGGGGTCCCATTTTTTCATTGGAGACCACTGCTCTAAAATGTATCAAGCTACGTGCATTATCTTGTTCATCACTTTTGATAACAATGCTCACAAATTTACATTGTTGTATTTCGGGTCTAAACCTTTTCTAAACATACTTTGTGAACGCTGTGAGTTTGAACGAAGCAGCTATTATGGTGGATACTGTCAAGGCATGCAGCATTTAATCATCATTTTGAAAATACTCACCCAGGGAATGTTCAGAATGAAACATTTCCTTCCCTTCTGCATGGCTTTCTGAATTGTGGATAGATTTATGCTTAATCAGCTTTATTGGCAAAGAAAAGCATATAGGATAAACACAATTCAGAAGACTTGTAGAGGAGTTTGTGTTTAATAATGCATGCAACATTGATTTTGTGGAAAGAAAACCCAAGAAGGAGAGAGTGGTGGTCACGGACTAGCACAGAGTTAAGGATATCATTATCTTGCTCTTTCATTCTGACTGGATTTTGCTATGTATGTTGGGGCAGCTGTAACCATTGATGTGACTGCCCTTACATTTAGGAGAATTCTGTGTGCCTCAGCCACACAGTGAAAGGGAGAATGTTAAGGGAGCCAAGGTTGTAGGCATGCTGTCAAAAGTACCAAGCAAAAGTGGGTTGCCAGGTCCTTTGAGAGGAGGTCTGCACAACTTGCGATCTATATGTTAATGACTGAAGAACTCTTTCCTTCCTGATTAGTTTTTGTCCCATGTTGTATCTGTTTTTTAAGCATCTTATTTTGACTTACTGCCCTTCTCCCTCATGTCTGCTCCTGTTTACTGTTCTTATTAACAAAAAAATAATATTCCTCTCCCCTCAAAAGTTCTGTTGTGATCTACCAAGCAATATACGGTAGGCCACCACAAGTTTTTATAGGCTCCATACAGTGGTGCCTCGCAAGACGAAATTAATCCGTTCCGCAAGAGTCTTCGTCTAGCGGTTTTTTCGTCTTGCGAAGCAAGCCCATTGACGGATTAGCGCTATTAGCGCTATCAGCTGTTTAGCGGCTATTAAAGGCTTAAAGGCTTAGGGGATTAGCTGCTAAAAGGCTATTAAAGGCTATTAAAGGCTTAGCAGATTAGATAAAGGGGGAAAAGCGAAAAAAATCTCTAGACTCGCAAGGTATTTTCGTCTTGCGAAGCAAGCCCATAGGGGAATTCGTCCTGCGAAGCAACTTCAAAACGGAAAACCCTTTCGTCTAGCGGTTTTTCCGTCTTGCGAGGCATTCGTCTTGCGGGGCACCACTGTACTTTACCAAACTGTGGCTGCGAAATCCGGGTTTTCCAGCTGCTCACTGGTTGCAATACATGGTTTGTGGGTCGCATTTGATTCTATAAACATGCTCAAATAAACTTATTCTACAGAATTTCTGTGTATCAATTTTCATGCTGAAGGTGCACAGACTTATTGCTGGCCTTCTGTAACGCATTAGAACTTTCACATTTTATCTGCTAAAATGTGAAGCTGTTTTTATAACAAAATCAGGCCAGTGGTCTTTCTTGCTCATTGTTACTATTTTAACTGCCACTGGCTATCCACAGCTTTTTTCGTTTTGCTAGCCCTGTTCCCCGAGAGCCATATTTTCACATGCTGGAGATGGAGCCCAGGGCTTCAATCTGCATAGAAAGAAAGCATGTGATGTTCTATTGTGCCATGATGCCTTTTCAGTGCAAGAGATAAGTACAGACTAATCTACCGTATTTTTCCATGTATAAGATGATGCCCTTTTCTTTAAAAAAGAATTAGGCAAAAATTGGGTGTCTTCTTATACACAGATAGTGAATGCAGAGGGGGGACGTGCAATTAATGGCAGCTGCAATCAGGAGATTGGCTGCGGCGGTTGGGTGGGTGATTGGTGGCTGCGGCAAGGTGTGCGATTGGCAGTGGCTGTGGCAAGCAATCGGCAGTGGCAGGCAGGCAGGTGAGCGATTGGTGGAAGTGACCTCCCCCCCCCCCAAAGCTAAACAACTTAATTTCTTAATTTTGGGTGAAAAAAAATTGGGGGCATCCTGTACACGGAAAAATACGGTATGTCACTTCCAGACAGTTGCTATTTTGTGGGTGAGAATTCAGCAACATACCAGCAAATTCAGGTTGCACAACTGAAGCAGAGTTGGCATCCTTTCACAACAAACCTGCTTCCCCTCCACCCCATTTCTGTAGTAAGGAAAGTGACTGGAAAATGAGCTGGAAACCAATTGCTTGGTGCAACAATACTGTACAACTTCCCTGCAAACAAACCAGAGAATGAATGCTCAATAAACAACCAAGGAGGTATAATCTCCCCATGCACTTTGTTCAAAAACATCAGGATATATGTTCCCAGGTGTGTGGAAGGGATCCTAGGAATGTATTACTGGTCACTGGCTCACTGGAATACATGGAGAAGATGCTACTGTTAAGGTCTGATTCTCACCCCCTCTCCCCAAGTATTGGAAATATGAAAAAATGTGAACGAGAAACGGGGACCATCTTGTCTTTGCAAACGTTCATTTGGGAGCCTGAACTGCTTGTGGCTTCTTGTTGAGTGCTGTTTTCGTGGCAAACGACCATGTGTGAGGAAAGTCCTCAAGTTGCAAGAAGCTTTTCCATGCACAACTTCTTTCAGGTGATGGCGTGAAACATCCCTCCCTGATTTTACAGAGCAAATTCCGTAGTTCACGCATTGCATGAAGAAGTACTTTCTTTCGATTGGAAATTTAAAGGGAAACCCCAGAGAGAAATGTAGGTTGCAGGCTGACAGAATACAAGTAGCCCTATATTTTACTGAGTTGGTTTGGTTTATTATTAGCACTCCTGCTTGTGAGATACCAGCAGGCAGGCTTTCTAGGATCAAACAGAACAAAATGTGTCATGCAGACCACATACATTCTCCTTAGGAATTGGGGAACATTCCTGGGGACGTGAATATTTCACTGAGAGCTAATACATACTTCAGCAAGTTGCAAATGCAGTTTTAGCACTCACATTCTCTGTTCCCAGCACCCCTGACGCTTGATTGGCATTTACCATGGATTGAGCCTTTAGTGTGGCAGCCTTTGTGTGCTCTGTGGAACTCCTTGCCGGTAGAGGTTTGGCAGGAACCGCTCCTCCTTTCTTTCAGGGGTCTTTTGAAAACTTATATTGTTTCAACAGGCCTTTGCTTTATGAACATTCTCTCTTTAACCAGTCAGTATTTCACTGGTGTTTTATTGATGTTTCTCATGAAGTTTTCATGGATGCTTTTGTTGATTTTATTCATATTTGTTGTCTGCAACTCTGATATATGAAACAAAGATACAGAATTAAGCTTTGGCTGGGATTCTCGTGGATCTATTATACCCATTAGGAGAACGCTAATTTTGTAAATGACTCTTGTCAGTCTTTTTTTTTTTTTTAAAGCAAATAGCAAAACATTTCTGCTATCCCAACCTGTTGTGTCGTGTGTATTGGCAGAGCTGTGCTTTTGTGTGTTTGTGTGGTGGGGGTAGGGTTCCCAGCCAGATTTTGATAATTATCATGACTGCTGTTTCCTTTGTTTTTTCATGTGCTCCCTTCTATTCTGTTTTATGATGACGTTTGTTGGTTTCAATTTATATTGTGTTCTATCCTACCCTGGTATCGCACTGCGATGAAGCGTGGGTTAGAAATATTTTTAGTTGATAACAAAATCATCTCAACCTAACAGGTGGGCCACTACAGTGACCCTCACTCTGCAGATGGGGAGGCGAAAGGCTGAGGGGTCCTTTCTTCCAAAAAGGAGCCCTGTACACTGGACGGTATTCATATTTGTTTCCCTCACAACATCACTGTGAGGTAGATTATTTTAGGACTTAAAGACCGCTCAGAGATCTTGCAGCGAACTTTGTAACTGAGCAGAAATTTGGATCCAAGTCTCTCAAGACTTGCGCTCTAATCTCCTGGATTTACTTAGAGCTACCTAAATGTTTCAACCAGAGACCTAAGTGAGTTAATGGTTGTGGTGAGATGTGAATCTGGGACTAACTGGCTCACGTTCCTCTGCTTGAAGCTTCATGCTATGCTGGGGCATTGCTGGGCAGCTCTTGAGGAATGTGGATGTTGTCTTTTTAACTTTCCGTTGCTCATTACGTTGCCAAATATCTTGACACGCTGAAATGTCAAGGCCGTTCAGTAGACTTGGATTGATTCTAAGTGCAGTGCTATCAACTGTGAGCCCGTCTTAAGCTGAAATCCTGTACACACTTCCCTAGGAGTAAGTTACATTGTAGACTACAACCCAAGGGCCACATTATTTTCTGGTCAACTTTTTAGGGGCCACCTGACCAGGAGCAGGTGAGGTTACCGGCGAAAGCGAACAGAGCAAGTACTGAATCTTACCTGTTTGTAGGCTAGTTCCACCCAACACTCTCTAGCCTGCAAAAAAGAGGCATGGCTGGAGTTTCAGGACACATTCGAGGCATGCGAAAACACTTAAGGAGGGTGTGAGGCCTAGGGTGGCGAGGGGTGTGGCTCAGGAAAACAGGAGGAAATCTGATTGCCACAGAAGTCAGTGCTTTCAACCAGCGCAGAGACAAGAGAGGAGTGCCAAAGAAGTGTCATCTGTGGCAATTGGGTTTTCTTCCTCTGTCCATTGGGGCAGATTTGGGGGTGAGAGATGAAACCGTAAGCCTTTGCCTCTGATGCCATTCTCTAAGAGATCTCACCAGAAAACTTTGGGCAGGGAAACTCCACACTCCTGTGGGAAGCCAGTAAGCTAACCAGTACTCCTCATGGAGGTGGGGGTGGTGTAGGATTTGGCCCAAGAGCCTTCCAGAGTCACCTTAGGTTGTTTTATAGAATATTTTTGGTCTTTTATTTTCTACAGTTGCCAAATGGTCTTAATGTGTCCTACTTGATTCTGATGCTTCCCTCTGTCCTGTTTTCCTCTCCAGGCACAAACCATGAATTACGTTGGGCAGTTAGCAGGCCAAGTCTTTGTGACTGTGAAGGAGCTTTATAAAGGATTAAATCCCGCCACATTGTCTGGGTGCATAGATGTCATCGTTGTCCGCCAGCCTGATGGGAACCTCCACTGTTCGCCTTTCCACGTGCGCTTCGGAAAGATGGGAGTTCTGCGTTCGAAGGAAAAAGTGGTAGGGGGACAGAAGATGTCTTGACATGCTTTTTGTTTTGTCAGTAGCTCCCTCTTCACACAATATATTGTGCTGGGGGCAGGGATGTTTTCATCCTATGCACTTTCAGGACCACATTTGATGATACATTGCATGCACAGTGATGTGTGTTAGTGGTTACTAGAACCACTTCAGCTCAGGCCCCATGACAGCTCCCAGTGGGCCTTGTTGGCTGAGCTCTGGAAGATGTTGTCTCAGCAAAGGGCCAGAGTCATTTGAAAGCTTAAGAAGGCCAGTCAAGGTCTTCTCTTCCAGTGGCTTCCCCCAGCCCACCAGGAGGGTTGGCTGAAGCCCTTCAAGGGCACATATAACATACTCCTGCAGGATTGTGGATCAGGAGAAGCTGTAGGAGAGTCGCCACCAGAGTCGAGGCATGATGGAAGAGCCATGCCCTTAGGCTGGGGTAATGTAGAAGGTGGTGCTCAGTATGGTGACTTGTGAGTCATCTGAGTTTGAGTCCTTCTCATGGAGACACTAAGATGTAGGTGAAGAGACAGTACAGTGCATATATCTGTAGTTGTGGGGTCCCTGTTCCAGACTGGGATAGCAGCTTCCTTTCTGGGCAAATGGTCGCTTTGACTGGGGTGGGGGACATTTCCATCAGGTAGTGTTAGATCCTCCTCCCCAATCTTCACACTGCAGTCCCAGTCTCAAATTTCCACCCCCAGCTGCCATGGTAAAAAGGAAAGCACAGGCAAATGTCATTATGCAAGTTAATGTATCGTCTGCTTTGGCCCTCTGGGCAGATCTGTGATGCACGTGCTGGAGCACTGACTCCCCACAAAAGAACCATGGGAACTAGAATTTTGTGTCCTCAGCACTTTCACCAAACAACAAAACCCAGGGAGGTGGTAATTATTGTGTGTCAGATGGGTTGTTTGCTCACAGATTCGGTTTTGGTTTTTTTGGATAAGGCCTTTTATCACTGGGAAGGCCACTGTTTATTTACAATACTGAGCCTATCAATGGGCAACGTATGACCTTAAGCACTTTTATGGATTCAATAAGGATTCGGTGGGCTTAAGCTTATCTCTTTCGCTGTTGAAAATGTCACTTAAAATTGCTTATTTGGAGCTCAGTGGCTCCGGGGACCAGGAAGTTGGTTGATGCTTAACTTTCGTTAGATCAGGCACATGCCACTGTGAGGTGTTGCATATGACAAACCTCTATTTTCTCCCTCTCAGCACCTGCCCCCCCCAAAAAACCATGAAATATGGGGATAATAGTACTGATGTCCCTTACAGGGCTGCTGTAAAGGATTGCGAGATAATGTGAAGTACTTTCATCACTTGAAAAACCTTACATGAATGTTAACTAGGATGATGTGAATTAGCCCTTTTCACAGATATAAGAGAATGTTCATTCACACGCTAACTCTTCCGGTGCTCTGCAGTGAAATTATATTGTTCAAAAGTCTTTTGCCCTCCCCAGGTTGACATAGAAATCAATGGAGAATCTGTGGATTTGCATATGAAATTAGGGGACAACGGAGAAGCGTTTTTTGTAGAGGAAACTGGTGATGACCAGGTAAGACGAAACTCCGCTTCCCAAACATCTTTCATTTCTGATAAATTATGGTTACAGCGCAACATCTGTAGTGGATCATCAGACCCCAAGACTGCTATGCCTTTAAGAGATCCATTATAGGGAGAAGGCTGCTAGATCTGATTTCATTTACAGTTCTCCATTTCTTGCACCATTCAAGACTTGATTTACACACAGTGACAGATGGAGGAAGAGGGTGGATGGCAAAACCTAAAGGCCAGTTCACATGACCCCATTATTTCTGTAGTGATTCCGTTTGTTGCTGTTTGCATGTAGCTGTCATTAAATGGAACGTTTCCCCATCTGATTGTCTCTTCCTCACCCGCTGGCAGTATTCATTGGCAGAGGAAAGCTTGAATATTGTGAGACTGCTGGCTGTATAATTGATGGTTATCTGATTGTGTGAACTGGCTGTTTTTGGTAGCAAGGCATTCATTGGCTTGGCTGATTTGCCTAAAGCCAAGGTGATTGGATTTCCATTACTTTCCTGATCTGTGCCTCTGAGCATGCTTTCCCCAAAAGGAAAAAAAATAAAAAAAATCAAGCAGGGCTTCCATGTTCCTGCTGCAGAACTAGTCAGTGCAAGAGTATATAGCTTAGTTTCTCTGCACAGAGAAAGGAGCCAGTTCCAGGAAGGGGAGCCCATTCTGGCACGTGGGACAGCTCTTGACAGTTCCATAGCACGTATCTTGCATTGATTCCATGATTGAAGCTGATATCTTATATATACTTATTTAGTCCAAAGGGAAGCACTTCCATAAAAGCATGGTGAGAAAGGATTCAGCTACATTAGAAAAAAACAAACAAAAAACCCCAATGATTTGAATGTGTTATAAAAATGCAGCACCAGATGGCGCCAGAGAGCACAAAACTTTTCAATAGTGTTTTTACATAGGGTTTCTCCCCCTTTTGTTACAACAATTTAATTTCTGACTTTTTTATAGCGTTTCCCACCCCCTGCATGTAGAACCACCTAAATAACCTAAATGAAGCCTTATGCTTTGCAAAATTTGAAAGAGCTACAAGGTGGAGTACTTAACTTATGTGAAGCTTGAGGTACATTTTGGGGCATATGTTTGTGTGTGATAAAGGATAGATTAATCTTCACAAATGTCAAAGGAAATGAAATAAGGAATATCAAGGGAAATAAGACGCTGTTTTGTCTCCTCCCTCTTTTTTCTAGGAAGCAATTCCGTACCACTTGGCTACATCTCCCATTCTTACGGAGGGAACAGCTCTCATGGAGTTACAGCTGAAGAGAAACTCTGTGGACAGGATAAGAAACATGGACACTGGAAGCAGTTCACAGCTACCAACCTCTGTTTCTTCATCCGCTGTTGAGCCCACTTCTTCTAGTTGTTCTGTGAAGAAAAGGAGGAAACGTAGAAGGAGATCTGCCCACAAAATAGACACTTCAAAAAGAGATGAAAATGACGATACCACTGAAGATGAAAACATGTTCCCTATAGAAATCAGTTCCGACGAAGAAAATGAGCTTTTAGACAATACAAGGTATTGATCCTGCTTAAACTCAGAGAAGCGATTTATTCAGAGGCATTAATGTTCTTTAGGCAAATACCTATGAAAAGACGTCGTGTGGATTTCCTGCAGCATGAGAATGATTGGATACTTATGGATTTTATTCTGGACAAAGTTTTCTCATATTGCACAAAGTTCCTATATGCATACTTGCTCCAAAGAGTCAGTGGATTTAAAAGAGAACTGAATTCACTTTAGGAAGTAGAAAAAGTTTTCATCATGAGTTCCTAGCCCAGGGGGTTAAGGAAATTTAAGGAACCGCTAATTTCTGACCGCTAGAGTTGTGTTTTTTGTTTCGTTTTCCAACTTGCGCTTCTTATCAGAAGCATCTGGATTTCCAGTCATTTTGAGATGACGTTTGAGCGTAACAGTTCTTAGAGAAGGGAAGTAGTTTTCTCCTTGCCAGTGTTGCAATGCTATTCTAGCTCTGAACGAGAGGTTGTTGGTTTTTTTAAAAAACACACACACACACAAAAACAAAACTAAACCTCTTTTCCTCTCTTTGTTCGTTTATACTCAGAACATCTGCCTCTGATCTTTGTAGAGATGAAGTGCTTGAGATAAATACATCTTCAATCAGTGTGCTCCCTCACCACCATTCGGATGGAGAATGGTCCCCTTCACCAAGGTACGGTATGTGTTAACTGGAGTACCTCAGGCAGTCTTCTGTGCTAAGTGCCTTCGTCCAGCAAGTTCAGACACTGTGCAGCAGTTGAAGGGAGCTGAGCTCCTCCCACACTTGTAACATTCATGAAATGATTGTATATTTCTGGGCTCCGCATATGCACACCCATAATTAGGATAATCAAGCATTCCAGGTTTCATCCAAGACGTTGAGCTGGTTTGTGCCCGTAACACTAAGCCAAACCATGCCTTAGCATGAATGTGAGGGTTCCTGGAGAGCACATTGTGCTCCTTTCCTGGTCCTCCTGCTGCCGTAACTTCATCCATGGTTTGGCTTGGTATGTCGTCTTGAACTGCCTTCAGCCAGAGTTCAGCTTGGTGCTATGTGCAAGCCAACTCATTGAGTGCTCAGCTACCTGTTACACATGAGTGTGTGTAAACCACTTCTTCATTTCAGAGCACAGGAAGAGGAGTAGATTTGGAGTAGAGTTTCAGGGTCAAAGTGAAAACAATCCCTGCCTGTTTTTAGTCCAACGTCTCTCCTGCAACTGATTTGAAGTGAAAAAAGTGGGCTTTCATGGGTCGCCCCCCGCCCCCGACATTTCCATGTGATGTTTAGTGTGAGGCTGAACCTTCGGAAAACTTGTTGATCTTAATTATCCATTATTAGTTGCGACTGAACATTCTGTGGCACATGGATGAAAACCCCTTCGGTAGGCTGTAGCAGTCCTGATAGGATCATGTTTATGGGAACAAAATTATCTTAACTCCTACATACTGGTTTTACGATTCAATGAGGCAGCTACATGAATGCAAGTGGAACATCTCCGTTGCTGGTAATGGAAGAGTAAAGAACCTCACATGATTACAGAGGTCTGCCTTCCATAAGCACCGTGTACATGTGATACTTCTGATTTTTGATTGCATTATAAGTGGAAGGGTCCTTAGTCATAATATAGGATCCTTTTACTGCGATCGTTAGGTCGTGTTTCTTGCGGACCACTCTGATTTGGGGGCAAAATCATACAGATGTAGGTTTGTTTTTTAAAAAATACATGCAAAGGTATTATACTTTCTTTGTCAATTTCAAAACAATGTTCTTATAACTAAAAACACGTTTTAGTGATCTCATGCTTAATCCAGTTGCTAGAGAAAGGTTAAATGGCAGTGGAGCATGTCTGTGCAACACACATATTTTAGATAACATTTCTGCCTGTTTCCTCTGATGAGATCAGTTTGTACTCTTCACCCTCAAATTCGCACTTGTTGCACCAGAAGAGGCCAGGGTGGATCACTGTTTTGCGTATGTTATTATAATGGTGGCTGTCATATTTGCAAATGATTGCAACCTTTTGTGTGCTGTAGTTTGGTGTCTCTCTGAACGGTACACTGACTTACTGTACATTTGCTTATAGTGATTCCGGATCTTGTCGCTTAGAAACTCAGTTCTCTTTAAGCCAAGTTCCTTGTTTTCAAGCGGGCAGGGATCTCACTGTGTGTCCCAGCAGCATGTGTTGATTGCAGCGTATTGTGGAATAACGATGCTTGTTTTTTCCCTTCCTTTTACTACACCTCACACTGTCCAGTAAGCCCAGAACTTGCCCAGGGAAGTCCTCTCATCTTACTGTTCCAGCAGATGGAGGCTTATCTAGTTCTTGCCCTCAGCAGTCTTCTCACTATCCTGCTACAGACAGGTAGAACAGCAACTCTCCGCAAAGTTCTCCTTTGGTTTGTTGGAATGCTGATTAACCCTTTTAACACTTTTTAACAGTTTGCAGCCTTCCTCAGACTTACCAAACTACTCCTTATTATTAACGCAGTTGCTTGGCAGGAAACTGGGGTTAGCATTTAGGGTTTTTGTTTCACTTTATGTTGCCACTGTATTAATGACGCAGAAACTGTAGACCTCTGGCCAAAAATTGGGCTGGTTATCATCTGCAGTTCAGTCCTTTGTTATTTCTCCAGCTCCTGTACATTTCTCCTCCTCTTCCACTTCCTTTCCCCTTATTTTTGTTGAGCTGCCTGCATTTCCTCAGGGTCCTTCACTGCCAAGCCCTTAGGCTACTGTCTTATCCAACACTAGGTCCCCTTTGGTCAACCCAGCTCGAAGGCAGGTAGTTTCCTCATGGTACAACACAGGTGTACATTGCCAATGCTCTTTTGTAGGCACAGGGGCTCTGATGCACCTTTGGAGCTCCCTTGACCACAAGAGCTTCCTCATTACTTCAGTGAGAGGGGAAAACTCCACACATGCAGGTGATATGAGCACATAACCATCCATTGGATTTGGATTTTGGATTTGATATCCCGCCTTTCACTCCCTTTAAGGAGTCTCAAAGCGGCTAACATTCTCCTTTCCCTTCCTCCCCCACAACAAACACTCTGTGAGGTGAGTGAGGCTGAGAGACTTCAAAGACGTGTGACTGGCCCAAGGTCACCCAGCAGCTGCACGTGGAGGAGCGGAGACGCGAACCCGGTTTCCCAGATTACGAGACTGCCGCTCTTAACCACTACACCACACTGGCTCTCATTGCCGACTAAGCGCATGTTGTCCTCTCGATCAGGGCAAGAAAGTTGCAAGAACCAGAATCTGAGGTAGACGTTTTTAGGTAAAGGTAAAGGGACCCCTGACCATTAGGTCCAGTCGTAGCCGACTCTGGGGTTGCGGCGCTCATCTCGCTTTATTAGCCGAGGGAGCCGGCGTTCAGCTTCCGGGTCATGTGGCCAGCATGACTAAGCCGCTTCTGGCAAACCAGAGCAGCGCACGGAAACCCCGTTTACCTTCCCGCCGGAGTGGTACCTATTTATCTACTTGCACTTTGACGTGCTTTTGAACTGCTAGGTTGGCAGGAGCAGGAACCGAGCAATGGGAGCTCACCCCGTCGCGGGGATTCGAACCGCTGACCTTCTGATCGGCAAGTCCTAGGCTCTTTGGTTTAACCCACAGCGCCTCCCACGTCCCTACGTTTTTAGGGACACCTAATTTCAAATCTCTCTTAAACAGCAGGGAGTTTGGGCATTTTAAAATAGCCTGATGGTTTGCTTGTTTGTTTAAAAAATTCACGTTCGTACTTCCTGTCGAAAGTTAATATGTTGAAATATATATATTTGTTCCCACAGACAAATTGTGGTGAATAAAGATATCGTTTGCTGAAAAAAGAGAGAACAGGCTCTTGAGTTATAGAACAACCGTGCTTTCTTTTCAAAGCAAGTTGTGTTTAAAAGCGGTTCGTGTTTGTGCTGGGGAAGACTGAAGCAAAATCCCCAAAGGATGCACTGCGATACAAAACGTTGTCATAGTTTAAAACAAACAGACAAGGGGAGAATTATGTTGGTGGAAGACACAGTGATGATGGCAACCCGCTGGTTGTTCTTCCTTTCACAGTGCTAGTGGAGGAAGCGCCTACATATGTATTTTTACCATGCTTTCATGTACTGAGGGAAAATCAGCAGCATTTAGCATCTTCTAGTACTTTCTAAGTAAAGGAGAAGAAGATCATGTGTATGACTGGGTGCAGGACCCATGTTTCTATATATGCTAGGAATCAGCAACTAGGACAGGAGTGAGGGAACATGCGGCCCTCAAGATATTAAAGGATTAGACCTCCCGTCTTCCTTGGTGTCTGGGACTGATGGGAGCCGAATTTCAACAACATCCGGGGGCACACAGCTTCCCCAGCCCCCTCCCCTGAACTAGAGGCTCTTGAGTAATACCAGCCCCGTTTCCTCAGTAATCTTTTGAAGCAAGAGATGTATGCAGAAGGTGTGGTTGCAACAGGCAACAGGACTTGCTGGCAACCAGCTGACGTGGGTTTTCTGGAAGGTTTTGAATTAGGGTGAGTTGCACAGGGTGATTTGCATTGACAAATGTTCTGATCCCCTAGTGAGTTGATCTAATTTTGCATATTTATTTGACTCGCATTCAGTAAACAAAGCTTGCCATGCCCTCCCACCAGATGTCAAAGAGAAAAATAACTACCAAACTTTTAGAAGACATCCGAAGGCAGCCCTGTTTAGGGAAGCGTTTAATGTTTAATAGGTTATTGTATTTTAGTGTTTTGTTGGAAGCCGCCCAGAGTGGCTGGGGAAACCCAGCCAGATGGGCGGGGTATAAATAATAAATTATTATTATTGTTCACGGCACAGCGTTTTCAGCTGGCATCCATGTTTGTCGTTCCTGATGAACTTTTGTAATAAGATTTTTGTGGATATGGACAAATGAAGCAGCAGAAAATGCTTCTCCCCACTTCCTTGCCGGCAGTCTACTTTGGTGGGGGGCCAGCGGGGCGGGGGAGCAAGGCTTGCCCCTCCATATTTCATTCCCTCTTGAAGGTTGTCCTCCCATATTGCTGGCAGCTGACCTATATGCTTTTTGAACTGAGGGAAATCTATAGTCAACTCTGAATGAAATTCCATTAATTATTGGGCTTCCCCTTTGACTTGGTGGGTCCTTTAGCATTTATAGGTTCATAATGTCCTATCTGGACAGTCTGTTTTGCTTGTTTTTCCTTTTTCACTGTCTCTTGTTTAGAAGATAACACTGTATTTCCTGTTTATGTGATGTTGCAAAATTGCCAGGCATAGCCTGAGATCCTTTAAATTTGCCAGAAAGTCTGCAGAAAATACAGCCACCCTTTTAGAGAAGGTGACATTTAAGCAGTGCCTGTTGGCAATGTATACATTCTGGATATAAATTTTCCCTATCTGTCTCTATCATCTGTCTATCTATCATCTGTCTATCATCTACCATCGTCTAAAGATGTTTTTATTTAACAATATGTACATACATGTTGCTTGCTTTTAATTGCAACCTCTACAAGCAAAACAGAGACATTAAAATTGTCAGTGAAATATTTTTTTGAAAAATAATAAAATCTATGATAAGCTAAAAAGAGATTAAAACACACAATGGCTGCTACATTCCTGGATAACCTTGCCTGAACTTAGCAGGAACCAAGAAGAGCACAGTGAAAGTTCCTGTGTGAAGTTGAGTGGGTGTATTTGGGGTAAATCGATCCCTCAAATAAACAGGTTCCAAGCTATTAGGAGCTTTATATTAATAGTGATACCTTGAACTTGACGCAGTAGTAAATGCATAACCAGTGCAGGGTTTCACTTCTGTCAGCATCCATGAAGCAGCATTCAGCACTATCTGTAGTTTCCATATCAAGATCAAGGGAAGCTCCGCATGGAGTGCATTGCAGTAACCTAGTCTTGAAGTCACCAAGGCCTGAACTACTACTCCTGTGCATTTCACACACATTTACTTGGGAATACCAGAGTCATTGTGAATTGAATCCTGAAGCTGGAATGGGTGTGATGAGCCGGGAGGTGCATTGTCAAGGTGTGTCAAGGAGCTTAGTTTGAGGAACAGTTCCAGCCTTTAAGGCTTATTTTGGGTCTGCTCAGCTGGATGCCAAAATACATTAGAGAAGAACAGACTGCCAGCATCCAGTTTGCTGGCTCATAAACCCTCCACACCCCGATGCTTCCAGATTTCTGCAGTTTCAATGAAAACGTAATCTAAGATCACACAGAACTAGTGGATGTCCTGGTGCTGTCCTTCTCCACACAGTCTAAATGTGTTTGGTTTTTTTCCGCCCGGGGAACCTGCTTTCTGTCAAACTCAAATTGTAAACTCTTTGAGGCAACGGGGCTGCGTTATTCGTTGCAGGACAACCTTTAAGAAAGGTATGATGTTCTTCTAGGGGATTGCTAATACAGTACAGCACAAATTATGATCTAATGCGTTTTGACCTGGCATAATGCATTTTCTTTTTCACGCTGTCCGTAATGTAGAAGTGTATTAGTACTGAGAGTTAAATGCTCAGTTAAACGCTTAAGGCTATTAATTATTTTTTAATAAATAGTTCCTGTTCTAGTAATGCAGAGATGCCATTTCTCTTTTAACACGATAACAGTTCATCTGGGCTTTGGCTTTAGAAAGGGATTGGCAACGTAGTCCAGACCCACCTGCGGTAGGCTTTCCAGATGCCCACAGGGACTCCCCCCCCCCAAAAAAATCCCCGAAATTAGGCTGGGAGGAGCATTCTGCTGCAATGAACAGAATAGGTTGTGGCATTTGTATCTCTGTGTGTGGTGCCCACCGGTTGCTCCAGATTGCAAATGTGTCCACAAGACCAAAAAGGGTTGCAGTTTCCTAGCTTAAAAAGGCAGTTTTGTAGAACTTCTCCTTAATAGTCCCAGAACCGAATTATTCATGTCTTCTTGATGACTTATGACACACGTCTTACGTTTAGTGTGTTGGTGGTGTGAACTCAAGTTTAGTTTGCTCAATATTAGGTGGGTGCATTAAGTCAGAATTGGACAACATCAGAATGCTTTTGGGTACCAGGGGGACCAAGAACTTGGGATTTTTTCAGCCTCATGTATCATTTTTATATATGTAGTTGGTTGGACAAACTAGTTTGTTGTATCCTAAAGTTCTTCACTAGCTGAGCTATTGTATCCCCGCCCCCCATTAAGTAAGAAAACAGATTGTTCCTCTTGTTTTGTGTAAGCACATCCATAGATTCAAGTTTCAAATATTTACATCCTGATCCTCTGGGATCAGCACATTATTTTTCTGGATCAGGACATGTTTGCACAAAAATGTTTGTGCAGGGAGGTGGGGCCATGGGTCAAAGGCTGCCTGTGTAACAGCCTACACAGATTTGACACTGCATACCTGGTGTGTGTGTATGTGTGCTTGAGGGAGAACTGAATCAATGCACCAGTTCCTTCCCCCTTCCTTCCTTCCCATCAGTTCGTCAGTGCTGCCACTATGCATTAAAACGTTACTTGCATAAATGGATTTTTATTGCATCCTTTGTTTTCCAAGGCAACCGTTTTGTCCACAATCAGATTAGTGGTTCATGTGACCTGTCCATTTAGGACTGATTCAGGCATTTCCATGTCGCAGGGCTATTCTGTGTCTCCCTAAGGAAGAGAATGCACTGAGTGAATTCATGCTATAGGGGTCTAACTCATTCTGTCCCAGGATATCCTTGTGATAAGGAACCTTGGGTACCCTTTTACTTTGGACACCTGAGGTCTAGAATTCTAGGAATCACCTTGTTTTTGGTATTATAAGTTGCTCTAAACTCTTTTTAATATTGTGTTTTAATGTTGTGTATCCCACCCTGGGGACCTTAGGGTCAAGGGTGGGTTGTCAACCATTGTCATCATCATCATCACCACCACCAACATCTCCTGTTGCCTTTTTTTCATGGTATCGGAACCCTTGTGTATGGCCAGCCACATTTGCACATTACCTGTTCACAAAACGTGGCTTTCCCGGGGTTTCAGAATACTAACATAGATTAGCATTTATTGACTTTTCTCTGCAAAAGAAAGCTATGGGAGTCTATTTGTGTGCTGGCAAACTACTGATTTATGTTACTAAGCTTTAAACCCTAAATAAACTTTCTTGGAAGTATACATCCCATTGGAAGCTAGTGGGATTCAACCCCTACCCCCTGCAATAAATGTGCTTACGGTTGCTTGAATATTTATATTGTATTTATAGATCCACTAAGTACTTTGCAAGCAGTACCCTATTGCTAGGGTTTTGAGTCTCACAAATTACTTTGCATGTAACTTTAAAACCTCATGCTTTCGGCTGCCTATTGAACTGGGCTCATACTGCATTTTAAGTCTGAAATGCATTCAGCATGTTTCAGTTCAGATTGTCACTAACAATATAGCTATAAAGCATCTCAAATTGCCCTGAGGTTGTACTTACGCTTATTGTTGTTTAATGCATGTCTTCTCCCATTTCCTCCCCACTTCTTTCTGCAGTCCTTCAGGTTCACGGCCCCCAACGCCTAAAAGTGATTCCGAGTTAGTCAATAAATCTTTGGAAAGGGGCGTCCAGAAGAATAATCCACAAATGCATTGGGACTGGGGCGAACTACCTCAAGCCACAAAGGTATGAGGGGAAACCTCCTCCGGAATATTTTCAAATGCCTATGATAAAATAGCTTCAATCTTTCTTCTGTTTTTAGAGCTGACTGTCTTAAGGTAACAGAGAACTAACAAATATATTTTAAAGGAGGGTGAAGTCATAACACCAAAACAAAACTTATTGCTATGTGCACAATCGTTGCGATAGGATGATTTCCTGTTCTCCTCTGGTGTGGCTTCAAAAAGTTTTAAACTAACTGTAGTTTGTCATTGCATTCAATTTATATTTTATTCATTTGCAAAAATAAAAAAAATGTACCGCTGTTCATTAAAAAAAAAACCCCAGACATCAGAGCGGTTCACAGCAATAATATATAAAACCACACATTAAAAACCATATCGAAATTTAAAATTGGAGATCATCTAACTTTTACAGAAGGATAATCTCTTAATGGCCAGCAGGTGCTTGTTGGAATAGGTTAGTTTTAACATTTAAACAGGTGTTTAAATGTTAAAACAGAAGGTGCCTGCTGAACAGCTCATTCCATGGGCTTGGTTTCCTGTTGTGAGAAAAGTCTCTCCAACTCAAGGGACAGCCAACCAACCAAGGTGTTCTATGGGATGTGTGTGTGTGTGTGTGTGTGTGTGTGTGTGTAATTCCCAGGTGGTCTTCCATCCAGGCACTGCCCAGGCTCATGCCATCTTAGCTTCAGCAAGATGGCTGCATCATGTGCCCTCCGACTGTATGGGATAGCTTAGTCCGTAGAGCATGAGATTCTTTATCTCAGGGTTCATGGGTTCGAACCTCACACAGGGCAAAAAAAGACTCCTGCATTGCAGAGGGTTGGCCTAGATGACCCTCACGGTCCTTTCTAACTCTACAGTTCTGTGACTTTGTGACTGTGCCCTGGGAAAGTGGTTTCCATAGACACAACTATCAGACTGTTACCCTGATCAGAAAGTAAAGATTGGCTGCTTCTCCTTTTTTTGAGCATGTGCTCGGCTGCAAACCCAGGGTTGCTGCTGCTATTTATTATTACATGGCAGAGTTAGGACAATTACTTAGGTTTTGGTGTGAAAGCAGTGCTTACTTTTCACAGCATCTTGTTTCTTCTTAATCAGGGAAGCGTTGTTAAACAGGTGTGTATTCTCTTTCCAGTCTGCTATTCCACTCAGGCTAAAAGAATCCAGCTCTGCGGTGAATGTGAATCCTTCTGAAAGCACTCACTTTCGAGTCATTCAAAACGACGTTCTGGAGGATCTTCAGAGTAGTACTCCCTTACCTGTCATTGAACAGGCGGATGCTGTGCTGACTCTGGAAGAACCTGAGCTTCAAGAAGGAATACCTGAGATAAATGAGCCAAATGTAGACATGTTAGGGGCAGCTGCACCTCCACTCCCTGCAAATGAAGACGTCAAGCAGGCTATGGCTTGTTTGGCACAGCCAACAAGCAGCAAGACCGATTCTCCCTCCAGGAAAAAAGGTAAAAGCTGCTTGTACGATTGCTTCTGGTTTTGAACCCAGGCACTGGAAAAGTTTAAGCAGTTTCTTAAGAGAAAAACTAATTGTGCCTGGTTTTTGGTTTTTTTTAAAATGAGATAATGGGGATGAAAGGAAGAAAGAAGTTTGTCTTTTGTATAAGCAGCAGTGGAACTTAATTTGCAAAGAGGTTTTTGACTGAGAGACTGAGGAAGAAAGGGAAATGTCTTCCTTAGATGGATCCAAATTTGCAAGCCTAGAGGGGATAGGGAGCAAGGGGAGGGGGGGTGGAAGGGAGAAAAACTTCAGCTTTCTGAATTCCTCCCAGCGCCCCAAAACACACTGGCTGAATTGGCTGTTGCAGTGAAAGATGCACAAATTGTCCCGAGACACTGTCATATTCCCTTGAGCTTCTTTGGAGATTTTGTCAAAGGTTTTGTCACTCTGCCTCAAACAGATTCCAGAGTAGTTGTTAACTATGTGCAGTCAGTCAGAAGCAAGCCTTGTTAAATTTACCAGGGTTTGCTCCCAGACAAGCAGAGTTGGAAGCCAATTTGAAGGTGGTCCTGGGGTCATCACCTCCTCTCTACCTTGCTTCCCAAAACTGACCTTTTAATTTCACTTCGGGTGAAATTCAGCGGAAGTTCCAAAAATGGAAGAAGGGCAAGCTTTGGTTGCGGGAATGTTCCAGTAAGTTTCCATCACTTAAGTATCAGGTGCTAGAGGAGGAGTCCGTTGGTGGAAAGTCAGGCTCTGTACCTCAAAAGGGGGAAGTGAAGAGACTCGGCAGAAGAAATCTCTGCGGAAGAAGATCCCTTGTTTACCTTGTTGTGGGAACTCGAAGCATTTCACCTTCCAGACAGCTTTCTCAGGCTCTTATGTAGTCATGTGCTTGTGTAGCTGTGTCTTGCATAAGTTCATTTGTTTACAGCTGACTGTGAAAGCGAAAGATCTCTTGTTCTTACAAGCATGCAACAGGATACAGACAAGTTTCCTCTTTTTAAGCATTTGGTTTTTTTGGTTTTTTTGCTTTGCTCGCAAGCGGGATAGCTAGAATCCCAGCCCCCTTGAAATCAGTGGGAGGTTTCCTATTCTCTCTAGGTTTCTCCTCTATCTTCAAGCAGAAATACTTATGATTGCTTGCTCTCTAATGTTCTGGGTGGGTTCCCCCCCCCAATACTGGAAGCTATTTAGCTTTTATGTCATTGGGGCACACTTCCCCACTCCATAGCTGCATCCCCCCTCCCCCCCGGCTTCAAGAACCTAATAAAGAGCCCTTCTGGATCAGACCAAAGGCCCATATAGTCTGGCATCCTGTTCTCCAGTGGCCAAACTTAGGTGCTTATGGGATGGCCTCACATGGGACCAGAGAACAACAGCCCTCACGTTAATTCTAAGAACATTCTGAACCAGTTTGCATGTCAATCCAAGCCAAACTGTGACTGTGCAAATGACCAAATGGGTGCAGATGCAAAGCAAAGGCTGGGGTTTAGTGCTCTTTGTTTGAAATTACAAATTTTGCACCTGCCTTTGTTGTCTTCCTCTGCAGCATTGCCCTCTCATTCTATATTATGTTATATCAGGAAGGGATAACTCACATGCACCTTCCTAAACCAAGACAAAGCCCTATGGCCAAGGCAGCTTTGAAGGAGATGAGGGTCGTTAGTTGCTACCATGAGAATTAGATATTTTGCCAGTGGACCGACTGTACATCCTCAAACAAACAAACACACACCAGGCAAGCAGAATCTGTGGCTTCCTCTGGAGGAGAGAAATGAGTGTTCAAATTGAGTGCTTTCTATTAATACCGTGTTTTTCTTTGCCTTTCACAGATAAGCGTAGCCGACATCTTGGTGCTGACGGTGTTTATTTAGATGACATCACAGATATGGAGCCAGAGGTTGCTGCACTCTATTTTCCTAAAAAGTACGCATGGTATTAATTAGCACTTGTAATGCATCTGTCTGATTCAACAGACCACAATGGCGTGCATGGATCAAGAAGCAGTTTCCTAATGGTTGCAGCAATGTTAGTGGAGCTTATATCCTCCAGTAATGGTGAATGATTCATTCACTTTTCCCACAGTATTCTTCAGAAGTTGTTTAGGAAATCAGATTCTGCCAGATAATTTGTGCCCACCAGAAGTATTGGACTGTGACTTCCATTGTCCCTGATCATTGGCCATTCTTGCTGAAGCAGATGGAAATTGTAGTACTAAATGTATGGAGGGCACTAGGTTGAGAAAGAGCATACTAAACCCTACCTTGGGCTCACATACTCTCCCCTCCTTCTCTGATGTGGAGGAATTCAGAAGCTTTTGCTTTCATTTTAGATTGAGCACAGCTTATTATGATGGCCCAAGCTAGACAAAATGTGGTTAACTATAGTTTGTTGAAGCAAGCCACCTTCAAAGCATAGTTTATGAAGCTGGTTTGCTTTAAACTAACCATACCTAAGATTCCCCACAGTTTAGGGTTCAGATGACACAATTAGGACAGACCTGAACATGCCTTCTCACCTTCATGAGGAAGAAGTGAGAACTTTGGGGATGGTCAAAGGGTGGTGGTGGCAAAAGGTGGAGTGAGGATTCTGCCATTTTTTAAAAAATGAGGCCTTGGTGCCCCTTAAAATGATGGAATGCGATGATGCACCTTTATTCCCATGAACATTTTACAGGCAAAAATATAAATCGTGCAATTTAAGCAATCTTTGTGTTTGCTTTGTTTTGAATTTTGGTAGTCTTGAGGGGTGGAAAGAATTTACACATGCCACTGAGTCCCTACCCTGACCACTGCAAATCCTTCTAAAGCCCTCAGCCTTTTGAGATTTCACCAAGCAATTATCCACACACCTTTAAGCCTAACCGGTTCCTTCTGCCGCCAACACACTTAAAATGAAAGCTGAGGTTTTCAGGATATCCGCATGCAAAATTCCGTGCTTGAGCAGAGCTTTCACAGAGTTTGGTACGCTTGGTACCAACTTTGCTTAAAATCCTAAACCCTCTTATCTGGGAGAGAAAGCTCCGTTTATCTCAATGGGACTTACTTCTGAGTGTATATATATATATCCAGCTGCCCCATGTTTCTGTTTTTAATTGTTAATACCTTTTAAAAACAGCGAACAGAAGTAACTGAAATATAAATAGAAGTAGTAATCATGAAGGCAACTGTGCATAAAGAAACATATTTATCACACCTTCAAATTAACCTCTCCAGCCATCAAGGCTAGAAATGTAGTTTGGTTTTTTTTTATAAAAGAGTGCTGATAGCTGATGGTTCACAGTAAGAGTCTCAGGGGTGCAGTAGACAGCTTGTGTCTGAGTCCTGATAAGTGGGAACAAGCCTGGAAGCAATGTAAAAAAAAAACCCAAACACAATTCTGTCAATCAAGTACATTTTTATGAAGTTCCTGTGCTCGGAACCTTTAACCATCAGGCGAGTTTGGGGAGCCTGTTGGGCTCCAGCTCCCATTATCCCTGACCATTAGGCCGTGCTGTCTGTGGCTTAGGGAAGCTGCAGACCAACAAATGTCTTCAGGCCACAGGTGTCCCATACTGGCTGTGAGAGATAACTTAGTGCACAGGCCAATGCAATGCCGGCACCAAGGGAGTACGATTCAAGTTTGGGCATGTAAGAGCTTGTATGGATGTTGGAGACAGCTAAGCCAGTCTTCTCTTCTCAGTGACGAACATGCCGCCCAGTCGAAGGTTGTGAGTGAAAATGCGCCCCGCTCAGCGAACCAGTCCCCTCAGACAGTCGGAAGCTCAGGTATCGATAGCGGCATCGAGAGCACCTCAGATGGAATAAGGGACCTGCCGTCCATTGCTATCTCACTTTGCGGGGGACTTAGTGAGAACAAAGAAATATCTAAAGGTATGCAGAGAGCTTCTGTGCTTCTATTTATTATACTACCTCTTCGTTTTAGTACTCGGCTCCTCTTCTGGAAAACTAAACAGTGACCTCTTGTGGGTGTTGATGGAACATTTGGCTGCGAACCCACTGAACTTTGAATCAACACAGATTCCACCCCCCCCCCCTTCAAAGAATTCTGGGCATTGTTGTTTGACCCTCACGCTGTTCCCAGAAACCCTTAGTAAACTACAATGCCCGGAATTCTTTGAGGGAAAGGATGCTCCTTGAAGGCGTACGCAGCCACTACATCACAATGAATATTTGTTCTGCAGTTAGGAACATAGGAACTTGCCTTGCACCGAGTCAGGCCATTGTCTACACCAGCGTTTTCCAAACTTGAGTCTCTAGCTGTTTTTGGACTACAACTCCCATCATCCCTAGCTAGCAAGACCAGTGTTCACGGGTGATGGGAACTGTAGTCCAAAAAAGCGGCTAGAGACCCAAGTTTGGGAAAAGCTGGTCTACCCTAAAGGGACACGGGTGGCGCTGGGACGCGGGTGGCGCTGTGGGTTAAACCACAGAGCCTAGGACTTGCCGATCAGAAGGTCGGCGGTTCGAATCCCTGCAACGGGGTGAGATCCCGCTGCTTGGTCCCTGCTCCTGCCAACCTAGCAGTTCGAAAGCACGTCAAAGTGCAAGTAGATAAATAGGTACCACTCCGGCTCTGGTTCACCAGAAGCGGCTTAGTCATGCTGGCCACATGACCCGGAAGCTGTACGCCGGCTCCCTCGGCCAATAAAGTGAGATGAGCGCCGCAACCCCAGAGTCGGTCACGACTGGACCTAATGGTCAGGGGTCCCTTTACCTTTACCTTTTACCTAAATGGCAGCGGTCCGCCAGACCAAGAAACATTCCCAGCCTTGCCTGGATATGCCAAGGATTGAATTTGGGAGTTTCTGTATGCAAAGCAGATTCTCTACCGCTGAGCTATGTATGGCCCTTCCCAATTCAGGTCAAACTATTTACACTGTCCCCTCCCCCCTGCACTCAACCCTTTGGGAATCAGCAAAATGCACGCCACTTTATATCACTTGCCGTATTCGGCATTTGTACTGCCTTTAAAAGTGCCTTTTGTACCTACACTTTGAGGGGCATGGCTGCAAAAGGCACAGTGTGTTTCCTAACCATGTCTGAAGAGTGCTAAGCTTGGGTGCATAGCTGTCTTCTGCTGCAGGCCAGCAAGCCCAGTTTTCCTTGAAACCCAATCTTGGACCGGGCATTGTGCATCATATGTCCTGCACGGTGAATGCACCTCTGCAGCAGTGTGACTTCTCAGACCATATACATCTGTATGCACTCTTCCTTCCCAAGAGGATTTGCACTTTTTAATTGCCTATCCTGTGTCCCAGTCAGCACAACTGGTGGTCGGGGATGATGATAGGAGTCCAACAACATCTGGAGCGAAGGCAGTTATTTTTTATTATTATTATTATTATTATTATTATTATTATTATTATTATTATCCTTGCCCTGGTGGATTGATAAATGTTTTGGTTTTCCTTCCTACTGATGCTACAGAAATGTGCTTGTCTGTCGCCTGGCAGGCTGCAACCCTCTGCTTCGGAGCTACGCTTGGCTCCAGGGATGGGATAACAACACCAACAACAACAATAACAATTATTATTATTATTATTATTATTATTTATTATTTGTACCCCACCCATCTGGCTGGGTTTCCTCAGCCACTCTGGGCGGCTTCCAAGGAAGATTAAAAATACATTAAAATGTCACACATTAAAACTTCCCTAAACTGGGCTGCCTTCAGATGTCTTCTAAATGTCAGGTAGTTGTTTATCTCTTTGACATCTGATGGGAGGGTGTTCCTCAGGGCGGGCGCCACTACCGAGAAGGCCCTCTGCCTGGTTCCCTGTAGCTTTGCTTCTCTCAGTGAGGGAATCTCCAGAAGGCCCTCGGCACTGGATGTTGCTGGTTGGGTGGACCTGTCTTAAGGGGTGCAGTTATCCTTCTTTGGTCCCCTTATTGTCTGCTGTTCAAGCAGTAGTGACGGGGCCAACTCTGCCATATATCCCATCACTACCTGCGTCTCATGAATTCTTTTCTCCCCCTCCCTCCTCTCCTGACAGAAAAGTTCTTAGAACAAGAAGTAAGTTATCAGCAGTTTGTGGACAATCCTGCTATTATCGATGACCCTAACCTTGTGGTGAAGATTGGAAGCAAGTAAGTATAACTCAGGAAAGTTATAGAAATAATGATAATTAAAACAACAACAACAGATGAGAGTATTTGAAGCTATTTCCATAGCTCATAAAATCGTAGAGTTTTGGAAGGGAGCCCAAGGATCATCCGGTCCAGCCCCCTGTATTGCAGCTGTCCCATAGGGGGATTGAACCTGCAACCTTGGTGTTATCAGTGTCATGCTCTAACCAACTGAGCTGTGGCCATACAGGAGCTTCTCCAGAGCAGTGAATCAGCACATTATCCACCTTGCTCTCAGTCTTACAGATCAGTCCCAGTGCAGATGTAACTCAGTGCCACTGCACTAACCTGATGGCATGATGATGATGATGATGTTTGTACCCTACTTATCTGACTAGGTTTCCCCAGCCGCTCTGCGTGGCTTTTAACATATATAATAACACAATAAAACATTCAACATTATGAAAAAAACTTCCCTGTAAAGGGCTGCCTTCAGACGTATTCTAAAAGCTGTATAGTTACTTAACTCCTTGACATCTGAGAAGTTGTGCCTTGAGGCATGTTGTTATGTACTGAGTTGAATTGGATCCAGAAGGCAGCAGTCTGATTGGTCCTAGAACAATAGGGTCCAGAATGCAGCAGTCTGATTGGTCCACAGGAGCCACCCAATCCAGCTCCAGGTGGAAGTGAATCCGCAACCTGATTGGCCTACAGGTGAATCCCGGAATTAGCCAATCACGTGGGGCCAATTGTGTAAATAATGTATATAAAGCAGACATTCTGGGGGAACTTCCATTCCTCCTCACTACTATGAGCTGAATAAAGAGCATGAAATCTATTCTCGACTCCGAGTATATTTCACATGTGTTGATATTTGGCAGATAGTTTCAATAATGGTGCATCAAATTGTTTTTGACCTAGGTACTACAACTGGACTACAGCAGCTCCTCTTCTGCTAGCGATGCAAGCATTCCAGAAACCTTTGCCAAAGGTGAGATTGACCCTGGAAGCCTTTTGGGGAAAAGAAATACAGGCCACCATGCCCAATGATATAGCAAAAAAATCAGAGGGAGGAGCCCATAGGCACTTGGACAGTGCTGGCTACCATCCATGAATCATGCTTTTACTTGTCTGTGCTTCCCAAGCCTCAACACACTTTGGGGCAATATGGTCCTGCTTCTTTCTTTTTCTCCTAGTCTTCCTATTCCTGGGACTGGGATGGGAGAAGAGTTTCTGTCTTAAGCTGTGTATGTTCTGATTGAGAAACTTTAAGAATGCTTGCAAGAGAGTTGTAATTTCAGTTATGTGTGCCAACTCCCCCCAGCTCATGTGGTCAGCTTCATGCATATCATTGGTTATATTGCCTTGGTCACTGTTGGGGCTACGAACCAACATTTTCTAGACTTTGGCTGAGGATGCGCCTGTGATTTCATGAATCTGACTTGTATTCAAACAGCAAACCTTTAGGAACGAACAGTTCATCTCGACAATTGAACTTCTTTTTGCAGGCAGGCAAGCTTGATTAATGCTCATTTGTTGTATTGATTTCAGTGGCTCTTGAGAACTGTGTGCTAAGGCTGAACTTTAAGAGTTGGGCTGTAAGCCTTCCTTTGATCCCAATGTCCTCTGCTGGAGGACAGAAAGATTCGAGTATAGCATCTCTCGTGCAAAATAGCTATTAAAGAGTAACTCCAACTTGAAAGTCCAATGCTGGATACATTTATATTTAGCTACGGACCTCTCTGCTTGTTGACAGCCGAACCAGAGCTGTTGTAGTTTGATATTAACCTGCAGCTAGGCCGAAACAACTCTTGATCTGTTTAGCATTTGATGAACTGATGGGACTCAGTGGCACACATCTCTCTTGCCTCTCAAGGGATGACAGAGACACACTTTTTAGAAATATCCACAGATAGATCAATAAAATTCAGATCTATCAATTCTAGCAAAGGGTTCAGGGTGCTACAGTGCTGTAGCCAAAACAGGTCTTAAAGAAATCATAGACCTTTGGCTGGAACTATATGTAGCTACCTGCTGTCACCAGTGCTGATTTAGGATTATTTGGAACCATGTCTGAATCATTTTTTGGAGCATTCTTTTTGCCACATTCTCTCCTGCGCCATTGCTCACACAGGTCCAGTTCACACATGCATGTAAATAACTCTGAGGCACTTTTGTTGTTGTAAGCTTTGGCATCAGAATATGAAAATACTCTCTTGGAAGGCATTAGCATTTGAGGCAATGTAAGGGGACGCGGGTGGTGCTGTGGGTTAAACCACAGAGCCTAGGACTTGCCGATCAGAAGGTCGGCAGTTTGAATCCCTGCGATGGGGTGAGCTCCCGTTGCTCAGTCCCTGCTCCTGCCAACCTAGCAGTTTGAAAGCATGTCAGAGTGCAAGGAGATAAATAGGTACTGCTCCAGCGGGAAGGTAAACGGCATTTCCGTGCGCTGCTCTGGTTCACCAGAAGTGGCTTAGTCATGCTGGCCACATGACCCGGAAGCTGTATGCCGGCTCCCTCGGCCAATAAAGCGAGATGAGCGCCGCAACCCCAGAGTCGGTCACGACTGGACCTAATGGTCAGGGGTCCCTTTACCTTTACCTTTAAGGGGACCTGAAAGTTCTCTCCCCCCCCGCCGGGTTGCTTTATCTGTAATGGCCCATTTGTGCATGCATATAATTGCTTTATGGTTGCAGTCACCAAGTAGCAAATCCTCCTGTGTGGATCAGCACAGATATTCTTTTTTTCAGAATTTATCCAAGTGAATTTGAATAGGTTAGGCTTGCTTTAATTGCTGTCAATCCTGACATAAGGCCACGTGGAAAGAATATGCACTGAACTTGCATATTTGTTTGTAGGATAAAACAAATTCTGCACTTAGGAATTTTTTTTGCTGTCCAACATGTTAAGGAAATAAACTTCCTCACCTTCATCAAGAAGCAACTAGTGGCTATTTTGGTGCTGAATGTTTTATTATATTATACCTCTTATCCTATACTCTCCTGAATAGCTTTCAAGAGACACTAAACCAACCATCCTGCTTAGTTTCATTATTATTTACTGGGGACAGCTAACCATCTTGCCTACCCGTGTTTCTTACCAGCAGAAACCTTTTATGATTTTTACTAAACAGCTGTGAAGTAGAGACTTCTTTCTCCCCACTCTCCTAAACATTATACTAATGGCTTATTATGCTTTTGTTTCATTTTGTTTCGTTCCCATTTTCTCTTCTTCTTTTTTTAAATTTTGTAAGTGTTCTTGTTTAAGTTACTTCCGTACAGTTCTGGATACCATTAGGTTTTGCTTTGACAAGATTTGTGGTCCACAGATAGTATGTTTCCTTTTACTCTCTTTGCTTGAGTTTTAAATTGCGTGTGGTTTGTCGTTTTTTTCTATATAAAATATATATTTTCGTTTGCATGAGTTAGATTACTTTTTGTTCTGTTCCATTATTTATGTTACCATCCATTTATCACAGGCCACTGTGGATTCTATAATGAGGGATAAGATGCCAAAAAAAGGTGGAAGATGGTGGTTTTCATGGCGAGGGAGGAATAGCTCTATCAAAGAGGTAAGTTCGGAAACTAGATGGACCGAATTTCCCCCCAGGTTAGAAAACCATATATATGGGGCTGTGTGTAATGGCTGATAACCAAAAGTTTGTATTTTTGACTTTGTTCCTAAGCAACCCAAATTTAGCAGAAAGAAGAGTTGAATTCTGTAACCTGCAAACTTCATGAAGAATTTGTGGGGCGGAGCGCTGCGCTAATCCCGAAGCTTGGGGCGTGCGGAGCTCAGCGCGCACCAAGCTTCTGGGTGCAGGCAAGCTCTCCGCTAGCCCTGGGAGAGCTGGGTCTCCCACGGCTAGCGGATAGCTTCCTGAAGCCTGGAGAGCTCTCCAGGCTTCAGCGAAAGCCTGCATTCGCCCCATAGGACGCACACACATTTCCCCTTCATTTTTGGAGGGGAAAAGGTGCGTCTTATAGGGCGAAAAATACGGTACTTCTGTTGAAATCTACAATTCAATACAATGAATAGTATATATTATTTTTTCAAATGTACAGCCGGTTACGTCTTGTGTGTTTATTGAATATGTTTCACGTCACCAGAGATTTGTTGTTGTTTTGCGCACTTACCAGGGCAGGGCAGAGTGAGGTTGGGACTGCACAGCCAAACTCTTGTGGCGCTGGATTGGCCCTGCTGGTGTGCCTCTGCACCTCCAACCTTGTTCCTGCCTCATCTTGGTAAGCAGTGGTGATGCTGCTGCTGTCAGGGAGCAATGCCACGACCCAACCCGCCATGCTGTCTGCTCCTGCGTTTTGAGTACTGCAAACATGCAATTCACTGAGATCAGCAGGATAGAACAGAGCAGGCTCAGCGATAAGAGTAGGCCTTGCTGTTGGTTCACCCTTGATGTTCCTCCTATCTGCTTGGAAGTCAGGGAGGTGGTGAGCTGCAGTTTCCCCTCTTCCATGCACCTGGGTGGTTCTACCGTAACTGCGTGTGTAATTTTCAGAGCCGGCTCTGTTCTTCACCTTCTTAACGTTTCGCCTACAGGAAACGAAGCCTGTGCCAGGTCTGAGTGGAAAAGAAGAGTTGAACATTCAAGACAGGTATCAAATTGTTTCTGTCCTGCTTTTCAACTTAGAAGTTTTGCTTCATTTGCCTTCTCATTAATAGCAGCAACTTACTACATTTATATGGCCTATATGCATTTGCTCAGACAGTCCTGTGAGGTAAGGTAGGCCCCATGAATTTCGAAGCTGAGTCGGGGTGTGGGTCTAGTTCTCCCATGTTTGTGTGTGTGTGAGAAATGACCAATAAGAGCTGATGTGCAGATTCCGAATAATAATAATAAACATGATACCTTACTTCTGTTTTAACTGTACCACTTCAGATTGCAGGTGTGAATGTGAAGGAAAATTGCACCAGGAAGAGGGGTCAGGGCTAGAATTTCTGACCCCAGTGTGCTTTCTTTCTTTCTTTCTTTGGAGTTTTTCTTCATGGGAGAGACATTAGCTTCCAACATATCACACTGTTATTCTGAATGTGTAGGTACAACTGTGTGTGTGTTTATTTGTGTGCATGATTGGCAGGATGTGTGACAATTCTTTTATTTAAGGAACCCTCCTCAAGTCAATATTATGAATATGATGGCGTGCCACTGGGGTAGGGTGACTGGAGAGACCTGGTTTTAAATCCCTGCTCAACACTGGGGGGCCTCAGGCCTCTCCCTCTCCCTCTCTTTCTCTCTCTCTCTGCCTAGTCTACCCCACAGGGTCGTTGTGAAGATAAAACAGAGAGGAGGAGAATAATAACCCTGAATGTTGCCCTGAACTCTTTGGAGGGAGGAAGGTGTACAATTGTAATAAACAAAATAAAAAGTAATAAATGTTTATACACACACACACACACACACATATATATATATATAATGTGACTGTGTATGATGTTTCAGAATCAAAGACGAGTCTTCTTCAAGTGATGAAGACCCTAGAGCTTCAAGTCAACCCTTTGCATCATCAGCAAACCCTGGTCATCTTCCATTATTGTCTGGAGTGGGTTACAAAAAGACCCTTCGACTCAGTTCAGAACAGCTTGTAAGTTACGTTCACATCAACTTTTCACCCCACCTATAGAAATTAAGACACTGGGTGAAGGACAATGAATCTGTTTTTGAGTGTTGTTAAAGAAAGTTTCCCTTAATGAAGTGGTTGATATAAGAGAACAAGCGGTACCATAAAAGGAAGGTGTAACCCAACCAGTATATTGACTGACGTTTAAAATTAATAAGAAGATTGGTATTTTTATTTTTTAAAAAACAAAATTTTCATACTGCTTAATTGTGAAAACCTCTAAGTGGTTTACATAGCAGCTTGCTGTTGTTGAGCCTGGTTTTTTATTTTTTTGTTTTACCTGCTTTGCACATTCCAGGCCATTGGCTATACAGCAGAATTCCTTATTACCCTGACTGTAATTCTGCTTCCTTGTTCAGTAATGCAAGAGAAGGGACTTAAATGTGTGTGACTAAAGCGATTTACTGCCAGACCTTTAAGAACTGTGCTTTAATAATATTCCGAGCCATCTGGTTTGTCGACGCGCAAATCTTGAAATCCGGGTTTTGGTTTTGTTTGTGCTTTTTTTCAACAGAAAAGCCTGAATCTTAAGAATGGCCCCAACGATGTGATTTTCAGTGTTACAACACAGTACCAAGGGACGTGCCGCTGTGAAGGCACCATCTACTTGTGGAACTGGGATGACAAGGTCATTATTTCTGACATTGATGGCACAATTACGAGGTGAGCGCTTTGCAAGGCACACAGTATGCCAAGTTCCCCTTCAGGGAAAACTGTTTTGCCTGCTTCATCAGAAAGTTCGAAATAGCAGCGTGGAAAATAATGGGAGACCCTTGCAATGCTCTCTTTGCACTGGGGCCATTTTTTAAAACTGTTGAATTCAAGTTGCCCAAAAGGAGAGTTCAGCTAAACAGGAGGAAGAACTTTCTGGCAATAAGAGCTGCTTGATAGTGGAACTAACTCCCCTGGAGAGCAGTAGACTCTCTTTTGTTGGAGGTTTATAAGCAGAGGTTGGATGGCCATCTATCATGGATGCTTTAGTTGAGATTCCTGCATTGCTTAGGGTGGGACTAAGCAATGACTCTCAGGGTCCCTTCCAATTCCAGGACTCTTGCCCATTCTTGGTGGCCCAGTCCAAGCTGATATGCCATGCCAAGCTGATGACTGGACCAATCTCCCATCTGTTTCCATCACATGACGCAATAGCAACACTCAAAAGTCATAATGCCAATCCGATAGAGAGGCATAAACCTTTATGCTTTCTTGTGTTTCTGGTTGGTGCTTGTGAACTATGGGAGATATGGAGGCTGATATAGACTGCACATTGCAGTGAGCCCTAGGTAGCAGTTTCCTTTGTTGCTAATTGCTTCTCCATTCTCTGATTTTGCTTTGCTTGTTTTTAAATGTTTAATATTCATTTTAAAATGTTCTGCTTTTGTTTTCTTATTGAGTTAATCTTATGCCCATCTCATCTAATTTTAAGACACACAGATTTTTGTAGGCAAGAATCAGTAATAATGCTGGTGATGCAAGTTGATCCATAGGAGAGCCATTTCAGTATAGTGGTTAGTGTGTTGGATTAGTTGGACCTGGGAGATGAGGGTGCAAATCCCCATTCATCCATGAAGCTCACTGGGTGACCTTGGGCTAGCGACTGTTTCTGAGCCTAATCTGTCTCACAAGATTGTTGTGACGATAAAATGGGGAGGGGGAGATGTATGTATCCTACATGGAGCTCCTTGGAGTAAACATGGAACAGAAATGAAATAATGATGATGATAATAATAATAATTAATAAAGTGTTTGTGTTGATTCCAATGCTACTCTAAAGTCAAAGAGGGATAAAATGGTTTTCTCTTTTAAGAGTTCTTTGAAAAAGATCACAGAAGAATTTACACCGAAAGGCAAGACTGAAACAGTGTTAATAAGTAACAAATAATAATTTCTTCTAGTCTATTCAATCAATCAATCAATCCTCTCTTTTTCCAGGTCAGATACTTTAGGTCATATTTTGCCCACTCTTGGCAAAGATTGGACGCATCAAGGGATTGCCAAATTGTACCATAAAGTGAGCCAGTGAGTATTATTGGGTTGTACAGTCATACCTTGCTTCACATTGCGGTTTTTTAAATCTAGAATTTATATAAACAGCATCATCAAAAAGCTGCCCAAAGCGGAGTATGAATAGAAAACACTGCTAAAAACCATAAATGAAATGAAAATAGCCGTCCATAAAGCCATCATAATTAAAACCGAAGATAACATCTATAAAACTTTAAATAACAAATATAGGTGACTGAATCATGTGTCTGGAAAGGCTTGCTGAAACATAAAGGTTTTCGGTAGGTGTCTAAAATGAAACAGTGCGAGTGTGTATGCGAGGGGCGGGGGTGCTCATCTGCCCCTTACAAAATCCCTCCCATTTTCTGTTCTTGTATTCAGGGAGCTGATTTCACTCTGCTTATCAGATCAGTCAATTCCTCACTTGACTTTCAGTCAGTTCCCTCTTTGGTGGTGGTTCGTAGGTCTAGTCTGCTGCAACGTCCTATCATCCTTTGACTTTCAGAGTCATTTTCTCCCTCAGACACATGACATGCATTGAACCTTGCTTTGGCTCCCCAAGTCCTATCCTTCCCCTGTATCTGCGCCACCTCACAAAGCTAAATCATTGGCAATTTGCTGCCAATGAACGGTGCCCTAAAACCTGCTGCTTGAGGCAGTTGTTCACCTGGCCCAATGACAGAGCCATCTCTGTCCCCTTGTTCCATGCAGAGTTTTTATGGAAATCAGTTGTGCTAAACACCGTCATCTTGGAACATAGGACTGCAGCCTTAGTGGCTCTGAATGCTTATATCTTATGGCTGGACCGGTGTAATGGAAGGAAATGCTATATTCCATAATACAATTTATCAAATACATGGGAGATATTAAAAGGCAATATTAGCTTACATGCTTAAAGTTGATTCTGGATAGTGTGTTTCTGATGACGATGGCAACTGTTTTCTTTTTTTGAAACAGAAATGGGTATAAGTTCCTATACTGTTCTGCACGTGCGATAGGAATGGCAGATATGACCCGAGGATACTTGCACTGGGTTAACGAGCGAGGAACGGTGCTGCCTCAAGGTCCTGTATTGCTGAGTCCCAGCAGCTTGTTCTCAGCTTTCCACAGGTAAGAGAACACGGAATCTTGCCATTCTATAAATTTCACTGGGTTGAGGGTTGCCTGGCTTGCTAGTTGTTGGGGTTGCTTATTTGTCCGAAATATTTTCTGAGCTTCAGCTGTAAGGATCCCACATCTTTATTGCAAGATGAGACTTGAGTGGGCCAAACCATATCTGCTAGTTATTTATAAGGGTGTGCTCAAAATGGATTTTGTGGTTGCGTCAATGATGCTATTTCCTTAGAATGCAGAGGCTTGCATAAAATGCACAAAAACGGTTTACACGTGTGACATAGGGTTATTTTCGGTCCTTGATCACAGTCCAACAGAGTACAATTAAATCCTTTAATGTGAGTGGGTAAATTAGGCACATGCTTAACTCTTTTTAAGTTAAATCAATCAGACTAAAGAGGTGAACACTGGCCATTTTATTTGCGCCTCATCTTTAACCACGTCACTTAGGTTTGGAAGCTTCCATTTTTTAAAACAAGGAACCATGAGAATCTTTACAATTCTTTTTGGGGGAATCTGAAGTTCAGTCAGTTAAAATGTTGTGTTTAGCCTGAGAAAAATGACCGTGTTGCATTGATAAAGCACTTCTAAAACACTTCTGTTTTTGTGCGTGATGGTTTATTTCAGGGAAGTAATAGAGAAGAAGCCAGAGAAGTTTAAAGTTCAGTGCCTAACGGACATCAAAAACTTGTTTCATCCCAACACAGAACCGTTTTACGCTGCTTTTGGCAATAGGCCTGCTGTAAGTACCTTTGTGATATTATTATTTTATGAGGACTCGTCCAAAGAGGAGCTTCTGCAGATAATGTTTGGGGTTCATGCTGTAGTTTCAAGCTACTTGCAATAACATGTTACTTGTATGTGGTTTTGTGAAACATTTTTTCAATCCATATCAATTGGTCAAGTGGAGAGGAATGTGGAGATCTGCACAAACGTCTTATGGGATTGGCAGAAATGTCTTGTGGTTTGTGGGTCTTGACTTTCCTGGTTATCCTCAGTCATCAGATGGATACTCCCACCAATCTGCATCACATTCATGCACATGAGGATTTAGCAAGCGCATGACTTGATGCTTCTCTGTTTTATCCTCACAACAACCCTGTGAAGTAAAACACATATTATAAGCATTTTAGAAAGCTAAACTGTTTTCAATTTATACTGAGGGGAAACCTATCTTTTGTGTTTGTTGCCCCCCCCCAGGATGTGTATTCATACAAGCAAGTGGGAGTTTCACTAAACAGAATATTCACTGTTAATCCTAAAGGAGAGCTAATTCAAGAGCATGCAAAGACCAACATCTCATCGTGAGTATCAGTCCACTTGCTCCTAATGTGGGGTGGAGTTCTCTTTCTCTAATCCCTTTGATGCTGGGTGTTACAGTAGAAATTAACTGGACTGCCTTGAAATCACAGAATGGCAGAGTTAAGAGGGACCACGAGGGTCATCTAGTTCAGATTGTGATATTATCAAGATTTACTTCAGTTACGTGCTAGGTAATCACTCTGTGATTCAGTAGTTAAAAATGAGAAAGTCCCAGTTTTCTTTATTTGAACAAAAAAGCTTGTTTTTCAGCACATTTGCAGCTGTGCCGTTGCATTTAAGCTCCAAGGCAATCCTGCGTTAGCTCAGCAACGATTCAGCAAATCGTACTGTCACACGTCAGATTCAGAAACAGGATATTTGACTCTGTGGGTCTGTTGTAATTTCCTTAATTATTCTGTCTTAAAATGTGGATAAAATAGCTGTATTAATGCAGCCCGTGATATCAGCATATCCAATTTATTAGGCAGTGGTAATAATAAACTTTTTCTTTTTCTGTTTGTCCAGGTACGTGAGGCTCTGCGAAGTGGTAGATCACGTATTTCCCCTGTTGAAAAGAAGCCATTCTTCAGACTTCCCCTGTTCTGACACCTACAGTCAGTTCACATATTGGAGGGATCCACTGCCACCTTTTGAAAACCAGGAGATGCATCCTCATGTGCCATAATAATCGGCTTCTGAACCTTCTCGGCAGCAGTTTGAACAGTCTTCGGTGATGCACCTGGATTTTGCCATTTGCAGTTCACCCGGAGTTTGGGATGTAGTGAACATTTTGTTTAAATGTGCAGTTCAGAAATTTCTTTTTTTCTTTTTGTCCTGTAAAGTAACATTTCTGAATGTCACGCTCCCAGATCTCCTGCAGCAGCAGGCTCAAGATACATGCCATATAGTCTTATTACAGAAGGCATTTCTGAGTGCCTTGATGATGATGATGGGATTTCTAGAAAGCAATGGGTCTTCATTTTTCCCATGCCTGCTTTTTTTGTGGGATGTGGTTCCAGTCTGAGGCATCACTTGGGGTCTTCCGGCCCCTAGTTTTCAGGTAGAGAAGGAAGACAGAACTCGAAACCTCTGAGCGGAAATGCCTGCTTTTACTAGAACCGCCACCCTTTGATCCACAAAGTATGATACGATTTATTGAACTAAAGTCAATTGGTCTACACACTCTACAGCTAGTCTATGTAGCACACAGCTATCGTCACTATTGCTGTACTAGCTTGAACTGGCTGAGTGTGTGGCTCCCAGTTCTATAATGCCAAACTGGATTTTAAACCTGAGGGTTGTTGCTTTTTGTTTTTAAAAAAGCTCTTGTGTGTTTGCATAAGAAACATTGCGGTGCAGCTCCCTTAAAATGAACAAAAGAAGGGGGTTAAGCAGCATTGAGTGCTGCCTGACGTGTGTGCATGTTGTTGGCTAATCTGGATCAAGGCTATAATTTACAGTAAGAAAAGGATTGGGACTGGAGCTGCTGTTCTTAATTCACATCAAATTGTGCCTGAATTAAGGAGTAATTGGACATGCTGGTTGTTTTGCATTACAATACCCTTCAGGTCATTTCATACGCTACAATTGCTCAGATATCTTATGCACCCTTGAGCCAGCTGGGCATGACATACGTGCCTCTAAAACCGAGAGTAGACCCATTGAAATCAATGGTCTTAGAGGTTAGTCATGACTTTGTTGTTTGCCAATCAGTGTGTTTCCCAGCAAAATATACGGAGGTCTTTCCAGGTTGCTGCTTCTGTGTGTGTTCGCCACGAAAACGGGTTCCATTGGAATGCGTATGTACCATTCTCGGCAGGTACACGGTACATTGGTTTCCGTCCATAACTGCGATAAAGAAAAAAGCATTTTCAGAAGTGGCCTTTATTTGCTTGATAAACTTCAAGGGAGCTGTGTTGCTGGGCCAACACTTTTTTTTTCCATTTGCACTATCTGTAGCTGTGATTGATGTGCACTCCTTTGCTGAATGGGGAAGGAGATGGATTTCTCTTGCTATGGTTCTCTCCCCACAACGTTAATATAATTTGAGTGCCATATAATATTACCAGCTGTCACTGGGAGTTTTCTTTTTATGTTTCAATCTTAGGTTTTTTTCTTCTCTGCATGATTGCAATAGGTCCTGGTCCTTTTTTTTTGGTAGCTGATGGCATTTGACTGCCTTGAGATTTAATGGTATGCATTACAAGCGAATGTTCCAGGTAATTTTTATTTTATTTTTCAGAGAAGCTGCTTTTTATAAGTTGCCTGCCTTCGTTAAAAACACAGGCTTCCACTTGCCATATGCCAAATAATACTAAAGCAAAACAACAAAAAGAATGTTTTTTTTTTTAAAAAAAGTTGCATTGTTGTAAATGATATTTATTTAATCAGGTCATTGGCCTGATTTAGCAGGCTCTTCTTGTGTCCTTAGGGGGTATTATCTGATGAAAGGCCAGGCGTGATGGTGCCAGATCTGTGGGTTGCTCTCAGATCTCTTTAAATTCAGGGTTTGGGGGGCAAATTGCAGGCAAAAGAGCATTGCTGAATTCTTCCCCCGATTGTGCTTCCCCTCTGAAGCTGGTTTTCCCCAGCCATTTTTCTCCTGCTGTCCTTAGAGAGCAGAAGTACTGTAACCTGTTGCTGCCACCAGGAGAAAAGCAACTGGGAAGCAGCCATTTTGGAAGCCACCTTCAGATACACCCCGTCCGCAGTTTCTTTTTAATTCAGCAGGTTCTCCATTCATTCGGACAGGTTGTACGGCCATAATATGTACAAAGAGCCTGAAATTGTCATCTCTGTATTCTGCCTTTTAAAAAAAAAAATGTATTTCATGATTACAGTTTTAATAGGTCAACAGTAAAGAAAATGGTTTCTGTTGAGTCATAATGATTAAGTCACATTATTTTCTTCCTTTAGCATGTGCCCTTTTTTACATGTACTGCGTTATAGGGGGGTATGGTACCAGTAGTACCACTGGTGAGTTCGGGGCTTCGCCTGCTTGTGAAGAGAGGCTCTGGCAGACTGAGCGGACAAGACCAATTGTGGGTCCATTGGTCAAAACTGTGGTTTCTGCCTCTACTTCAGAGGGAAGTGAGGGGCAGATGGGTCTCATTAACCTGGGAAGATAGCTCATCTAGGAGAAGGAAAAAACTGGTCCTAAACCTCCATTGCCCTTGTGGGATAACTAAGAAGTACACCCTACACAAATCTGGAGTGGAGTCCCTAAGATTGCTCTGCTTTCCTTTGGACTACATCAGTGAGGTAGAAGGGGGGGTCCTGGCAGCCCAGGACTTTCTTACTCACTGCCCAGGCTTGGAAGTCAATCTGGTGCTGCTAATGTAACAATTTGACCACCCCTGGAGAGGCACACCATGGTCTCTCTCGAGGCAGTCGGATGCCAACTTTCAATGGAACTTAAGTTCACCAGGATGGGTAACCTGTTCCGCTGGATACAATGACGTTAGGCTGCAGTTCTGTACCCTCTACCCTGGGAATAGGTCCTCCTGAAGCCAGTGGGGCTTACTTCTGAGTAGATATGTATACGGTTGTGTTGTTTGTTCCAGCTAACTTTAGCTGGAATTGGCTCCAAATGCTGCAATCCAGCACACAGTTAAATACATATAAATACAGTGGACGCTCGGGTTGTGAACGTGATCCATGCGGGATGCACGTTTGCAACCTGCAGCATCCGCAACCTGCAGCGCTGCGTCTGCGCATGTGCGGGTTGCAATTCGGTGTTTCTGCGCAAAGCGCGATTGCCGAAACCCGGAAGTAACCTGTTCCGGTACTTCCAGGTTTCGGTGGTCCGTAACCTGAAAAAACGCATCCTGAAGTGTCTGTAACCTGAGGTATGACTGTATATATAAATAAATATGCCTCACTCTGTACTGGATTGCGGCCCTAGTCTCTCTTCTTCCTATCAGTGGTACTTTTGCTATTGATAGTGAAAACGAAATTGGCACCAGAGAGAAATTAGCATTGTGAAACTGCTCTTTTACAGTTCCCACTAGAAACTCAGTGGAGTGACTTCACTTTGGCTTCCTTGGTCCTGGGTCCTGCCAAACAATTATCCTTCTAGGTTTACAGCACAACCTTATGCATATTTACTTGGACGTAAGTCCCACTGTGTTCAATGAGGCTTACTTCCAGGTGTTTATATCAGATTGCAGGCTGCAGTGCAGTTCTATGCATGTCTTATCCGAAGTAAGCTCCAGTACCCCCCCCCCCCCGCAAAGTAAGTGTATAGGGTTGTAGCCTTAATTCTGTAAGACATGTAGCCCACATCTAGTTTTAGAATAGCCCCATGATTAAGGTGTATGCAGTTGTATGTATATATACAGATGGTGACCATTTTGCATGAAAGTTCTGTTCCTGGCCCCTGTCTGTGTTGGCGAAGCACCTGTAAGTCCGCCTTGCCCCTGTTCTCCCCTCTTCTGGGTCCAAAAGGACCCATGTGCTGGAGGTCCTGTGTCAATTGGACAAATGCAAAATGGTATCCACCTGTATTTACAGAGTCTGGTCTCTGTTTACAAGACTGGACTTAAAGTAGACACAGAGTCTTCCTTTGCTGGGGCAGGATGCTAAGTGCTTCCAAAGGAGTGTGCTTGCCTTTATTAAGTTTACTGGTCCTCCATGAGCCAAAGGGGCACAGCACTCTGAGCTAAAACAGCCACAGAATCCCACTGATCGGCTGTTTGACTGGGAACGAGAAGTGGGGCTGGCTAGGACACCTTTCCAAACCAGCAGAACTGTAGCATGAGAAAATAAAATACTCTTGTCACTGAAGTCCAAGCTGAAGAGGGCTTGCGCATACACAGGCCTTGTTTGCACATGGGGTCCCCTCCCTTTAATGGTGAGGTACATGCACGCAAGCCTGCTACTTTGTGCATCTTGCCCCGAGCTGTGGAAACTGGCTCAAGCGTTTTCTCCATCATTCGTGAAAATGCACCGATTCCCACAGAAGTGAATTTGGAGAATAATTGGGTGCATGTGCACGGCGACAAAAGCTTGGCAGTGCTGCATAGAGAAGTCCAGGCATTGATCTGATAAATAGTGGAAATTTAGACTGTCAAATTTACCAATTAAGCAACACGTTATACAATTTTTAGCTTCCAAATCTCTGGCGATGTTTCATAAGCAAAAAACTTCAGCTTGGGAACCAAAAAAGCCATAGATAGACCATCTGCAAGGATAAGAGGTCTCAGCTTTAGAGAGACATTTCTCCTGTTGCAGACGGACCCATTACATGCTGAACTGTAAAAATGGACTTGCCAATATTTGTTTCCCCAGTGGTTTAGAACAAACTGGGTGTGTAACCCAACCAGAGTTGAGCAATTCTGTACCACATTGCCTTTGACGGGCGAGTTTCGTGACTATCACAGATGAGTTCAGCTCAGCAGCACTTAACGTGGACACTGTGTGTGTGTATATCCTAGCTATTTAAGGAGGAGATTTTGAGTTTGTAGTCACTTAACCGTTGACCTTATTTATAGACACTCTCACATGCCACAAAATGTTCATTTTTTGAGGACCCCAGTTGACTTCCAGCTGACCTGGAACTGCTTGGGTCTGCCATGGTTGTAAGTGATAATAAATTATCTCCTCTAACAGCATTGGGGTTGTTACCTAATTGAAGCTGTGGGTTTTCTTCAGGTTCATGTGAAACTATTTGCAGAGAATAAAGCTGTTACTAAGCCCTGTTACACATTTTGTTTCAAGTCACTTTTTAAAGCATATTTGAAGATCACTCTGCATATACCCTGTTGAATGCAATTGCACAGGGTATCTGCAAGGACATTTTCCTCGACTATTTTTGATGGTCATTGGGAATAATAGATGTAAGACTTTTTTAAAAGCTTTGTTCTAATTTAAAGACAAAAACAGCAACAGGTACACAGTTTCTAAATAGTTTCACTTTGGCGGAGCTGTTCTTATGCACACATTTCAATTCCCAAAGAACAAAATAAACCTGGAATAGCTGAATTACTTCATATTCTTTCTGTGAAAGAAAAAGAAAACTGTTCACTTTGCTTTCAGTGTACTGGTGGTTTTCTGTTACAGAAAAACGTACCTTTTCTAATGCACTCTAAATGCAAAAATGCAAATCCAGTATATACTCTGTTTGTATGTTTCCCCATCTTCTAAACTAGAATATGCCAGAAGTGTATCCTTGTTTATTTTCATACATTTAGTGGCCATTTAGCTCCACAAGTGCTACATGAAATGAAGAATATCAGTGTGTTGAAAATTACAATGCTTGATATAATTTGAGGGTCAGAGGAATGATTTTTTATTTTATTTTTTTAAAATATATATTTTAGGACTGTTAATGTTTCTGGAAACTATTTCCTCTGTATATGTATGCATCAGTGCAATAAATTATAGAAAATAAGGTAACATCTCATTTTGGTGATAAACTGAATGCAAAGTATATATATATTGTAATAAATGCAATCCAATTAAAATGTTTTGAAAATCCAGCTGCTGGGTGCAAGTTGCTTTTTTTTAAATGCATACCAGACAGGATTCAGCCCAAGTTAATCACTCCACAGTCTTGAGTTCAGCAGGGAAGATTTTAGGCAGATACTTAAACCCCTTGAAATTGTCAGAAAGTAAACTCTGTGGTCCTAAGCATCTTTCCTCAGGCCCGGGGTGTGTGTTAAATGCAACCTTCTGCCTGACCTTTGAGACTCCCCTACATTGGCCACATCTCACCAGCCATGCTTTGCACCCTCCTTGAATATTTGTGTGTGATTGGAATGTGTCATTGAGCTCAGATAATGATATCTTTGCTCCGCAGCGTTCCTCCCCCAACCCTGCTTTTTAAAGCTGAAGTGCCACAACAGCCATTCGGGTTTTCCATGGATTGTTGTTTGTTCCGATTCAGCTTTAAAGAGCAGGTTTTTGCAGGGAAACCTCTGGAGCCAAAGAAAATGGAGGGGAGAGAGAGAGAGAAAGTGGTCAGGCACAGATCTTTAAAGTTGCTGCCCGTGCCTGGAAAGTGTGGAGGAAAGGTAAGGTGGATAAGCTCCGAGTGTGTGTAGAAATTAGTCTGCTGCACAGAGGTAAATGTCACATTTGGTGCTTCGCCCATTTTTGTCTCTGGTGCAACCCACTGCTCCCTGGTGGCCCCAGTGAGAAGCCCACAGCCTGAAAAATGTTCCCCACTCTTGGGCTTAGGAGTAAACCCCATCAAACTGAGCAAGGCTTACTCCTTAATAGCTGCATTTAGGATTACATTCTAAGTGTGTTTGTATGGTGTGCTGTGCTTGGGTGACAATTTTTGACCCCTGTTCTGCTGTTTTCAATGTGTGCGTCTGTGCATGTCTCTGTGTGTATTCCTGTTCTCTGTCGGGAGTAAGAAATGACTCAAACGTGGTGCTGGCCTTTGCTGTAACATTGGCTCGAATTTCCAGCATAGGAAACCCGACGCGACCTGTGTTTCTTTGGCTTCTGCCTTCCTTCCATTTCCCCCACGATAGGGAAGCTGCTTCTTTCAGCTTTTCCATTCACTGAAACATTTCAGATGTTTAATGAGATGCTCCATGCCTCTCCCCCCCTCCACCCCGGGGGAAGCACAGACACCAAACGCACCTTTAGCTTAGGCTGCTTTTAGTAGGAATGATTGACAAGTTAGCACAGCCAACATGCAAACAACCCCCTACCCTCCCCAATCCCTCTAAATTCATTGGAAGCTCTTATCGTACACAACTGAGGGAAATGGAAGAGTTGGGTTGCTATCTAGAGTGGCTCGCTCCGAGAGCTGTTTTGACTTCCCTAAAGTCTGATTTCCGAGGGTTTTTAAAAGCCTCTTGCAATGTCAGGTGTTCTCTGTGCTGACAGGCGTCTGTTTATTGATTCAGGAAATCCATCTTGCCTGGCTTTTAACAAGGTCTGCGAGCAAGTCGGCCCCTTCCGGATTCTAATTCATTGCTTTTTCTGAATGGGAGACTGCTGTGGAGGTGTCCGGTTTCACGAGCTGAGAACATACCCTGTGATGCCTCTTTCTTCCTTTTCATTTCTTTTTGTTTTCTGCAACCTTCACAAGGAGGTTATTTTCTCTGGTGGATAATAATAATGATGATGATGATGATGATGATGATGCAAGCAGACTAGAACAGCTGTTCCTTTAGCAAACCACACAAACAGCCTTTTCCAAGAAAGTTAAAAAGGAAACCTACGCTTTTTACATTAAAATTTGTTTTCATGAATCTGCCTTGAGCCAAAATATTTTATTGCTATTTATGACAGTTGAGTTTAGACTGCATCACAGGGAGAGATTCTGCATATTTTGCTAACAGGCCACCCCTTGAGATGGCATTAATTGGAAAATGCAAGAATGCAATTCTGTGCGCATGTTATATATGCTAGGAAGTGCCCCTCGTTGAACGGAATGTCTTTCTGAGGAAACATGCAAAGGATCGTCCTGCATTCCAATGAAATGCTCTTGCATCAGGGCTGCTGCCTCAGAAGAACGGCCAACTGGTCTTGAAATAGCAAGTGGGTCAATGACATACCAGGCATGAGATATCCTGTTCTCACAGTGGCCAAGCATGCAAATAAAGAGTTGCGTGGCAAGTCCCCTCCCCCATGTGAAATGAAGCCCCTGGACACATTATTTAAGGTTAATGGGCATAAAAAAGCCACAACTTTATTGATTACAGAATTGAAAGGTATTGGCCTTAGGCATTGGCTCCTATTGACTACCCGGCATGGAGACTGGGAAGGGTTATCCACAAGCCGTGGGAGTCCTGTTGAAGTACGCCAACTAGGATCCCACGGGTGTCACCGCTCGGGGGCGTGCCGGAGGCCCTTACCTCCCTAGGTTTCGGACAAGGCAACGCCCCCCGGAGTCCTCTACCGGACTACCCTTTTCCTTGGGGGAAGGTGATGGCGCTTCCTCCCCCCCATTCATTTGCATAACAATTAACCCCTGCCAATGCCTAACCGCCAATACCGCGGAAGTTGTGACGTTTGCTACGAGGTAGGCGAAAAAACCAAAAGGCTGGAAGTGCGCCAAATTGGAAAAATTCCTACCAGGCCCCTTGCGGCGACCAACCGGAGTCCATTGCAAGGTCATAGCTAGCTAAGCCTAAGGGTGGGTGGGATGGGAAAACCGCTCAGCTGGAAAGGGGAAAGAGGGCGGTCCCCGGGCGTGCCTGGCCTTAAGTAGGCTAGGCCATGCCTCCCCAGCCTGCTGATTGGCGGGCCGGGTCGAAGGCACGCCCGGGGATTCCCCGGATCTCGCGGGGGCAAAGGGCCAGCCCCCGCGTGTGTGGGAAGGGGTAGCCCGCAACCCCCTCTCCTCCCAAGCTCGGAAATGGCTTTGCCGTTTTGTTTCAATGGCCCAGCTCTGTAGTCATGCCCAGCCTAATGATCAACACTTTTAAGTCCCATTGACTGCAGTGGGAGAGATGTAAGCCCCTGTTTAAATCTCTTGTTGCAACCAACAGGAGATAAAAAGACGTTTTGAGGTTGACTAGTTCATCTCCGGGTAGGCTAGGTAGCAAAGGGTAATTTCAGGAGATGTGGCTGTGAATTGTGTAACGAGCTAAACCAGCTGATATTCCTCTTTGCTACAAACTATAGTCGTACCTCCGCTTCCGAACGCCTTGGGAGTTTCAGCTCCCAAACGATCGAAAACCGGAAGTGATTGTTCTGGTTTTCGAACGTTCTTTTGGAAGCTGAACGTCCGGCAGGAGCTTCCTGCAGCCAATCAGAAGCTGTGCTTTGGTTTCTGAATGTTTTGGAAGTCGAATGGACTTCCGGAACAGATTCTGTTTGACTTTGGAGCTACATCTGTATTGAAGGTGCATGAGCCCTGTCCTCTTGCACCCCAGGGGGTGTGCTTCCTTAAGAACTACACATCCCAGAATTCCTTTGTTCTGGCATTTCCTATATGCACGTGCAGGAGAATCCAGCAGGACGTGATAACCAGCTGACAGCAAGAGAGTGAGACCCATCACACATACAGAGGAACAGCATAATAACCAGGGGCAATTAGAGACAGTGGCATTCAATTCTGCCAATAGGATTTAAGTCAGCCTTTCTCAACTTGTGGGTCCCCAGATGTTGTTGAACTACAACTCCCATCACCCCTAGCTAGCAAGGCCAGAGCTTAGGGATGATGGGAGTTGTAGTCCAACAACATCTGGGGACCCACAGGTTGAGAACCGCTGATTGAAATGACCCAGGACAAATGGAAGTAAATGAGTTTGGCATCTGGTCTCCAGAGTGCAGAGAAGAGCTGGTTTTAGATCTCAGAGACAGGGCACAGCATGTAAAAAGCATGTGTGCCTTACATCACCAACCGAACCGTATCTACTAAGAAGTAAGTCCGATTGAATTCAGTGGGGTTTACTGCTGGGTAAAGTGGGGCCAGGACTGCTGCTTTAGGGCGCAGCCACACTTCTGCTTGTCCCGTCTGAGAGGTTTTCTGTTTACCTTGCCGCTTCCCCCTGGAAAACCCACTCTTTGCTGCTGAATCGGAGCAAATGTCAATCCATGGAAAGGTGTGCCCGCTTAAGTCCCTGCTAAAGTCCCCTTAGAAAACTTTGGACCACTTCAGCCAACTGAACCAAATTAGCCCATTTAAGTCCCCTTCGCTAACTTAAGTTGCCTTCGTCAACTTAGCCAACTTAAATCTCCTTAGCCAACATAGCCCACTTAAGTCCCCACTTAGCCCACTTTAGTCCCCTTCAGCCCCCACTTGCATTCCCACTTAAGCCCCACCTTAGCCCACTTACGTCCCCACTAAACTAGCACAAAACTATGGCATCACTTTTTTGGGGGGGACCCAGAATTTTGGAGTCACCTGATAATGAAACTGCGAAAGTGGCAGGGAAAACGGGGGTCTGGACGAGCCCTCAGTGTACAGTTAATACGTAAACGGTAAAAAAAGGGAAAAGATTAATACATATACCACGCTGCAGTTAGGCAGCCAGAAAAGAGAAGCATTTAAACAAAGGAATAAACAAAGGCAAAGGATAATCCAGTCGATCCTCAGTTATTTTCTAACACAGACAAGTGATCAGAGGGAGGTTGTGTGTGTGTGTGTGTGTGTGTGTGTGTGTGTGTGTGTGCAGAGTCTGTGTTGGGCTCAGACAAATGGTCCTTAGGCACTGTTAGTAACCTGAGTGCCATTCGTTTGCCAGGAAATAAGAGCAACAGAGCCAAATAAGTCAGATCCAAAGGAACAGCTTGCCTTTGACTAATATGTGTTTGAGCTTCAGCTTGACTTCGCCCTAAGCCAAGATTTTGAATTGCTGAATTAAGTGCAAACGTGACGGGAGATTTGAATCAAAACAACTTTGTACTTGCTTGGCCAAGGTGTTATTTGCGAAAAGATGCTCTTGCCAGCTGTCCCTGCGACCTGGCTCTGAAGATTTCAAGAATCCCAAGCATGCCATTCTGAAACAGTTAGTACTCTTTTTGTGTGTCTGTGTGTGTAAATAAATTTTATTGGTTTTACAATTTCAACTTCAAATAGTTAGTACTATTAATTCTGCCTCATGGCAGAGATAGGCAAATCATAGAAACGTAGTGCTGGAAGGGACCCTGTGGATCACCTAGTCCAACCCCCGGCAATGCAGGAATATGCAGCTGCCCCATATGGGGCTCGAACCTGCAACCTTGGCATTATCAGCACTGCACACTAGCCAACTGAGCTATGCAGGTATAAAATCTGACAATTCAGTTTCTCATTTTTGTCAGTCTTCAATTCTCCACATTTCAACATCAGGGTGTGGTGGTTTTATTTAAAAAGGTCCTCATCAGAATTTACCAGTGTTTTAGTGCGAACTTCTTCTAATGTGCAACTTTTTGCAAAGCAGTTTGGAGAAGCGTGGCTTGCAAACGACAGCAGTGTGTCCGCTCCCCTATAAGGTAGGTTTGCCTTTCAATGTGAGATCAGGTGAGATCGAAGCCCTTTAAGGCCTTTTAAAAGGTAAAGGGACCCCTGACCATTAGGTCCAGTCTCTGACCGACTCTGGGGTTGCGGCGCTCATCTCGCTTTATTGGCCGAGGGAACCGGCGTTCAGCTTCCGGGTCATGGGGCCAGCATGAGTAACCAAAGGAGTACACATGCACATTCAATTGCCCAACAGCATCCACGTCACCCAGGAGATCGCAGCCACATAGATAAGAAAAGGAGAGTGACTCTGTTGTCCGGAGAGGTTCACAGGGAGAAGACATTTTCAACGGAGCTCAGCGATGGAAGCACACTGAGGCACATTGAGGCAGCACCGCGTTTTGAAATTTTGCGCCCCTCACAATTTTGCGCCAGGGGCTACTGTTATTGTGTCCCCCCCTCCCATGCTATGGCACTGGAAGAGGTTAAGGATAAATTCCCACTAGGCAGAAACACTCATGCAGGCTGCAGAGCAGGAATCAGGGGAGGGTATCTGTGGGTGGGGAGGGGTGCGTGGTCTAGGGAGAAACCTCAGAAGCCAGCTTTAGGTTTCCTATCCCTGCATTTGGAGGAGAGGGGAATTTTGCTGGTTCCTCCAGCGTTTTCCCAACAACACCACCTTCCACTCTCTTCTGCAGGGACCCCCACAACTCCCTGAAGCAGATTTTGAGGGTGTGATGAGGGCTGCAGGGCAGAGTGAGAATTGGCCAAATTTCATTCCTTCCTCTTCTGTTAGAGGACCTCTCACGCTATTCCACGAGAGCAAGGGCACCAATTTGGATCCCACACTAAACGTGCATAGGATTGTCGCCTCACAGTGCCTGCCTACACGTGTTTCCTCAAATGTAAGAGCTGAGAGGGGCCTGCTCCCTGGTTAGGTGGTAAGTAAATGCAAGAAACACATAAGCCAATAGGAGTTACACGGCTCGGGGAAACGATGTGGTTATGCCTACAATGAAAAGGAAAAGGAACGCAGCGTCACCACATGGCAACCACTTCAAAATAACTCCCGTTCCATAATGGCAAAGGTTTGATGAAGTGGGCTACAGAAACACGCCATTAGCATCTGTGTCAACTGAAATAATGGCTTAAAAAAGAAAAAGAAAAAGCTAAGCCCCCTGACCTTGGCTGTTTTTGAACCACTTTTGCTTCAAGGTCTGATATCAACTCCTTATAATCAGAGTCATTGTTTTCTGCAGTGCCTGCAGTTTGTACATTTGACCACGAGGTGCCACTCTGTAACTCGTGCTGAAACCAGAGGTATTTGTGTTCTCTATTCTGTCCACCCCTTCTGAGGGACCAAATCGGAGGGACTGGGCTGTTTTACCATGCCCAGTGCCACCAGAGTAGCCTATTTTTGAAAGGTCTTTGCTGATTGGATGTTAATTCACTAATCATGCTAATGCCATTGTCTTAGTCTACTCTAGTGATGGCTTCACATGATTGCTCTCCCCGCTACTGTAGATAAGGTGGCATTTTTCAGTCCACGAAAGCTCCATACCAGGGTCCAGTCAGAAGTAGGGAAAATGGGGTGCTCCAAAGTTGTCCAGGGCAAACAATTATATCTAGGAAGTGTACCCCAAATGCGAATTTATTGTCCCCTAAAAGCATTGGCATAAAGATAGATAGTGTTCATATTTTGTCAAGTCTTCTTGAATTTCCTAACCACTCCATTGTTTATATGTATTCCATTCCATTACTTACATCATTTGGGGGAAACCTGGTATCCCACCAGCATCTGAAGTCTGATTGGTGGGAATGCAAGACACACCCACCTCTGTTGCCATGGTTATGGTCAGACCCTTGGAGATGCATTTTGCTACTTACCTGCTATCCTTCCTCTCCAAGTTGGAGGCTTTTTGCTCCTGCAGGATTTTGACTGGCTGGTTGTTTGGTATTAAGTTTATTTTTGCTGTTTCCTGCTTCCTGCTATTGCAAGTCCCCCCCCCCCAAACAAATTGTTGATGTAAGGTGACTTGGGCACTGCTTTTAAGCCGGGAAATCAATACACCAGTGTTTTAAATAAAGAAATCAGACAAAACTCATGTGTAGCTAGAGATGGATAAATTTGCCAATGTCAGTTTATCATTTTTTTGATTTTCAGTTCAGTTCACTCCTTTTTGTGATTTTTTTTTAAAAGTCTGCACGGAAATTTGTACACAGTTCTGTGTATATTCCTTCTAATATACAGGTTTGTACTGGCAGTTTGTTTGCGATATAATGATTTCCCCCCTATGTCCCTTTCACTTTTTGGTGCATACTTTCCATGAATACACATTTTTTTCCTACTTTTTTTTGGGGGGGGGCCTGGGGAACTGCCTCACAACAATCTCCCCAGTCTGCAGATACCAGGATGGTCCACTTTATGCATGACAGCTTCCACGTTGTAGGAAGGCCCACATTCAGAATTGTGTATGACACCATGTCTGAAAACCATGCAAGAGTCTAATCTGCCATTGTTAGACATGGTTGGAGACAACACCCATAATACTCTTGTCCCCTCTTCCAAAGACATATTTCTTTTTTCTTTGCTCTGGAGGGTAGGACTCGAACCAATGGCTTCAAGTTACAATAAAGGAGATTCCGACTAAACATTTGGAAAAACTTTCTGATAACAAGAGTAGCTTGACAGTGGAACGACCTCCCTCGGGAACTTGTGGATTCCCCTTCCGTGGAGGTTTCTTTCTTTCTTTCTTTCTTTCTTTCTTTCTTTCTTTCTTTCTTATAATTTTCATTGATTTTCTTTTCTCAAAACAAGTATCCACTATCATTGCTGAACATACATTTTCCAATTCCCCCCCCTTCCCTGTTGACTTCCCTCAACTACCATTTCTGGTTTATGACATCAGACGATACATTATGCTGTTTATTTATAATATTATGGTATCACATTGTTGTACTTCTTGTTCTCTGTAAATAAAATTGTAAACGTTTATTTAAATCCTGCCAGCGAGACCATTTCTTTCTGTTGTTTCTGCAAATATATTGTAAAGAGTTCCCATCCTTTTTCAAAGTCACTATTGTCCTTTGCACACAGTTTGTCCGTTAACTTTGCTAACTTTGGAGGTTTCTAAGAAGATGTTGGGCGGCCGTCTGCCATGGATGCTTTGGCTGAGATTCCCGCATTGCAGGGGGTTGGACTAGATGACCCTTGGTGTCTCTTCCAACTCTATGATTCTATGGTTCTATGATTCTAAGGGAGAGCCTGGGGCCTTGGCAGTTATTCCCTGAGCAGGCACACCTGGTCACAGTCTTGCCCACCGCCGTGAGATGGATTGCATTTCTATTTAAATCACAGCCATTATTCCTCGCGTAGGTGCAAAGCAGCAAATGCAAATTTAATGCAAATCCACGCACTCCCTCATCCTTTTCCTTTTTCCTTTTCCTTCTCAAGAGGGGATGCATTTTCTTCTTTTTCCTTTTTTCTTTTCAGGGAATCCGTGAGTGGCTACCCTCGCCCTGAGCCGTTCTTTGCAGCTTCCAGAAGATGGTGCCCTGCTGTCAGGAAACAGGCATGAAACACACACACACACACCCCACCAGCAGTCATTCCAGTCCATTGGCAGAATGTCATGCCAAACGCTTTGTGTCTGTCAGCACATTCCTGGAAGGTCACAGCAAATGAAGAAGACTCCTGTGTGTAGGAGCTGGAGAAAGAGGAATATATATGTACACACACACACACACACACACACACACACACACACACAGTTGCATCACATGGTGGCCTTTTGGCTTCAACCACTCGATTCCTGCAGTTATAAACCTTTCCCAATTGTTATTCGGCTGCTTCCTCCGCAGGCCAAGGCAGGATATTCATGACTGACTGGCCCCTGGAAGCTGGAAAGACTCCAGTTACTTTCCATAGCACGGTTTCTGCTCACTTCCCTCCCGTCACAACCTGCCCCCCTCCCTCCAGGACTGAAATATCCTGTGGTTCTGGTTAGCGCTCCCTCCGGATACGCAGCCACCAGAAGCATATGCCCCCCCCCCCGTCCTCCATATGATACAGCCGAGGCTCGTTCAGCATAGCTAATTCCGACGGGGGCTTTATTTAGACGGAGACATTGAGCAGCCTTGCTGTGGACTCCGGTCGTTTGACTCGACTGCGTGTCTGGATCCCGAACGGAAAGAGGAGGCTTCCTCCGGCAGTTCCTGCCACTGACGTTGCCACCGGGCTTTGCATATGTTTTGCAAAATATTTAAATCTAATGAGCTGCAGCTTTGGCTGGCTGAGTTGCCTGGCTGTTTCGCCTGGCTTGCTCTCTGCCTTTTGCAGTCGCAACCCAGAACGGTGGGTCGAGAGCACAGCACCGATTCTCATTTTTCTAATCTTAAATTCAGCACTCCAGGTTTCTGCAGCAATGTGTGTGTGTGTGTGTATTTAATTCTTCAGGGTGCATTTATCCTAATAAGCAGGATTTGCCTGCAGTTCGGGCTCCGGTACACATTTTGGCAAGCGGTTTTCTCCTCATATATTGCATGTTTGTGTGTTGTTTTCATCAGTATGCTCATTTTTATATACACTTCCCTCTAACATATGCCTATTTGTGGAGATCGGTTAGTTGGAGAACTGCATTGCAAAATTCAGATAAATGCAAGTTTCAAATTTCTCAGGGACCCTGAGAATCATCTATTCCAACCCCCTGCAATGAAGGAATATGCAGCTGTCCCATAGGGGGACCGATGCTGCAACGACTGTGTTACAGGTCTCATATTGTTACACAAAGTGTGAATTTGATAAACTCAGCTTTAAATGTGAACTGGATGGCATTTCTCCACTTCTTTTCAGGATGACATAATTGAATCTGACCTAAACACTCCAAGTCTCCCCCGCCAGTTCAAAACCTCCCTCTTCCTGCATCCATAGCACTGTGTTGCAGGCTCAGTCCTGTGGGTCAGTCTACGCTTTGACCATTGTTTCCCCAACCTTTCTTGATCCACACCTAAACCACAAGATGGACCTGTTCGTCATTTCTTAAATACGATACATAGCAGCCGCTGTAGATGTGAGTGCTTCTCCCACCCAGGGATGTAGTGCAGGGTCTCACCCTGACCGTATGTATGGCCATACCTCCAAGAAGAGTCCATAGTCGCACCCTCAAGGAGAGTTTGAAAATGCAAACAGTTGTGTCGGTCCCTTATATTTCTACAGAGAGAGTGGGGTGGGGAAGCTGGAGACGCACACACACCAACAGCTGCAGTATATAACACAATGACCAATTGGTTTGGGTCAACTCTCTGTCTCCATTGAACTTGGAGGTGCTTCCCAACACGACCAGATACAATGAAGGCTGGAGGGGAAGTCCTCTGTTGTAATTCTACAAGGGAGAATTTTGTCAAGTGTTTCTGGTCATGAACGAGCGATGTGGAGTTGCACTTACAGCAGTTCCCTCTCCTTCATTTCCTTCCTTCCTTCCTTCCTTCCTTCCTTCCTTCCTTCCTTCCTTCCTTCCTTTCATGTTTAGCATCCTACTTTTCTTCCAACATGGAACCCGGGGGGGGGGGGGGCAGCAGGCATGTGGTTCCTAGGCATGCACCAATCCAGGCACTGACCAGACCCAGACCTGTTTAGCTTTAGCAAGGTGGTGGCCTCCTTACCGCACACAACCATGGAGGAGTTTGTTGCTCTGTTGGAACTCCTATCCAACAAGTGACCCTCTGACCCACCCTGTTTTCTCTCCTCCACTTCTCTACAAAACAATCAGTTTCTGTTGAGGGGGGACAGTGTCACTGCTGCAACCATCTTAGGACTTGTGGTTCCCATCCTACCTTGAAGTCCAACAGCATCTGGAAATATTGGGAATGTCTGTGCTGAGGGAGTTTGAGATGAAGCTCATCCACCTTCCAAAAGCCACCAACATGTTTTATGGGTTGTGAGTTTCATGCTGTTATGATGGTCTAGCACTGCATGAGCCACCTCTCCCCCAGTTGATTGCCAGTACAATTGGTCCAAAGTAGGTCAAAGATGGGGAGCAATTTATATACATTTGGCCAACATCGGACCTGTTGTTCTTTTCTGCTGTCTGCTTGCTTATGAAAACAATATGCTGAACTAAATCAGCCCCTGGGGTTGCTCCATGCAAGGCTGATCATTGAAAACACTCCGAATTACTTGATTGTTGCAATATGAAGAGAGGAAGCGCTGCGTGAAGCCGATGAGGTGGCATCAGATAATGTGTGACGGCTGTTTAAATGGAACTTGTGCAGAGTGGAAGATGGTAGGGGGGAGATTTGATCTCCCCTGGGTGACTTCTTCCGGTGCACCATCAACAGCACCAACATGGTAAGCTGTTCGTGGTAGCTGACCTACTCACTGCCCACTTTTTTCAGATTCTCACTACTCCTTCAGTACCAAGGAGGGGTTGCACTGACATGCTTAAAATCCAGTTTGAACACACTGAGGAAGGGGGAACTGCAGACAGAGCACCACCCCCCGGGCTTGCCTTGCAAATGGCCGTCCACCTTGATGGTTGCACATCATAGAATCGTAGCGTTAGAAAGGACCACGAGGGTAATCTAATCCAACCCTCGCCAATCCAGGAATCTTTTGCCCAATGTAGGGCTTGAACCCTCTGTCCTCAGATTAATAGTCTCATGCTCTACCAACTAAGCTATAGCATGAACGGGATCTACATGGTAAGTGCCAGGACATTCCTAAAGCAAACCTCTTTGGAAGAAATAGAGAGGTGTACGTGCTCTTTCTTTGCCCCTCGTGAAAATAAATAAATCAGGGTGTTTCTTTGTTTCTGCAGCTGTTCTTGGCATGCGGGCCGTTTACTCATATTATTGCAGTGAAGTACAGTAAGCTGTCCACACTGTGCCTCAACGTCAGCTTTCCTGGGTCCATTCAAGGCACTGGAAAATAATGAAAAGCATATTGTGTAACTCAGGAATGTGTCTCTTTCATCAGCCATCTTTCAGAATTACCACTTTGTTTGCGTTCCTGACAACTTGTAAATTACTTAATGCCGCTGGCAGATTGAGCAGATTCCCTTTGCTCATTCAGACCACATTTTCTACTGCTGTAGAAACGAATAATATAGAACCAAAAAAGAAATGAGTGGAGCGGGGGGCAAAGAAAAGAAAAGTCAGCATGGTCAGACATCCTCAAACCAATTGTTAGCATCTCTGGAAGGGCTTCAATTTCACTAACTCGGAGCCGGCACCTAAAATACACAGTTGACAGGCTGCAAGACTTTGCCTCGCCAAATATAACTTGTCCAAGGCCTAAGTAAAAACACATGACATATATCCTGTTTACACTTCCACAATTATAATAATTTCAAACTCTGCCGAAGAATTATGAAACAGCCTTTCCATTTTAAGACTTCAAACCCTTATCCACACAGCTGCTTGTCAGCCTTTGTCATTTACTGAGACACTACGGTGGGCAAATGGTGCGCCGCTCTTCTTCGATATGGTCAGGAGGTTGACCAATGGCACGTTGGAAGGCCAGGAACCAGAAACCTACATCGAATGGGTTTTGTGCCGATGAGATAACTCAGGGGTAGAGTGTGTAATTTCAGCGTCTCTGACATCTCCAGACAATGGGTCTGATGTAGGAGGGTCAGGAAAGACATCTGCGCCCCCCCCCGAGAGCTGATGCCAATCTCTGTCAATCAGCTGTGCCATTGGTCTCAGTAAAGGAAAGACACAGGGGGGTGGGATCGGATTTTCATGCCGGTTGCAGAAAGGAGAGTTCGGAGCTCCTTGAAATGTTTGCCAAATGACCCCATGGCACTCTCAGTTTTACAACATATTGCTCTACTGTATTTGCTGGCCATCTCAACAGTTGCTTCTTTCATTTTTATAAGGGTTCTTCTTCTTGCAAGCTATTAGGCCCATCCAGTTGGGTATCATATATAGCCAGCTTGATGACACTGTGGTGTCACCTACTCAACGACATCATGAATGGGAAAGCATTTTCTCCCTGTGGCTCAGGCCTACTGAGCTATTATTGCCCAAAATGGCAGGGGGAATGAAACACCATTTTGGCTCATCCTTTTTTGAGAAGCAGAACCACAGAACTTGGAGCTGATCATTGCTGCTAGCGTGTGGCTTAAATTGTCGCCCCAAAGTTATATAGACTCAGCAAGCAGACCACAATGTCTGCTCAGATACTGTACACAGGATGCCTTCAGAATCCAGAAGGAATGGGTGGAGTATAAATGATAAAATTATTACTGCAACCAGTGATTGGTTTGCATAGGCTCTTGCATGCAGCACTCAAATGTCAGCGTTCACACAACTATTTCCTCTGTATTTCTCCCCATGAAAGCCCATCAATAAGCCTCTGTGGGCATTAGACAGACATCAGGCCCTCCAAGTGTCCCTATTTCCCAGGGACAGTCCTGTATATACAGAAGCCATGCTAGGTTTCTGATTTGATTCCGGAATGTCCCACTTTTCCTTAGGATGTCCCTATTTTCAATGGGTAAATGTTGGAAGGTATGGAGTTCTGCGACTCCTGAGCCAAGGAGATAAGTAACTAAACAACCTTTAGAAGACATTGGAAGGCACCCCGGAATAGGGAAGTTTTTAAATGTTTAATGTTTTATTATTATTTTATATATGTTGGAAGCCTCTGAGAGTGGCTGGGGCAACACAGGCAGGTGAGCAGGATATAAATATAAATATAAATATAAATACAGAGGTACCTCTGGTTATGTACTTAATTCGTTCCGGAGGTCCGTTCTTAACTTGAAACTGTCCTTAACCTGAAGCACCACTTTAGCTAATGGGGCCTCCTGCTGCTGTAACGCCGTCGTCACATGATTTCTGTTCTCATCCTGAAGCAAAGTTCTTAACCCGAGGTTCTATTTCTGGGTTAACCGAGTCTGTAACCTGAAGCGTATGTAACCCAAGGTATCACTGTATAAATATAAATATAAATAATATAAATATAAATATAAATATAATAATAGTGGGATAAGTTGTTCCTATTTTCTTCAGAGAAATGTTGGCGGATATGAGACATGTAGAGGCTTATGTAAACCAACAATAGAAACTGAGTTTATTTCTAAGTATCTCTGACTCAGACTGGATCTAGAGGCATCAAAGAAGCGTTTCAGCTAAATGCGTTGCAAGCTTTGTATGAGAAATCAGGTTAGCAAAAACGGAGTTCCGCAATGCCATCTGGTGTCACAGTGTTAGAATGCATAAACAACACATATAAAGTGCTTTCTCTTTGCCAATGTAGCTGGGTCCTCAGTTTCCCATGTGTAAAAAAACCAAACCAATAGCACAGTGATGTACTAGAGGAGGCTTATTTTCGGGGCCTGTGCAGGACAGACTGTAAAGTGCTTTGTGAATCTAAAGTGCTATATAAAAAATAAACAGTAGTCTATTGTATGCAAAGCTATAAAATGAATATTGCCGTTTCAACAGATGATGTTGCTCTTTGGGCTAATAATACATCTGCTCATTTCGTAAGCAGGAATGGGTTTTGGAAAGTCTCATTCAGATAACTACAGAAACACAACAGGAGGGAAACTCCCCGAATATGTTAATTGTTTGTGGCTCAAGTAACTCAAGTAGGTTTACAGGCTTACGTGGGACTATGCAAATGAACGCATGGGGGAGTGGCTTGCAGTGTGTATTTTGAGACAGCAGAACCCGGTTGAAGCGGGGGTCACAGGTTCTGGAGGGCCCTTGGGCAGCCTCTCCTTCCACAGACTCCCTTCACTCAATCCTTCTTTCCACCTTTCCACCAGTTGCGTATCCATACCCTCCAACATCTCTCCAGTGAAAATAGGGACATCCCATTCCATCTGAAACAGCTGAAACAGGAGCTCCCATCCAGACAGACTATGATCAGTTCCAGAACTGCTTCGTTTAGCTTCTACAGCGTCGTGGCCTCAGGTGCCTTCAAGCCTAGACCCTGAGAGTTCACGCTGATAAAAGCTTATAGATGTGGCACGCAGAAGAATGTTGGCTAATGGCGCCCCAGGAGATGACATCATTGACCTGGCTGTGAAATAAGTGGCTGTGCATTGTCCCTGCTACACGATGGTTTGGTGGTCAGCAGACTGGGTGGTCGGGGTGGGGATGACTCACAGGGACAGGGCACTATATCCCTGCCACTGCAACATAGTCAGGATACACACACACACACACACACACACACACACACACACACACCTTCTAGAGTTTAGAAGCAGGCAATTAAAGAAGCCAAAGGGCATTATTCAAGGCAGTGAGTCACTTTTCTGGAGACACTCTGCATCTTCCAGTGTACATAAATAGCAGGCACCTATCCTGAAGTCATATCATGTCGGGGCTGCAAATCTCGGCGTTATCTTAAGAATCAGATGACAACATGTACGGTGCTCTGTCTGCAGCGAGATCAGACTTACTTTGCCAAACATGTCATATTACCAGCTGTTCTGCGTTTCAGAGAACAAGCTGCATTTCCTGTGTTCGGTCAATTTTTTCCCTCACTTATTCCTTAAGCTTTTGCATGTTAGATTACCATACCTTTCATAATAAAAGCTGGCTTTAAAAAGACAAGAAGGCACCAGGCTGAACGTAGCGAAATGACCCATTGTGTGCTGTTAAGAGTAACCACATTTCCTAAATGATATGTTTCAATAGCAGATTTCTCCCCCTTTTGTTGGCATAGCAACTCGCCAGGTCTGAACCAGATAAGCTAATACGCTTCTCCCTGTTCTCTCCAAGGTATTCACAGCAGGAAATTCCTGTTCCATCTGGTTAACTGAAAATGCACATTATTATTGATACACAGTATTGATGCCAGTTTTGATTGCACTAAATGACACTGCATTAGCATTTGCAGCCCGAGAAGAAGAAAATGGGATTCATTTATTTTTTTGGTGGGGGGAGGGGGGGAAAGATGGCGCAAAATAGGCAGTGACAGTGACCATTAGCACTACTTTCCTTGTGAAAATTTGATGAGCAATTTAGAAATGAGAGAAATTGCCTTACTTGAGCAAATGTGTGGTTGGCCTAAGCTAGCAGCCATATATCTGTTGCCTTCCTACAAGGAATACCTTTGTTGCACTGGCTCACATTTATCACTAGATGTGTTGTCTCACCTCTTCTCCCAACTATGGGGTGGCCAGTGGGTCCCCCAGACAGTGGTGGACTTCGGGGTCTCCAATTTCAGCAGCACCCAAATAAAAGGATAAAATGAGTGGGTGGAAGAACCATATATGCAGACCTAAGGTCCTAGCAGTTCGAAAGCACGTCAAAGTGCAAGTAGATAAATAGGTACTGCTCCGGCGGGAAGGTAAATGGTGTTTCCATGCGCTGCTCTAGTTCGCCAGAAGTGGCTTAGTCATGCTGGCCACATGGCCCGGAAGCTGTCTGCGGACAAACGCCAGCTCCCTCGGCCAATAAAGCGAGATGAGTGCCGCAACCCCAGAGTCGGTCACGACTGGACCTAATGGTCAGGGGTCCCTTTACCTTTACCTAAGGTCCTGGGAGGAAGAGAAACATGCTAATAAATATGTACCCCAGGGAATGTATTACATTTCTCTTACTTTCTATCCCTTCCCCAATAATTTATGATTCTCTTATGTTGATCACAAGGCTGCCTTGAAGAAACTGGACGAAGTCGGATACAAAAGTATAGAACATGGGTAGGCAAACTAAGGCCCGGGGGCCGGA